TTATAGATAGCCAACATGAGAATTCCAAAGAATGATTCAGGAAGTGAATCAAAATCTAAAGGATACGGGTACATAGAATTTGAAGACAGAGAAAGCCTATTAGATGCCCTGTGTATGCGTGACACTGTAAGTATATTTATTTAAAAAATAGAATAGAAAGTATAATTAGTAGGAAATCATTTTAGTCTTCAATTTTTTTTTGTAATCCTTTTATTTACAGTAAAAACCAGCGATTTAGAATACCATTTATAGTTCCTTATTTTTTAGAATCCAATGATCCTGTTAAATTTAAAAGCTTTTACTGCAAATAATGTAAAATTATTTCACTAATAGTAGTATTATTAAATTGATAAGTAACTTTTAAATCAATTTAGTGTTAAATTTCAGAAACCATGCATGTACAATAGGGTGATTCATTTCCGCAAAAAAATATTTTTTTTTGGTGCTCAAGCAAAATATTAATCTATCTACATATAGAAAAAAAATTCTCACCACGTTTGAGCTCTTAATATCAATTTTAAATGTGTCAGGTTAGTGGGAAGAGGACGTGCCAAAAGGAAACTTTTACTGAATCAATTTTAAATACTTACTATTTAAATTTAAAGTCATACGATTTAAAATGCATGTAAAAAAATATTTTGTTTCAAATTTCTAATGCTTGCCCACCTTTTACAATATTGCAAATCGGTTTGATGGACCTTGTGGGGAATTTCACGCTCTTCGAAATTATATTCATTGTTTGAGAAATCATAATAATTATAAAAAAGTTTTTAGTGTAGGGAAATATAATGGTAATCAATAGAAAAAAATTAATCTAAATAACATTATAAGTTAGTATTTGTCAATTTCTTACGTTTTCAGGAATAAAAATCTGATGTGTCCAACACATGACTTTCCTATCTAGTTATTACAGGCTTTTTCAGGTTATTTTGTTCAACCTATTGCAACACCTATAAATGTTTAGAGGATAAACTAAATTTATACTTTTTCCACATACATCTACCTCGAAACATTTTTCCATTTTTCATTGAAAACGAAAATACTAAAAAAAATTAATACAGCACTTTTCCTAAAATTTAATGTTTTTTTCTTTATCCGTTTTTGAGTTTTCTTCAAAATTCGAAATTTACATTTTCTCAAATACCGCGAATTATAGAGAATTATATTACAAACAACTTTTTATTTGAACAATTTTTATAAAAAATTATTTTTTTACATTTTATTAAATTTCTCGAATACGGACCATTTTAGGAAAATTTTGTATAGAACAAAAATTATATATAATAATATTAGGAGTAACTTTTATTTGAAGAATGTTCTTCTCCAAATGTAAATAACAGATATATTCTATAAAATATAAAAATGACCACCTATAAAGTACCCCCCAGATGTTCCGACTCTGCCCAAAATCAGTTCATTGGACGCTGGAACAAAGCTAAAGTTTAAAATTTGGTGTTTTTCTGTGTATCGGTTCATGAGTTATGCGACACACACACAGACATCATCGCGAACATAGTCAAAACCGATTCAGGGGACCTCAAAACGTAAAAATCCGTCGAAAACTCGATGTCGAAAAAAATCATGATTCCTATACTTTCCTTATATCTGTATACAGATAGGAAAGTAAAAATAGCCGTAAATTGATTAAATATTTTAAATGGTAAAACTTTAAATAGTAAGTACTTAAAATTGTTATATGTAGAATAATATTTTGCTTGAGCACCGAAAAAAACTTTGCGGAAATGAATACCCTAGTATACAATTTATCCAAAAGTATGTTATGTCTGACACAAAGGCTCTTGAAGAGTCGCAAAAGGCAGCTATTAACATCATCTTGATTTATGCTAATGTAGGCTTTTTCCAAAAGAGATAGTTGAATGTTTCATTTAGGATTTTATACTTGCTATGAACCAGCTAATTAAATAAAAATTTATAAAGATAAATCCGGTTTTAAAATATTTTTCTCTACCTTTCCACAAAGTATGACTGCAGATTACAAAGTTGTTATGGCCGACCATTCAATAGTTGTTTTATTGTTCTCAGACATTGAAAAACAGAAGAATGAGGATAGAAGTGGCATCGAACATGGATAATGACCGACGGAGGGGCGGGCGCATGGATATGAATCGCGACAGACCCGAACGTCCAGAAACTTTCGGCGATTGGCGATCGGGCCCGCGAACAACCACCGAAAACAACGACGACCGCGATCGTCGTGGTGGCGGTGGCGGCGGTTTCAATAGAGATCGCGAAGGAGGAGGTGGAGGAGGCGGCTTCACTAGAGAGGGGATGCGTGACAGAGATGATAACAGAAGTTTCACTAGAGACGGCATGAGAGACAGAGACAGCAATAGAGATTTTGGACGCGATAGAGATAGTAATAGGGATTCCTTCAGGAGGGATAAGGATGATGACAAGCCTGGTGGTTGGAGAGATGGCGATAGAACGAATAAAGATATGGATAGAGATCGAGGAGGTAAGAAATTTTAATTAAAAAATGACATTCGTTTATCTCTGTTATCATTGCAGCCTTAACACTTGTTATATTTAATATTAATGATAGTTATACGAGGGTAGTTCAACAAGTCCTTAGAAAAAATTATCTCTGGTAGATTTTAATTTTTCGACATAATTTCCTTTTAGCCATATAGGCTTTTCCAACTTTTTGAAGCCATTTGAAAAGTAAGATTTCGGAAGGACCTCAGAATAGGTATCTGTTTAGGCAATGACCTTCCCTTTCAAAGTGAACCATTGTCCACAAAGCCATTTTTAAAGTTTGAAAATAAAAAAGTCACGGGCCAAATCCGGTGAATAAGGTGGATGTAATAATTCGAACTTTAATTCCATGATTTTTGCCATCGAAACTCCACAGGTGTGTAACCGTGCATTGTCTTGATGGAAGAGGATATTTTTCTTGTTGAAAATTGTGGTGAAACAAGTCGGAATTGCGATGAAAAAGCGCCAAAACAGCCTCTAGAGTCGACCACATGATTGTATTCTCCAATGCACTCTTCTTGCTTCAATGAGCAATAAAAAATGAGACCATGTGATGGATATAACTAAGATTTTGTCAGATATCTAGCAAGTAATGATGATTAATAAAAACAAACAATTTTCAATGCTATGGGCGCCATCTCTTGGTTTTTCTAAGGGCTTACTGAACGATCCTCTTACTAACTTCATCCGATTATACAAAATTTGTATTTCTTTTATAGGTTTTAACCGTGATAGGGGTAACTTTAGAGATTCCGATAGGGGTGGTAGATTTGATGATAGGGATAGAGATGATAGAAGAGGAGGATTTGGGGGTAGGCGGTTTGAAGATAGAGAAAGGAGAGATGGTTTTTCAAGAGGAGGTGGTGGTACCAGAGATGGGCCTAACAGAGATGGTCCTACCAGAGATGGGCCTAACAGAGATGGTCCTACCAGAGAAGGTCCTACCAGAGACGGTCCTGCCAGAGAGGACCGAGATTCAGAACCACCATCTTGTAAGTTTTGTTCATTTAAACATCAGCCTTTTACAATACAATTTTAACATTAAAAAAAGTGATCTTAGGAATATTAATTTAATTTTTCTCTTTAAATATAAAACTATTTAATTGCAGCTGAACCTCGAGAGAGGCGGAAGCTGGTGTTAGCACCGAGATCTAAACCTGTTGAAAATGTACCTGTAAATACAGAATCAGTGCCTTCAGCTTCCATATTCGGTAGTGCTAAGCCAGTCGATACAAGTCAGAGAGAAAGGGAGATTGAAGCTAAATTAGCTAAAGAGCATGATAAATCGAGAGATGGGAGCAGAGATAGAGATAAGAGATTGGAAAGATCAGAAGAAAAAACTGAAGATAATGAAAAGAGGAATGTGAGTATTTTTATCTCTAAGGATTACCCGGATCAACCCATACCTGAATTAATTATTCCTTTTACTTACCAAAGGTTAAACGTTTTATTTAATTGATTTTAGATTGAAAAAAGTGATAAAAGTAGACCTCGAAAAATAGAAGATAGCCCACAAAAAGATGAAGATCCTCCTAGAAAAAATTGTAAGTTACTCCTTATTTCCTTGGTTTTAATTATTGGCGTTTTTGTCAATCATTTCATTGGTTTTAACTGTCAAAATTTTGAAGATTTGCTTAACCAAACCCGCTACCTGTCTTAAATTGCTTTTTTGTGCTTATTTTTGTTATCCAGAAGTGTTTTGTGATTGTTGCTTTAAAGGAGTAAATGAGTAGTAACAATTATATATTGTTTTAGTTGATGACAAAAAATTACCTCCTAAGAGTGATCAAAAGTCACCAGACAAGTCTGATAATAGACATAAAAGTGAGAAGTCTGAAAAACCTAAACGAGAAGACAAAAGGTAAATTCAAGATTTTTTAATCGGCAAAGTACACTTCAAATTAAGATATTGGTCTAATCAAATGAATTAATATTTTTTACATTGGTGTTTGCTCGATTCGTGAGGTATATACGCTACATCCCAGCATAGATGCGCCAATAAATGTAAAAATGTTTTTGAATTGGACATTAATCTTAGACGTTCAGCACTGCTTCATTTAAAATTTATACCAAATATGAATGAAATTGTTCTTATATGGGGTGTTTTAGAGGTAATTTTAAAAAGTATATGAGAATAAACTACCTTATTTTTGTAATACAAAAACATTAATGAAAATTCACATTTCAGGGTAAAACACAGAAATGTAGATAAGCAAAAACACTGATGTTTTTATTTGACTAAAGTTGAACAGTATATAAATAGTGTATGTAGTTGGGTATAAAAAAAAACCAGTTTTATGAAACTCAAAACATAGAAGGTGAAAAATATTTTATTTCCCCAAAAAAAATAAGGTAACTTAATCATCAGATGACTTTTTTAGATTTAACGACGAATATGACATTCTTGTCAATTTCAAATAAAAAACGTTACTTTATAATATTATATTTTATTAACTTATTATTTTTTATATTGAAATATTTGTAACAATCATAATAAATAAAAACATCAACATCTATAAATGCGAAAATGGGGTTGATTTGTAAATAAAAATCTATTAATTTAAAGTTATCAAAGTTACTCATTTCTAAACATCCTACTGACAGACCATTGAATTAATAAGTACCTTCGTCTCAATTAATCTTTTTGTAATTATTTTTGTTTTTCCTAGAGACAAACATGAAAAGGACATGCCAAAACTGGCGGAACCAGAACCGCCAAATTTTGCCGCCAATAATAAGTTCGCTTTTTTGCAAACAGAAGATAATTCCGATTAGCAATAAGTGATCGTTAAAAAAGTGTAAATATAATCAAGAAAAGTTGAATTAATGGATTTTTTAAAACAAAAGTGGTAAACCGGACGATTTTACATATTTATTGTTTTAGTCATAGAATATATTTTTTTTTTGTTGAATACAAAAAAGAACCGTTTGTATGTGTATAATTTTTTTTGTTGAAAATTTTATTGTAATTTGTGTTAAATGAATTACATATTTATTTCCAATGTTTGTTTTCTTTCCTGATAATAGATTTATTGTTGAATGAATTGTCCAGTTGTGTGATAATTTGGTTTTTCCGATTTCAGATCTATGTCTTCATAAAATCTAGGATCGCTTATCCTTAAAGCTGCCCTCTTGTAATAGTAATAATAAATTGCAGACACTAGAAAACAAAAATTAATTATTTAAAAAAGTTTTTATCAAATTTCTAATGGTGTGTTGACCGTAATTTTTGTAGTACTTCTAATTACTGACCATTTTAAATCAATTAATTGACATTTGAATACATTTTTATACCTTTATTTTAGCAAATACCTAATACACTTAAAATGATGGAATTAAGACAGGGATAGAATAAGTAAAAGCTACTAGACTTGAGCAAAAAAAAGTGAATTTAAAATAAATTTCGTCAAAAATTAGGGCAGTTTGGCATTTTTTTTTTTTTTTACAATTTTACTTTGTTAAAGGAGGAATCTAGTTTATTAATAAAAAAAAGAATACAATTTGGTATATTTAAACTCTGAGCTTAAGACTATGTGGGTCTTACAAGGTACACATTTTATAATATATCACAGAAGAAAAATTCGGTACCTGCTTAGTTATAATAATAATAAATCTTTATTGGTCCTTTTTGATTACTATACAATGATGTAGGATATGTCAAGATACATGTAGTGGCAAAACACAATTTAAAATCTACATTTAAATAAACATACATAATATATATTACGTTACCTAATAATAATCCTTGATATTATAAAAACATTTTGTTACTAAAAATTTTTTTAATGTTTAAAGCTGTTAATGGATTTTATGTTTTTAATATCATCTGGCAATTTATTAAATAATTGAATTCCTGCATACTCAGGACTATGTTCATAGAGAGCAGATACATGCCTAATTGCCATTACGAGTGGTATAGTTGTGACAATCATTGTTCCTGAAAAATTTAGCTTCATTTTTTTGTATATAAGATTGTCTTATAAATATATATTGAGGGTAGAGTGAGTATGTGATGTTTAATAAAATGATCCCTGCATGTTTGTCTTGATTCCAGATTGAAGATAAGTCTAATTGCTCTTTTTTGTGCAATAAATACTCTTGTAGCAACAGGAGAATTTCCCCAGTGTAATATTGTATGATATGTGTGAATATACAATTGCATAATATACCTGTAGAAGTTGGTTAAATGTAAATATCTGTTTTAATTGAAGTAGAGCATAACCGCTATTAACCTTTTTACAGATGTAATTAATATTTGATTCCCAGCTCATATAATAACAATACTACTACAAAATAACTAATAATGAAAAAAAAAAAAAAAAAAAATACAGTAATTTAATATCACGCTATTACTTAAACCCTATTTAAACATGAAGATATCAACTAAGAAAATTCTATTAAGTGAACTTTTAGTTTTTTTTTAAAGAGGTCAGTCCTTATGTTCTTTATGGTGCTAGGAAGCTTATTGTATTGTCCAGGGCCGCCAAGAGCCAGGCCGGGCCCCGGGACAATTCTCCTACATCGGGCCCTGTGACAAAAACTTTTCGTTTTCTAAAAAAAAAAGTTCTCACCTCGAAAATAAATTTTCTCCCCATCTCAATTACTTCTTCTAAAAAAAAAGATACTCAGCCGAAAAAAACCCTCTAACCTAAAACTTTTCCTCTAACTTTCAATCACATCACCTCCTTTCTCTTATGTCGAATTTATCATGCTGAAACCCTATTCCTATTGTCGGGCCCCCCTTATAGCGTTGCCGGGCCCCCATTTGAGCCCCGGCCCCGGGAGTTAGTCCCGGCTACCCCCCCCCCCCTCTAGTCGGGCCTGTCTTACACCATCAGATAGTAGGTTTGTTCTGGTTCTCAAAATGAAAACTGTTTTGAAACTGCGCCGGACCGTATGCGTAAAGGCAAAAAATCCCCGACTGTTTGAAATTCTTGGAAAACCAGAACACGTCATGAAGGTGTTTTGTTTATTGTTTATTATAATAATGAAGTTCCTTTTGAAAGCTCAGCTTCAAATAACATTTGCATGTATATGTTTATCATTATCATCACATTTCAATGGAATAAATAAAAACAGAATATTAAAAAATTCATAATTCTAAAATTGCTTTAATTTACAAATAAAACAAGAACAAGAGACATTCGTCCACATATAAATAAACAATTTGGGATTGTATACGTTTCGTATGGTCTAAAAAGCCAATACAATATTCATAACACTTCAAAAACGCATGCGCGGTCAAAACAGTCCGAGTCGATCCACACTCCCAAGCATGAACACTTTTTGACTGTTTACAACAATCACGGATTATTTCGGATACGAAACCAGAACACTGGACTGAGAGATCCGAAGTAGTCCCAGAAAAACCAGAACACTTTTTATCTACTGCGCATGAGCCCGACAGTTGTGGATCGTTATTTCTCAAAACCAGAACAGACCTAGTATGCTTCGGTCACCAAAGCATGTTCTGAAGCAGCGATTATTCAGAGTATATCTATGGATAATATAGGAAGTAGTTAGTTGTATGGATGAGTGTATATTGTTCAGAGATAGGTTATGAATAAAAATGCATGTCTGATATTTAGAGAGGGAGTGAATGTCTAGAATATTAGACGATACAAAAGATCAGTTGGATGACAAAAAGGAAATTGAAAAGCTTTTCTGATTGCTCTATCCTGTAGAATTTGCAAGGGTTTTAGTCTATTTTGGAAAGTTTTGCTCCAAATAAGAGTTAAATATGATGTGAATGATACAGAGTCTTCCTTAAGTCAGCTGAAAGGTAGCAGGCAACACATCCCAATACTCCAATGTCAGGACTAATTTTTTTACACAATTGAGCAATATGATGTTACCAGTTGAGCTTGGAATCTATAAGTAGAGATATTTAATGCATTATGTCCTAGTCAACTGTTCATTGTCTATATTTATTTGGAATTGGTTCCATTCAGGCTTTTTTGATATCACTAAAAAACTTGACTTTTCAGTATTCAGAGTTAATTTATGAAACTTTAACCACTCAAGAATTTGAATTAGAAGTTGCTCTATAATATACTTTATTTCGTCTGTATCTTTTCCAAAATAGATGATACAAGCTCATCAGCATAAAGTTGCAAATAACCAGCCAAATAGTAGCTGAGCTATGGAGTTTATATAGATCAGGAATAACGTTGGTCCAAGAATTGACCCCCTGGGGTACACCATATTGTAGATCAACCATTTTACTAGAGGTATTTCCATTACTTACAAACTGTACGACCATTGAAATAATCTCCGTTATTCAATAGTCTTCCAAAATAGATAACAGTACTGAGTGATTAACAGTATCAAACGCCTTCTTTAAATCAAGTGAAACAATGATACATGCATTGCCTTCATTCACATAATGTCTGATGTTGTAATCATATCTGTGACTGCCGACGTTGTGCTACTTCCACTATGAAAACCATACTTGTACCAAATTTTGTTTTTTTTTTCAAGTTGGGAAACAAGCCTTTGATTAATACACCTTTTCAGGACTTTGGAGATAGAACTTAATAGAGATTTCGGTACACATATCAATTTTTTCCATGCTTGACAAAAATTATAACATTAAACTGTAAAATATAAACCACTTGACCTGCTCTCTTCAAACTTCGAAGCAAAACTAACAAAGAATGAGGCTATTTAAATGTGATATGACGCCGAACTGCACTGTCTATGGGTTACAGAAACTTTTTATATACATACATAAAGATCTCGAATTTTAGATATTATAATTCTAATTAATTATCATTAAAGCTTCAAATCAGAAAGTTATTTTCCAAAAATGAATAGAAGTATGTGGATTTAAGTATATACATATTTGCAAACGCCCAAGTCTTAACTTTATCACTGTTAGAATAAGAGTTTCCAATATGAATAAAATATTTGAATGCCAGTCAGCATTGCTCATATTATATTAGTTTATAAAATTACTTACTAAATCGTTGAACAATGAAGAATACAAAAAATGAGATATGCCATGTGTGCCTCGTAGTGCTCCAGCGTATAATCAATAGCCAAATGTTTACTACAGTTGTAAGAACAAAGTATGTCATACAAACAAGTAATGTCATACGAAATCTATCATATAATAAATAAACTAAACCATTCTAAAAAAAAAATCAACAATTAGTAATCGAGATATAAAATTATTATGTATATTTACTTGGAAGACATATGTGGAGAAAAAAGTTAATAATAATGCTGATAAAGCCAATATCAGACAAGCATCTTGAGCTCTGAAAGCAATAAATAAGTTAGGGAATATATATTTTTATAGAAATAATACATACATGAACATAACAAGCATTTTGGCATTACTCTCTCTTACAAACACTGAAACAATGTTTATAACCCAATCCACGCATATTAATAGGGCTTGTACAGATAAAATAACAGTATATCTTGCTGTATCCAACTTCATTTTGTTTTATATCTTCGCAAAAAAAATATTTTGTAATTTCAATTTACCTCATCTTCGTGGGTTTTAAATTTGTATTGATTTTGAATTGTTGACATGCGCATTCCAAAGACGTCATTACAAACTCCATACCAGATCCATACAAACAAACAAATATCAACAAAACTTACATCAGCATGGTGCATAAACAGAGTGGGGTTTTCTTCTGTTGGCAACATTGATTTAAAGCTTGTCTCACAAAAATGAAAATGAAGAACGATAGAAAACTAAGAACTGATATAGAGAAAGTAAAAGTTGAAAAGTCTTTTGGTAGGTAGAGAGGGGGTAAACGTCAAACCACGTCGGGCGACTCCGAGAATTTCACAGTAATGTTTACCTGCCAGTGTCGTTTCATAGAATAAGTAATTTTAAATTGTTATCGGCGGAACCGGACAATCGCATGTATTTATGGATTATAAATAATTAATAAACATGTATTATAATATTCTAATTATAATTTTACAAAATTTCAACAGCTATTCACAATTTATTAAACTATTTACTCGAAATTGTTATTAACATCTATAAAATAATTTTGTACGCCAATGTATCGCGTCCACTTCGGTGAGATCCGCTGACAACCTGTCAATTTATGTGTATAAAGTGGGAGAACTGGCAAAAGCATTTCCAACTTTTACTTCTGTACAATTTTATTTTAACCGGATTGACATTGCTGTGAAAAAAATACTTGATAAATATCATAATAGTGTAAAGTTAATTTATTTATTTATTTACAATATCCTACAGGGCTTCCCCCATTTACAGAATAAGGTGTGGACAAATAATATAAATATTCAAACATTCGGAAACAGCAAAGTGCATCCTGAAAAAAAAAACTTTACTAAAAGAAAAAAAGATGCACCCATCTGACTCAATTTTAAATAATATAAATTAACAAACTAATATAAACAAAAACAAAAAGACTAACAAATTTTATAAAGAAAAATTAGATACAATAAAATCATACAACCGAGCAAATTAAGCAATAATCTATATATATAAAAATTTCGTGTCACGATGTATGTTCGCGATAAACTCCGAAACTACTGAAAGGATTTTCATAAAATTTGGCAACTATCTGTAATTTGATCCAATTTAAAAGATAGGATAGTTTTTATCTCATAGGCATTCCAACGACCTGTCCAAACAATAGCTGACAGCGGGAAGGGTTAGTAAATTTAAAGGGGTTGCGACATAGCCTTCCATCTTGGACGCTATTTTTATTTGAAATAATAGTCGCCGAGCCTGCCAATTTATAGAAAATGTATAAGCGGTTATTTTAAAAATAATATTTTCATTGTGTTCAACATAAAATATTTAAATTTCATCCATTATTTATGATTTCATATAATGCAGATAAACTACATCGTATGTCGCAACCCTTTAAACATACCAAACCTTTATATGAAATGTCTAAATATTGTATATTTATTGGTTAGTTCTATGAATTCCTAATAGATGACGGTGTAAGGTGAAGACTTTCGCCCTTTTAAATATAGGAACTTGAAAATTGGAATTGCAGCTACTCATAAATGTAAATAATGACGTATTTCAAAGTTTTTGGATTTTCGCATTTAAAGGAGGGGGGCATGGGAAGTATCATAAAAACCCTACTACTCACATACTTTGATTTTCTTTTACTATACGGAGAATGGTCGCACTGCGCAGCTTTCTGAGTGCCTTTTAAAAGGAGATAGAAAACTCCGCCATTTTGAACCCTTATTACGTGTTGCCTACATCTTGGCGCAATATTTTTAATAGGTGCGTTTTAATCTTCTGCTTCGGAATTGTCGGTTTTCTTGTTTTAATCTGAGAGGTTAAAACGACTAAACCGACAATTCTGGAAGTAGAAGCACAGAAGCAAAGTATTCTGTGGTAGAAGCGGATGATTAAAACGCACCTGATATTTTGCTTGCTGCTGTCAGTGTCAGTGAATATTATTTTTGGAGTCACAGTTTATTGCTAAAGAATCAGTTAGCTCACTCGGACCAGTTGAAAGTTCCAAAATAACATCCACTCCAGGGATACAAATTCAGGATACGCAGAAGACTGCTGTTTTATTATAGGCGGTTGTCATATATTGTATTATCTGAGTTGCGCAGTGTATAAACTGGAACATTGAGATAAAAAGTGCCGACGCAGAGTGAGCGATCTGATTCTTTAGCTATAAACTGTGTCATAGGGTTCAAAATGGCCGCGCCCTATGTTGGGCGTGTCGGACCTCTCTCTTGCCCCGTATTCGCTCCGTGCGAAGTCATGGAAAGGGAGGCAAAAGCGATACTAGCGCTAGCTGCGGATAATTCGTGCATTTTAGGGGGATATTTTGTAATTTTGGCATATCAAATACACGTATACATTTTACTTTTTTTCAAAAAGTAGGTAAAAACAACACAATAAGCAACCGGAGTTGCTGTGTTGAAAATTGTACAAATACTAGCAAAAAAAAACAGTGAAACTTATATAACAAATTTCACTAACAAAGTGGAAATTAAATCAAAGAAATAAATGGATAGGTGTACAACAAGAAGAAAAATTACCTTTATTTTTGTGATAATAACAGTAATGCTGGAAATAGTAGACATCAGAAACTAGAAAGTTTTTAAATAAACAATAAATTATCATTTTACGATGTTCTTTAATATCCCTTTATTCTTAAATGTTCATTCAGCAAGGACTAGATTTCAAGATTTCTGCCGTTGATTATAATATTTGGCTGGTATGCAATTTTGTGACTTACTGATCGGAAACCAGTTTTAATCATTCATTCTATGTTTTCTTTAGAACAAAAATGAAAATATAAGTAGCGATCCTTTTTATACATTTTAACTTCACGCTATTATAAATGGTTTCTTCAATGACAACTTATTAGACTTAGGCAACTTCTCATACATTTTCCAGTAAATACTGTTGCCTGCCTATATTTTATTATTGATTTTTAATGATTATACATAATTTTCTTCAATTTAAGCGTGAAAAATATATAATAATAATAAATTAATGTTTTAATTGTTTTATAAATCCATATACTTTTATTAAAACTAACATATATACTTTTTATTTACGAATTCTATTAAAAATTGTATTTGTCAGTATAGGCAGAAATACTCCTTTAATACCAAAACAAATTGGCGCTGCTGTCGCGCACGGAGCGAATAGTAATCAAAGTATGTACTTCTACTACATAAATACGAAAGTATGGAGAAAGGGGGAAATAGGGGGAAAGTGAGAAACTGAAAAAATAGAGAGAAGGGGGAAGAGGAATGAAATTATCGATTTTTTAAATGTGGGAATAAGAAAGTTGGAATTGTAGCTACTCATATAATGACGTATTTAAAGGTTTTTGGATTTTCACATTTTAAGGAGGGGAGGAATAAATAAATAAAAAGAAACAAATAAAAAATAAATAATAAATAAAATTAATAAAAATTATTAGAAATTATTAAAAATTAACTAAAATTAATAAAACTATTAAAAACGAATAAAAATTAAATTAATAATTTTTTTTGCAAGTATCGCATGAGTAACAAAAACTGTTATTCACTTTTAATAATTGAGATTTGAGAAATTCCAGCGAAGCGGGATCGGGTCAGCTAGTTGATACATAAATAAAAGTTACTAATTGGACAAGAACGCAATATTATACAGTGAGCATCATAAGTCTTACCCCCCCTAACTAACTCGTTACTGGAGTCTTGTTAGGAAAATCGCCGAGACACGTCGATTTTTGATTTCTACAATGTACATTTTTGCATGATTAGTTAACCCTTACTTTCATCCCTTACTGGAGGGGAGCAACCCTTTCGAAAAATTTAAATGGCATGGGGTGGTGAGTGATAGCTCATTTGAAAGGAGGTTTTATTCTCTATTCAACCGTGCAAAAAAAATTTAAATTTGCTTCATTACGTGTTGATTTATTAATGTTTAAAAATAACAAAACATCACAAATAGGAAAGCAACTGAACTAACTGTGACCTTATCTAATGGCACAAAGTCTAACTTCATGTCTGAACCAAAACCGATATCATGCAGGGCCGAATTTTAATTCTAAGGATGAGTGCGCTACGTTAATTTCCGTTATTCTGAAACAATAATTAGTCGAGAATTAATGAAGCAAATTTCAAATTTTTTTGCACGGTTGAATAGAGAATAAATCCCCCTTTGAAATGAGCTATCACTTACCACCCCATGCCATTTAAATTTTTCGAAAGGGGTGCTCCCCTCCAGTAAGGGATGAAATTAAGGGTAAACTATTCATACAAAAATGTACATTGTAGAAATCAAAAATCGACGTGTCTCGGCGATTTTCCTAACAAGACTCCAGTAAAAAGTTAGATAGGGGGGTAAGATTTATGATGCTCACTGTATAGTCAGACCCAAATTAATTAAAGATCTTTGAGTATATTTTGATAGTAACTTAAATTTATTTCTTACATTAAAAAAACGACCGCTTCTGCGGATCGAATCTTGGGTTTTATTGTACGGAATATGAGATTTGGTAATTTTTCTACGATGAATATGCTTTATTCTTCGCTAGTCATGTCAAAACTGGAATATGCTTATATCATTTGGAGTCCAATATATTTAAATCAAATTTCACTATTAAAACGTGTACAACGAGTTTCTTCAAATCTGCGTGTTTTAGGATTGATGGTATTTGCCCAGTAAGAGAAATTCCTCAATTTTTTTTATTTAGAACGTTTTAAATCATGTAGACTTTATAACAGACGATCGATGCATTACTAATATTTCTATTTAAAATAATACAAAACAAGGTAGATTGCATTTTAATTTCTGGAATATTAAATTTTCCTGTTCCAAGGGTTAATTCTCGAAATAATTATATATTTCACAAACACTCTCATAGAACCAACACATACAAGGCATCTCCTATGTATCAAATGATTGTAAACTACTCAAATATTGAAGTAAATTTAGATATTTTTAACTGTTCTGTCTCATCTATTAAAAGAGCATGTTTGTAATGAGTAGTTATTTATTGTTACAGATTCTTTCCGGCAAAACGACATAACATTACACTTTTTTGCATTTAAAGGTAATTTGTTTACAATGCACCATTTACTCAAGCGATCGATATTCTGTTGTAATTTTTGACAGTCAGTTATGTTTTAAATTTCTGAAAATAATTCCTTAATTTTCCTTACTGGTCACCTACTGGATAGTAAAAGTTTCATTTCAGATTAAGGAAATAAACAACTCATAAAAAGGAACAAAATTTATTTAAAGCTAATGCATTTTATAATACAAACTATAAACAATAATTAGGAATTTTATACACGTATACACTTTTTACATTTTTTGTAAAAAAGTAAATTTAGTACATGAAGCACAACAAAATAGCAGAAAATCGTACCATTTTTTAAGACACAATAATTATATTAACGTTGCACATGGTCATTTATGATGAAATAATATTACATGGAAGTTCCATGCAGACAGTTAAACTATAACATTTCAGAAATATAAACAGTACTGACCAAAAACACATATTTATTTAATGAATGATCTTTAATTTAATATCTTAAAAAATGGCAAGTAGGTAATTATAGATATGCACTATTTATGTTTAAACCACAACACGTAAAGCAACTGATTTAAAATAATTAAAATGGCACCAAAATGCCTTCAAGAAAAAAAAATACAATAAGCATATTTATAAGACAGAATTATAAAACATCAAAAAATTGTGTTTAGAAAAAAAAAACAGTTTATAATACATCCCTACAATATTAAAGTACTAATTGTACACATGTATAAAATTCTACATGCTTGTCGGACAAAACTTAAAAATGTGTAGTTTAGAAAGGATGACAAGAACGTCTGTAAATTTCGATATTTCTTTCAAAACTCTTGTTACCACAAAATACAATCTTGTTAATAATTGACAATCGATATAAATCTTAAACGAATTCAAGCAATTCCAAGTTCTTTTCTAGAGAAGTTTAAAATTAAAAATTGGTATCATAAAACTTGTAGCATAATAATGCAAAAAAGTTGATTGATCTCTAAGCAAATACGGGGCATTTCAAAAGAATATAGGTCAAAATACAGATATAATAAATTGTTAGCAGAATAAACTATCATAAATTGTTAAATTAACAACTTTCAGCTGTACTATATTGAGATTTTTTTTTAATCACCGGTGCGTTATTTTTAACTATTTTTTGAAACGTTAAATTACTTAAAAACTAAAAACTTTCATCCAATTTATACTAATGTTATTCATTCGGACACAACCATTAATAAGTACGTTCACGCTATTTACAAGTCTTACATAAATCTCTCGCAACTGATACATCTATACAACTAATTCACAGCCTTATATTCTTTATTATGGTCCACCGCACCCATTCTAGGCCTTTCGTTTCATTTAAAAATATTTCACACTGCTCAATGTCCACACTATCACATTATTTTCATCTTGGCGAAAATAGTAGTACATAAACTCCTATTGTACACGCTATATTTTCGGAATTATTAAGCAAAATGGAATAAATTCCATCTGTATACGCAATCATATCCTAAGGCTAGTTTAAAATAAACAAGGTGCGGAAGCTAAATATTTCCCGACTGTTTTAGTATTTAATAATATCACTCACAATGTAATAATTTTCTATACTTTTATGTTATCATATGGTGCACTTTGATGGTGTTATACAACAAAGAACAAATCAACATTTTTCCACAATGAAGTTACCTCACCCCAGTGTCCCAAAGAGCTATGCGGTTTTTGGTTAATCCTCATTCACGTTTTCTAACAAATGTTTCAAATATGTTCTTCCCTTTTTTCTAATAACCTCTGTTAGTAGACAAGCTTGTCATGTTATGTCATTGCTTTTGTACTGTAACTGTAAATTACTGAGATGTCAAATTTTTAAAATGTCACATTTGATGAATGAATTCTTGATAAATATAATCTACTGATTACAATTCTTGGTATCGGGACTGGCGATATTCGCATAAGTGAATGCACTAAATAGGTTCTTTCGTTCGTTTCACTGGTGTAGGAATGAACTACACCAACGGACACTATACCTTTCGTTTGACCCGGAGTAAAATTCACACCTTTCGGTCGGCGGTGTGGTGTCCACTGGTGGATACTTTCTCCATCAGCAATTTAGTAAGAGTGAATTACACTCGACATGTGTATAAGGAGGTAAGTAAACTAGGCGGTGTAATTGACACTGGTGGACACTGCACCAACAGCGAACGAAAGAAACTCGTCTTTATTAATAAATTGTACAATTAAGCTACAAGCTATTCTTACACATAATCTAAAAGTACAATATAGAAACAAATCTGATACAGAATATAATTAAATAAACTTGATTTAAACTGATTTTACTTTAATTAAATTACGAATAAAAAAAACCGACTGATATGATTTAATTTTTGTTATGATACATTAATTTTTGACATGTTTTATGCATTTGCTCATGCGATTATTGATAGTGTTTCACACTAACTAATTCGTGACATTTCAATAAATTGTTGATAATAAGCGTACTACTTATTACCCTTGATAATAAATTGTTCAGAGTGAACTATCTTTAGAAAGTTAGTTTTATAAAGCTTCTTGTTTTATTAAGTTAAAATCAAAATAAAATATGACAAATATAAATTCCAAGGCATATGTGAGATTTCAAAGTATGTTTAAAACAAGTTATACTTACTATTCACATTAACTTGTAAGTACTGAATTAATTCTACATAACCACGTATAACTGGACAAAGAGTACTTAATACAGAGCTATTAAAGCATTTCGTTGATTACCAAATGAAATATCAAATATTTAAGATAATATACAAACTTTCAGAAGTCCAATTATTGAGTATTTAAATCAGAAAGTTTACTATAATATTAAATGATTTATAAAAATACTCTAAGCGTATTGTTTAGAAAATGTATTCATAAATGTGTAATTAATTTTTATCGTTATTTTTTATATATAAATATTTTGTCTTTATTTTAGATGTTTTTACACCAATAATATTTTTTTTAATATACCTATTTTATCAGTATCCATATAATTTATTTTCAAAATTCCTAAAACTAACATTAACATTTAACATAGTAACTCCTAATAAACTGAAGCAAAAATAAATATATCTATATACAAATGTTATGGAGGTTACCGATACTCTAATGAAATTGGTTTACCATATATTTTAACCCATTACCATAAAAAATTGACCTTTTAGCTCAAATAATTAATAAACTCCGGTAACTAGATATTTTCAACATAAAACAATCAAGAAAATATTGCCTTTTACTTAATACACCATTTGTATTGAAAACTAGCCTAGTAAAAAATAACCAAATACAATTTTCTAGAACATATTCTAAAATACGTAATATTTGTTCAACTGTTAATTTCTGAAAACTTTTCTTTAAATTCGTTAGGAAGAAGATGGTGAAGCTCAATACCTCGAAAAGTTAATGAACACTTGCCACAAAATTGTGACTGCGGGCAGGTTTATTTTTATAGTATGAACATTTTATTTAATGCGTAACAAACTGATTCAGTCAGGTGACAACTTTACACCGCATTCATTCATAATTATTCCGCTAAATACCTTAACAAATGGAATTTAGTTTGATTTATATTTTGCCTAACATGCTAATGTTCATTCTTTTGTAATCAGTCTCAAAACAGCATTCGTCAAATACTGATTTGAATTCATAACCCAAAACTGTAAGGTCCATACGCCATACAAATATTAACATAATAAACTAATAATGTTAAACGATCTTGGAATTGACATTTTGTGCTTTTTTAATATTCATGTCCTATTATTAATAGAAGAAACCTCACAATACTGGTTATACAGGTAAGGAATTCTCAACGAGGAAACTATACCTTATCAGGAGTTGAAAAAGGTATAATAGGAACATGTACATATCAGGCAGATACCGTTGTCGTTTGTGGCCCATAAATCTGTGTCTGACGTATATAGTGGGGCGAGCAGAAGTCGTATCGATGCTCGCTCGTAGGGGGGTCTCTCTGTTATGTGCATGTTCCTATTTAACTTTGTTCAATTCATTGTAAACTAGAGTTTCCGTAATATAAATTCCGTGCCTTTATACAAACAGAAAAATATTCATTTTGTTTATTGTCTTTACTAATTCTAACTTAGAAATATGCAGAGCCCCATCTTAAGTCTTAAAGATTTATTATTAACAAAAAATACGTCGTTATATTTTGGAACTCCATCAATAATCAATAAATATTAAATTCGATTATTTAAACAATTACATTCGCGATCACCAGTATTCAGCAATGTATATTCAAAATTGAAGACTTTGGTGCAAAAACCGGCTAAGTCCAATTTTTTACTTACTTCCCAATTATCTTGTCACATAATTTCGCCGATCGTTTGGTACAAGAATTAGTTAAATCCAAGCCACATAAATGTTTTCTTATTACTGAGGACTTAACTGAACAGCTCTTGGTTGTAAAAATTAGATAAGTCTAGGACTTATCTGTTTTTTGCTCTAAATTAATGTAGTTGTTGTGGGGTGACTTAACCGACTCACCAGTCGCTATCGACTTGACGACGCCTTCTTTAGTTTAATGTTTTTCGCTGTGGGATTGTAAATAAAGTGGAAGTGAAACAGTATGTTGATACGCCTCAGAAACCTAACAAGCCCATTAGAAGTTCCGAAAAATGGCAGGGAAAGTTAAGGAGAAGTCTATACAGCTAAATCAAGGCTGTGGTACCAGCAAAAAGTGTTGCTAGGAAATGTAAGTACTAAAAAATACTTTTCGTCGATTGGAGATGCTAATATAAGAAAGATTAAGCCTAAGCAAGACATCTTTTATGTGATTAATTTGCCCCCAGCCCGTAGCTAGAAAAAGATGATCGATTTGGAGAAAGACCGACACGTTTATTTTACATATAAAGTAAGTTGAAAGTTCAAATTTTGTCTTACACATTGGCTTATATAAACGCTTGGTACCGTTTACTATTACAGGTAGAAAATACCATTTTAGAAATAAGTGTATCTTATATATTTCGTTTGATTTCATATTCGTGTTGATGCTTGGAATATCTAATTTGCAAACATGCACTCTGGGCTATCCATGGAGTCACTAGACATCGAATAGATCGTTTATCAAAATCATTATATGCAAGTATTTCTGCACCACCAGACATGAGAGGGAGGCATTTAAATCGGCTTATTAAAATTCCCGCCAATGTAGTTAACACAATAGATACATAAAGAATCCGGGGCGCTCGTCGCATTATAGTAGGAAGAAAAATGGAGGATAATTTTATTTACCAGATGAATTAAATATAACAAAAATATATTGCAGAAATACGAAGCAGACATGTATGCGACAAGTATTAAAAGTAATTTAAAAAAAACTGGCTTCAAAATCGTGAAGATGCCATCACCATATCTTAACCAAATTTATATGGGACGACCCCTGAGGTACCCCTTACTAACAAAAAAGAATCATAGAAATCGGACAAGATGGTAAAGAATTATCGCTAAACATACATAAAAAATGGACAGTTTGAGAATTTTCATGGACCCAATTATTAGATTCTGACCAAATTTGTATGGGACCACCCCTGAGGTATCCCCTTTACTAACAAAAAAAGAAACAGAAATCGGACAAAGTGGTAAAAAATTATCGCGTAAATATATATAAAAAATGAAGACTGAGGATTTTCTCATGGACACAATTATTAGATTTTGACTAAATTTATATGGGACCACCCCTGAAGTACCCCATTTCTAACAAAAAAAGAATCATTGAAATCAAACACCGTGTTAAAGAATTATCGCTGAACACACATAAAAAAATATACTAACGAATTGAGATCCTCCTCCTTTTTTGAAGTCGATTAAAAATAGAAAGAGCTGAGAAATGTAAGCCAAAGGTATCCTATGATTTTTACCACCATCACCACTTCCTGCATAATTTCAATATAAGCTTTGGTAGTCCCAGATCTGACACCTGTCAAACTACAATAAACTCTGAGCAAGATAGAGAACAACGACGAAAAACTACTAGATCAATTTTGTTTACAAAAATCGAATTGCAAACTTTCACGGTGTTATCCACGAAGTTGTCAATTTATTATGAGTATGGGAGAGTCCTGTTACAAGGATTGTTTATGCCCAAAGGGCTTTCACAATTACTTTGGGGAAATATATTTGCATTCTTAATGCCAGTTATTATCAGTTTAATGTATTTTTCTCATTGCAACTATCATAGTTGTATGTTTTTCAGGAAAGTACGTAATTAATTTTGAAGTGTGACAGTAGTGTAAAGCAAGAGTAGTAGATGTAAATACTGATTCATTTATAAACACATGCTCGCTCCTCAGATAAACATACTCTCGCAAACCATCCCCACTCAAATTAGCAGTCGTCTCCTTTCTAATACGGCAGCCGATGCAACAGCTATGTCTGCGTAATAATAAACACAATCCGAATGATTGCAATAAATAAGCTTAATTATTAATGAATGGATTAGTCTAGTAGTTTCTCGTCGTTGATAGTGAATCCAAGGTTACCCTTAAAGTGAAAAAGAAGCATTACATGCTGAAGTCTGAATTATTTTACCTTTTATAAAAAGAAAAGACAAATTTAGCAAAAATTATCCCATAATTGAGGTATTCAGTTTGGACCCACAACAAAATTTACCATTGCCTCATAGCTAGATATGTATTTTATAAGAGGCAATTATGGCTATATAACTTTTGTATTCGTTTTGTTACTAGTGGCATTTCAACTTTATACGCAGATCATTACCTGAATACCTTATTTTCCAAAGACTGTAAAGACAATATATCTATTTTTTGATAATGCAATTACGCAGAACAAAATCAGACGTTGACAAAGTTAAAAAAAGGGATCAACACTATTATTCATCAATATCCTGAGCCAGGGCATAGTTTGCTGCCCTATGACCGTTTATTTACGTTAATATAAAGGCAAAAAGGTGCACGGAAATAATTCACCTACTAAATGAGTGGAAAACACTAGTTCGAAAAACTTCAAATAAGTTCAGTCTTATTGAATAATATGCAACACGAGATATGATAATGGATTTCACAAGTCAAAATATTTTATGCCTTAATTACTCTATGTCATATCAATAAACTTCAGTGCTAATCTGAGCTTATTCTGTTTTACCAACTATAATATAAACATTTTTATTTTATTAATAAAATGGACCTATACGGTTTTTGAACCAGTCTTCAATTGTATGATGATAGGGTGTTGGCATCAACATTGACATATAGAAGATTATCGTTTACTTAATTGCTTAACGTCTAGTCAATTAATGCCAACGTGTGACCATTTTGCCGACTGCACACCAAGAGAAAGTCAACCAAATATGCAGATAACTTTAACAAAGTAACAAGAAATTGACGCAGCAAGCCCAGTACAAATAAAATTTGAATTGATAGATGAAGGTATCATGTCCAGCAGTGTGAGATGTATAATCTTTAATATGGATGGATCTATCAAACATGTACCATCATATACGATTTTTGAGAAATGATGAGACATAAACAACAATTTTGACTAATAAAAACGTAATCAAAAATAATTTACAAGTATTCAATTTCTAGTAAAAATTGATTAATAAACTTTTTTTAATTAAAAACAACTGAAAATATTAATAGTTTTCAATAATTTATTAAACCCATACACAAGTTGAAAATAGTATAATTAACATTAAATATATATGTCACAATTTAATGGGGAATTCTCCTATAAAAAAATACAAAAATATTGCAAAATATCAAGAATATTAGTCAAGGGAAATTCCCTAACAATTTTTTTGTTTAAATGATTTTTTCAGAGACGTGTAAGTCACTACGTTGGATTTCAATGATTGGGAACAAATAATTTTTCGTCATATTTCGTCTCGTATACAATACGTAGGTCACGGGGCAACAGCAAATAAAATATACTGAGTCCATATTATTTGAGAAAAAACATTTATAAACATAAACATACAATACAATCAAATTCATCTCATATAAATAAAATAAACTCAAATAGCCTATTAATTGTAATAAATCAAAACAAGTATCTAACTCAAAAGGTTTTTAAATTAAGCCCTTTTTGATTACATACATTAATAACTATAATTGGTTATAATCAGTACAATGAGCCAGATACGTCAAAATAATAAGATTCCTAGAAATATCCCTTTTCTAGTTATACATTGAATTAGTGTGCCAAATAAAAACAAACCATTCTGTCATTGATTTTGAAATTTACGTTTTAAATTTAGTTTTCTGTTTGTTTGTAGGCTGTAAAAAGGTAGTTTAAATGTAGATAACCAAATTATTTTTAATAGTGATATGCTTTTAAATTAATACAATCGTGAAAATAATAGTGATAAACTGTTAATGAATACATAACCTCTATTTTTATTTATTGTATTACAGAATTGATTACTAAACGATTATTTAACTAAAATGTTATCTACTTTAGGAATATATTTTACGTTCTAAAATCACTTAAATAAGTGTCTATTTAGTCTACAATTTGGTTTGGTATACAAAGTAGTAATACAGCCTACTTTCAGTGTTGCCACATATCAATACAGTTCCAAAACATTTTTTCTCGGAATCAGTAAATATAAAAAAATGATGAATTAAACGTGTCAAATTCAATCACTTTCTGAAGTTAAAAATATTGAAGAGAATTCCCCTTTCACTTGATCATGAAATTATTATTTTCATTGTTTTATGTTTAAAATGTAACATATTTTTAGCTATTTTTTTATCATATCATGCATAAAAACGATAAAAGCCAAAATTAGAGATTCTCAAGGCTTTACTTTTTTTTAATTAAACCCCAAATATGAAGCTAAAATAAAAATACTTTTTTAACAACTTTAAAAACCAGATAGGTTCGAATTTAATTTCTAATAAAAGAGTTGATAACATTTAATTAGTTCATTTAAAATCATATAAATGACTTAGGGCCTCTTTTATATTCTAAAGTTAGTTATAGAATTTCTTTTTTTGTTTCAAAAAATAATCGCCCAATATAGTTTTTCTTTTGTGTGAGGTTTCCCATTTAGAATTATTATTTAAAAAATTTTGATACCAACTCACAGCGCTTCTCGTCACCCATTGGTATTTTCTGAAAATAACAGTGTCTTTGTTTTTTTTTGTTATCCTTTTCCTGACTTGTCATTTTTGTATTTGTTTTAAAATGTTATCAATATGGGCACTTTTCGAAAAACAATGATTCTAATTATTTCAAAATTGAAAACCTCCCATGGGTACTGACTGATCTGAACTGAATTGGTACTGTTGGTGGTCTGTGTCTATTGATGGAGCTACATTGGAATCTTCTTCTTCTGTACCAAAGAAGTGCTCGATGATGTCGAATGCTTTTTGGTAAATCTCCATGTTTTCATGGGATTGAAGAAATTCTATCTTGTCAAGACCTAAAATGAGAAAAAACGTGTATAACTGCTAACAATCAATCGAGGGGTAAATATGTTTGCTATGTCTGGGTATTCTTTGGCAACTCTGTTAATCTATTTTTTAGAGGGTTGCTTATTATAATGTACTTTTGCATTTTACAAAATTCTTGTTGTAGATTTATATATTCTATTAAAAGTAAAGAACACATTTCGCATAAACTTGTTGAATGTAAATGGCTAAATATGGAGAACCATTTTAAACTCCATTTAGGAAATTTTGTGCATAAAATAGTCTATCAGTCGAAAATATTTGTTTTTTGTTTTTTTGAGCTTTAATATTTAAACCTATTTCTATGTATGTGATTTTGTGAATGTGATATTTTTGTGTAGGTATTCTACATACATGTATTAATTGTTATTTTTTTTAACTCTGTGTACCATTTAGAATAATTTTTTCTTGTAGTTCTTGGGTTTTAGGTGTTGGTTGAGGAAATGAAACTCGTGTTAAGGTAAAGCTTTCGGCGCTTCTCAGGGCCTTCTTCAGTAGTTTTTTTAATTTTTTAAAAATTTGTACATTATTGACAGTTAATTGTTCTTTAGTACATTATCGAGTGTGTAATTATAGTTTTTAAATGTTTTAAATCCTTTTATATTAATCTGTAATTGATTTTTGTCATTGCCGTGTCCGGTTTTGATGCTGTGGTATCCCTTGTCAGTTTCGATAGTCGAAACTGTTTTACAAAATAGACACTATTTCCTAGCATTCTTTGTGTTAGGTATTCTTATGTGTTTACTCCTCACAATCAACAACCTTGCGAGACCTTTTCGCACTATTTACTTACCATAACATTCTTCTATCAATACAGCATAAGGATTGGTACCATTCTGCAGTTTAGCATCCTGCTCTCCTAACCTCAAAATGTTTTCCAAACCATTGAGTGCTACTTGAACAATCTTAGAGTCCATCACTGTAAGTAAATCGCATAGAGGCCCTATGCAATTTTGGCTAACAAGATACCTGATCTGATCCGGAGTACCGCCACTGGTAGCATTGGTAATGGCCCAAGCAGCTTCTTTCCGAGTTTTGAATTCTGCCTTGCTCAAAATTTCGATGAGTATGGGAAAAATGTTTGCATCAATAACAGCCTACAAAGCACATTAAAAAAAAATATTTCCACATATTGTACTATACTTTTAGAGTTTAAATTTTTTAAATAGTAAAAGTTGCTAGATTTACCTGAATTTGTTGTCTGTTTCCTGCAGTGATGTTGCTGATGGTCCAACAAGCTTCTTTTCTAATCGATTCCTTAGGTGAACTTAACAAATGATGAAGGCAGGGTAAAGCAGAACAGTTTAGAATGACTTGGGTCTGAACATCATCGCCGGTTACAATGTTACCAACTGCTCTAAGTGCTGCAGATACTACATTAGGAGGTTGTGCCATCAAGAGTTCTACGAGGCGTCTACATACACCGGCATCAACTACAGCCTAAAATTAAAACAGAATACCCAAATAATATATTAAAAATCATTTGATCAACTGCATAATCATGCAGAAACCAAAAAAGCAAATAATGTATTTCTTTAAACGTAATACCTGAATCTTTTCATTAGGTCCATCTGACAAATAGCTCAAAGACCAACATGTATCAGCTAAAACGTCAGCATCTGTATGGAATAGAAGTCTGGACAAAATTGGCAAACAAGGTGCCACTTTAGAAAAATCGGGAGGTGGATTTTTTCCTCTGCATAAGTTTGAAAGAGCCCATACTGCATTTCTTATCATAGATAAACGAGTTGGTTTACTAAGTATTCTAAAATTAAAAATTTTAAAAATTACCGCAAAGAAAACTAAACACTATCAATTTTGTATTACTATATAAATGCCCTAAACTATTACATTTCACTAAGATGACAATGAATCTCAAAACCATAGGACCTAATATGGACTAAATAAATACCTATTTAAACAGAATGACAAGCAAAATTAAAATAGAGGTAGACCTAGCCCATCAGTAGAGAGATTTATACTCTTCTATGGGGTGTTTTTAGGAAATTGCTACGACGAAAAACTACTAAACTAATCCATTCATTCATAATTAAGTCCCTATTTATTGAAAGCATTCAGATTGTGTTTTGTATCAGGCAGACAGAGCTGTCGCATCAGCTCTGCATTAGAAAGAAGAGCGTCTCATGTTGAGTGGGGATGGTTTGGGCGAGTTTGTTTATCTGGGGTGCAAGCACACGTTTTGCAGCGACGACGTTTGCTTTACATTGTTGCCACACTTAAATTGCGTCGTTTTCCTTGAAAACGACTTCGACTACGATAGTTGTAAGACATTAAATTGATAACAACTAGCATTAAGAATGCAAATATACTTTCTTAATGTAATTTTAAAAGCCATTTGTGCATGTTAGAGTCTTATATTAGGTCAATTCCGAAATATAACCATAAACAACCCTTGTAACAAGACCCTTCCATACTCTGTCATAATAATTTAACAACTACGTGGATGACAATGTGAATGTTTACAATTCGATTTTTGTTAATAAGATTAGTCTAGTAGTTGTTCGTCGTTGGGAAATTAATAGATATTTACAATATATTTATAGTTTTAATTAAAATATATACAGTATGTCCCCCTAAGTTGGAATCATATGGAAAACTTTTTATCATTAATTTTAGGAAAAAAAGTTATTCTTCATAAAAAGTTCTGCATTATCTAAAACCTAGAATACAGTCATCAAATATCAAATATTTTCAGTGGTATACGAGATTTGTCAAAAAAAATGAGTTTTACTCAAGAGTAAAGTGCCTTTATTCTTTATACGACTGGATAAAATTTGATATCTGATGATTGTATTTTAGGTTTTAGACCATGCTCGACTTTTTATAAAGAATAACTTTTTTCCCAATACTAATAATAAAAAAGATTTTCATATGTCGCCAATTTACGTAGACAGTTGGTGGCATAGGAAAGCTTTTTTATTACTAATTTTAGGAAAAACAGTTGTTCTTTATAAAAAGTCGAGCATGGTCTAAAACCTATAATACAACCATCAAATATCAAAGTTTATCAGTCGTATAAAGAATAAAGGTACTTTACTCTTGAGTAAAACTCATATTTTTTGACAAACCTCGTATACCACTGAAAAAATTTGATATTTGATGACTGTATTCTAGGGTTTAGATAATGCAGAACTTTTTATGAAGAATAACTTTTTTCCTAAAATTAATAATAAAAATTTTTCCATATGATTCCAACTTAGGGGGACATACTGTATATTTTTTAATTTATACCCCATTAACTTTTAAAGCGTTAAGTTTCTATTTTAATATAAGACAATGTTTTTCAGTATAATTCACATCGTAACAAGGCATAATTTTTAGAAATATATTAGCTTACCTAACTTATTGTACAACTGATTATTAGATTATAACATTTAAAAAAATTAAAAATATGTTGAGGGTACTTGCTTATACTTATAATTTGTTTTAATAAATGATGCTATAAGTGTGGTTAGTATTCTTAGGGCCCTATTCAGTAATTTATCGTTTATGGACGACATCGTTAAGCTAACGACAGTTCAACCAACGACTTTTATAACGATAATTTTTGAAACTCTATTCAATAACAAAGTCGTTACGTTGTTTCTAGTTACCAAATCTGAACGATGATTTCTAGTAAGTTGGTATTATAATTTAGTGTTTTGTGATAAAAGAACGTATGTTGATGATTATAGCGGGCGTTTAAATTAAAGTTTTAGGGCCCTATTCAGTAATTTATCGTTCATGGACGACATCGTTAAGCTAACGACAGTTCAACCAACGACTTTTATAACGATAATTTTTGAAACTCTATTCAATAACAAAGTCGTTACGTTGTTTCTAGTTACCAAATCTGAACGATGATTTCTAGTAAGTTGGTATTATAATTTAGTGTTTTGTGATAAAAGAACGTATGTTGATGATTATACCGGGTGTTTAAATTAAAGTTTCACAGTTAATGCTGCGTTTGAGAATCCACATCTGATGCATTTTTTACATCTCGAGCGTTTTTTTATCCACATCGGACACATCTGTCCCATTACATTTACGTATACTGAATCACGTGATCAAAGATTTTTTACATCTCAGATGCATCCGATGTGGATTCTCAAACGCAGCATAAGTATCGCCAAAAATATGCATTTTATAAAAAAAAAGTACCAGACAAAAGTTTTATAGTTTTTTAGGGGAAACATTTTGGCTAAATTATTTTTTTTATAGCTGACCATAATATGGCCATATCGAGGTGGATTTTTTTTTTCAAATTGGAACCCTATTTTTTACATAGGTATTCTTAGAGTTCATAAAAAAATAGGAAACTTCTAAAGGAAACATTTTTTTTATTGGATATCTACTTATTGAGTAATACCTACTTGAAAATTTTGCTGCGCGAAAAAAAGTTGGCCATATTATGGTTTGCTATAAAAAAACAATTTTAGCCAAAATGTTTTCCCCAAAAAACTTTGTTTTTTTTATAAAAGGCGGTATTTAACTGTAACCCTTTAATTTGAACACCCGGTATATTTGACATTTTTTTGGAACGTAAAATAAAAATTCTATCAGTGATATATTCATTTTTTTCAGAATATATTAATTATTGTTCTTAACCTACAACACGATGAGGGGGTCGATTCTCGATTCGTAGGAATTCTGTTTCTCGCGGGCCATTTTTGCTGGTCGTATTGTATGTAGGGTTTATTTAAATGAGTATGGATATATTAAAAAAAAACGAGAATTATTCCAAAAGAATACAAAAAAACAACTCGAGAAGAGTACAAGTTGTATTTATTGGATTTAAAAGACAAGCCAAATTTGATATCCTTTTTCCTGATTATCTTTTCTGTTTATGTCATCGGCTTCGACAACTCAGGCCATTAGCCTCGTTTCCTGTGTAGGTTACGGAGAAGTATTATTTAGGTATAATAGGTACTTCCATAAAATAGGTTTTGTTACTGTTTCGCAGTGCTACTTTAGGAACATCACTGTTTTAATAAGAATCCAATAGTGGTTGAATGGGCAATCCTATAACTTTGAATCAGATTTATTTTTAAAATAATTAAATAAATTAGAAAAAAATTCCTTACAAATTGTACTTGCTGTATTAGGTAGATGGCAATTTAGTTGTAAAATTTGTAAAAAGTGCTTTTATTATTTAGAACACATCCTGATTCACAATAAAAAATGAGAGGGAATGCAAAAATCTCTATAACGACACTTCATATTATTAACGACAGCTCTTTAGCTATCGTTGATGAACGACAATTTTACAACCATATTTGTTTATTTTCAACGACAATCGTTGTCTACTGAATAAGAAAAGTCGTCTGTGAACGATTATCGTCTATTAACGACGTCGTTCAGACTTACTGAATAGGCCCCTTAGTCAGATCCCAGTCCGGCGCCAGGTCGACACGTTTTATTTCAAATAGAGCCAACTGCCAGATACTGATTATGAATGAATACCATAACAAGTTTTTTTGCCCTTTGGGGCATCCTTTTGTTACCCTCTGAGAGGTTCCAGCAAACTCCCCTCATCTGACTTGGGTCCAGCCACTGGCCCCCTCAATCAGGCTTGGGATCTTTTCCATCCTCAGGGGTTCGCATGGCAGCACTGCAGCTCAAATAGCTTATTGTACTACCATTTGGATGCCCTACTCCTTCCTATTCATTCAACTCATGCATTTTAACTATCCATTCCATTGACTAAGTGGAGTCATCCACTCAGACTGTGGCCATCACTGCTGGGGACTTGTAAATAGTGTTTTGAATACCTTTTCGCAGCAGTCAGCGACCCGGTTTCAAATGTTCTTAGATATATTCTAATCTAATTAGGGAGTATACCTCTCTAGTTTCTTCCTACGTTTCTCTCATCTAAGAGAAAAACATGGAAGCGATTTTCTTAGTGAAATACTTGAAAAAAACTGAAATAACATTACATTTCCCACATATCAAAGCAACAACAAAAATTAATGAGCTTCTTTTTCAATTTTAACTACCTTACTTTTATTTTTAAGACACAAAAATTGGCTAGAGTGTATCTTTTATCATATATTTGTTATTTTTATTTTTTTTTTTCATATAAGAATTCCCCATGGTTTTAAAAACATAATTCATTATTATGTCTTGTTTAAAATTTTAGTACATGACATTATAGTATCTTGAATTTTTATAAAATAAAAAAACTTACTGTAAAAGTGGTACTAAAATTCCAGAATCAAGAACATGATCACGACACTCTGGAGAATCTCCTGCAATATTTCCTAATGCCCAAACAGCTTGTTCCTAATCAAAAATAAAATATTAAATTATTTATTTGAAAACATAATTGCCTGGTGATAAAATGTATACCTGAACATCATCATAACTGCTTCCTAAAAGTGATATAAATATTGGGACTGCTCCTGTGTCAATAACCATTCTTGTTTGTTGAGAAGTTCCAGATGCTATGTTTGTTAGTGCCCATGCTGCTTCAAACTAATGAAACAATATTTTAAATTGGTTAACCTAACACAAGTCAATATTTAATTAAAGATATATCTTGTTTTAATTGAAACTAATTTAAATTAAATTAATCATTTTTGTAATCTGAAAAACAACCTTTTTAATATAAAAATTAAATATGAACCAACAATGTAACAAATGAAAAATATCTATAATCTTACTTGTAGAGTAGAATTGGAAGAATTTTGCAAAAATTCAACAAATCTTGGAACAATTCCTGTTTGAATGACTTCATCAATGGGAGGATTTGGTTCTCTGCTCAGTAGTTTTCTAAATTTTGCAGATGCTGCCATCTGTAATTCTGGATCACTGCTATATAAATCCTGGATCATGTCTTGGGTTATCCATGGGGTAGTCGGTGAAGAAGTATCACTTTCCAACTGAAATAATTAATTTTTTTTTTAGTTTACATTTCATTTGCATCAATTTTATAAAAGGTGATGTTTTACAGCAATAATATTTTTCATAGTTTGTCAAACACCTTTGCATAAAAAAATCAAAATTCTATGCTTTAGTTTCATCAACACAAAATGATTTACACATTAACATACTCCATTACATTATTAACAATACAAACTAATTTTATCTCCTTGACGAATTAAAGACTGATCCTAAATGGATTCTGAAATAGTTGATCATTTAACAGTTTTAACGATTTATAGAGTGAACCAACCATGAGTAAGTATTTAATTCATTAACTTTCTTATTGTTGCTGGAAAGGCAAATAAGTCGAAAAATGCCCAATTGCAGTTAAGACCATTGCAAATCTGTTAAAGTGATCTATGATGTGACAAAGAGGCATATATCTCCTCCTTACAGTTAATTGTAATATGGCAAATAAAATCCACTAATATGCATAAGCAATGCACTACACACCAAAAGTTTAATTGCGTTTCCTGTAAAATGGCTAAATTGGAGTTACACCTCTTTGTCTTTCCAGTGACGTTATATAGAAAACTTTGTTCAAAAATTTTTGCTTTTAATTTTTTTCAGTACTCTTAATATGCATGGTAAATAGAAATTAAATATGGGTGTCTGTGATACAACATAGGTACAACTTATTTTTATAACTTCTCCCCATAACTCTCCTTTTATACTTTCAGAAAGGCATCCTTAACCAACGACATTAAATAATATGCACCAATAACTTATGGAAAATTTAAATATAATTAAAAGAAATTCAGGAACTAAAATGTTTCCAGTGTATTTTAATTTGTGAATGTCTTAGAACTTCCTTGTAAATATTCTTTAGGGAGGTTTTAACCAAATTTATTTCTTAGGCTGAATTTAATAAAAATGTGCTACACACCTGAAGTGGATCATCTTCAGGTAAAAACTGATTAACATTAACATTTCGCCTCTTGTTCAACTGCTGGTCTCGTTTTGCTTTTCTGAGTTGTACTCCTTCTTCCTCTCTTCGTCTACGTAATTCCACACTATCTAAAGCAGTGTTCTTGTATCGATGCCTATGTGCTGATCCAGACATCTAAAAAGTATCCCAATTCACAATTAAATTTTCCTGATATTAATAAAGGACTTAGATATATACATTATAAATTTGTTAAGTATTTAGCACTAAACTATTAAAAATTATTTTGATATTTTTAATATAAAAATGAATTTGTCATTTTAGTATAGGACGTCAAAAATGAGGAGGCTCAAAGGATGAGGTAATTTCTCGAAAATTACAACTTCAAACAAACGCAATTGATGTTCAATATTTGAATTGTACTTACTGTGATTCCTAACAAATAATATTATGTGAGAATATATTTTATAGCACCATTTACCTTGTAATTAAAGAAAAAATTACCTTCCTGTCAACGAGAATTATCTAGTGCTTGCTGACTGCTGACAGACCTAAATGTCAAATGTCAAATTTAGGGATTTTATCTTTTCAGTCAAGGACAAGTCATCTAGGAACTAGGAACAAGTCTATGTTTGAGGAACCAGAACCAATGTTTATTCTTGTTTTCTTAAAAATATGCTGCAAACCGTACGAAAGTAAAAAGTTGAATACTAAATATTTCATAGTTTGTAGCATACAACTTTTAAACTTTCCACTGATCAACTTTTCCTCAAATTGAACCTGGAAGAGAGTGAGATTTGCCGAACTTCGATATTTACATTCTAGCCAACATAAAATAATATGGATTTTTCGGTAGCACGCAGAGAAACCTGTAAACAATTTTGACATTTATGTTTGCATTTCGAAGATTTACCAATAGATGTTTTGACTGCATTAGATAAAAAAATAAGTAAAATGGCACTATAATTTAAATAACAAATCCTCCAGATAATCAATACCATCATAAAAAAAAATCCTAATGCGGTTTGTATTAATTGTAAGGTTCTTTTATACATAAGTTTTATTTAACCTTGAATTCTGTAATTAATGATGACTTCAGAAGACGAAAATCATTTTATGGAAGTAAGTTTTTCATTATTTTAATATATGTATTCCTTCATCAACCTATTTTTTAGAGAAACGGTAGCAATGAATCGGTTCAAGTCGTTGTTCGATGTAGGCCTCTTAGTGACAAGGAAATCGAGGCAAAATGCACCAGTGTGGTTAAAATGTACCCTGCCAGGGGCGTCATTGAAGTAGGAAACCCCAGGGCCAGAAGCGAAAATGAAAAAAATAAAATATTTACGTATGATTCCGTATATGATGAATGGTAAAAAAATCTTCAAATATCAGTAATAATAATGATTGAATTAATTTATTTGTACGTTTGTATTTAATAGTGGTGTGTTATAACTACACATATCAGTACCTACTTTTATAACAAAAGCCTTAAATATTCCTCATATATCATACATGAAACAACATGTAGCATTGAGGAAGTTCAAATCAGTGGCACCACTTATGGATTCGTTGAGCCCCTTTTAGCAAATGTTTTCTTTATTTTCCACAATTGCCCCACTACATATGATTCATTCTTTGTAAAAGGGACAAATCTTTCAAACTGTTCAGTTCTGCTCATAATGTTATGATCATAATTATCTATAACTGCATATTTTCCTGGGCTTTTTGTCTGTTCTATATGATTACAGATTTTATATTCATTCCCTAACTTTAAAAATTTGCATATTAAATATCATTTTTATGCATGAAGGTTTAATCATGTTTTTTTTTTAATTGAATATTTGAAGTACAGTATTGTTTTGATAAGTTTTATTCATGATAAAAGTTTTATTACCAACATGCTCTGACTAATTATAAAGGATTATGTTATTGTTTCTTTCTTTTATAAATCATAATATCAGTGTATCAATATATTTAATCACTATGGCAAGTAATAGTTAAAACATTCCAATGAATTTATTGTTTTATCATGCAAGTTTTTTAAAACTATATTTTATTAATACAGTATGTCCTAGGATTAATATACATCTTAATTGGAAAGTAAATTACAAAAAAAAATTGAACACTTATCTTCAGGATTTATTCCCTGCTTTCTCTACAAATAAGCTGTGCCAAATATAGTTTAAATATACTTTATATAGTGTGCTCATAAAGTTTGGAAACCCTTGATTATCTTACTTATTTTTGGGAGTTGTTTTTTATTTTAGTTTTCTAGTTTTTTTTTTAAATATTAATTTTCACCCTCACTACAATTTACAATATATATGATCGATATTTTTTTAATTGAAAGGGTATATTTTTATATAAAAAATTAAAAGCCCATATTTTTCTGAGTTTAACTATACTCCATACATCATATGTAACGTTTTAAGGCGGTAGTTTAAAACGGACCTGGTCAGAGCTCAGACCTTTATATATCTTAGATACAAACCAGCGTTCAACCAAGGGCGGCTCCAGAGGGGGGCATAGGGGCCATGCCCAAGTCACGAATTCATTAACTAAATAATAATAATAATAATAATAATGTTTATTTTACATCAATATAACATAAATATATAAACAGGAAAAATTACAATAAATAAACATGAATAATCACAGAAGCTGTGTAGGACGAGGCCTATAGAGCTTGTACGTGATATATTGGTAGTAATGGTATAAGATAATATAAAAAAAAATTAAAAAAGAAAAATATGAAAAATCAATATGAAAAATCAATATAAAAAATCTATAGGTATATATTTTTTGTTTTGATTTTTTTTTTGTATTTTCTTTTTTGTATTTTTTTTGTACATTTTTTTTTTTATTTTTACAATTATTTTGAGTTGTTACAAAAGTAAGTAAATGAATTCAAAAACATATATATCTTTTTTATTTAATTGTTATTAACTATATTGCTAAATACAGTTCTATCAGTTTTTAATATCCACAGTTTGACTTTATTTTTAAAAGAGTAAAATTTGTTAATACGTTTTAAATCATTTGGTAAGATATTATATAATTTAGGGCCTATAAAATGTATACTTCGTTGTTTAATATTCTTATTACATTTTGGTACTTTAAAATTTTGATTTCGTCTTCGGGTATTATAAATATGGTCTACTTCCAACATTTCTATTTTATTTTTATAGATAGCTATAAGTATACGTTGGCAGAAAAGTTGCCTTATATCAAGGATTTGACTATAGTTATAAACCAAATTACTTGAGTATGTAGGTTTTTTTGTTATAAATCAGTTTTAAAATCCATTTTTGCAAAATGAAAATTTTTTCAAGGTAGATATCGTAAACTCCTCCCCATCCTAGTATACCATATGTTAACTGAGATTGAACCAAGGCATAGTACACAGTTTTTAAATAAGGTATATTCAGGTATTCCCTTAAAAATTTGAATTTACTAATAAGTACATAACATTAAGATATAACAGAGCAGTTATCACAATACATTAACCTATATCACAGTTTATCACAAAAGATCAATTGGTATAGTGGAACATGATGTTTGAAGCATTTTTTAATTATTTATCTAGATGATTCTTGAATTGGTTAACTGCATGAACTCGATACGATAGTGTCCTCTTGCAAGTGGTTCAAAATATACACCACTCGTTGCTTAAATAATTTTTTTTGGAGCTTGTGGCATTAATTTTCTTTTTCCAGTTTTTTTGGAATGCTTCTGTGTGTTCTATTTTGATAAACATGAAAAATATTTTTACAAGAGTAATTCCTACTAGTCCATTTGACCGTTTCAGTCAGCTCACCTCTAAGTCTTCGTTCTTTGTGTTTGAAGTTGCAGAATGGAAAGCCCCAAATAGCTAGAGCCCTGGAGGGATTCTAGTTACCTTTCTTTGTACTTTTTGCAACATTTCTATATATTTAACAAAATATGAGTTCCAAACTGATATTGCAAATTCTATTTTGGAGATCATTTTCTTTGAATGGTCTTTGAATGCAATTCTGATTAGATAAATCATTGTGTTTGCCTTTTTTTGTAATTTTAGAAATACGAGTTTCCCATTTTAAAGTTGGAGATATAAAAACGCCAAGATCTTTTTGAACTTTAACAGTTAGCAGACTCTCACCATTGAGGTAATATACATTTTCTGGATTATTTGGGCCTATGTATAGTACTGTACATTTATTATGATTTAGGGGGAGCAACCATTTATCTGACCAGCTGCTAATTGTTAATTATAATAATATGTGCACAGGTTTCCTTTTATACTCAGTGTATATACCATAACTTAAATTTTTGCTATAAAAATATACCCTTTATTTCCATTAAAAAAATTGTTGATGAAAGGGTAAACGTATTATTATCGGACAAAATTTTAATACCATTTTTTTTGCCACATAAAACTACCAATATACCAAATTTCAGCAAAATCGCATATGCCGTTTTAAATTTATATGGGAAAAACGATTTAAAAATTGTAACTTCAAGGCCCTCTGGAGCCCAAACGAAGCAACTTTGTACTAAGGTAATTTTACTTAAATCGACTTATTTTGGTCTAAGGAATATGTGGTATGTTTTTGTAAAGACCTTTTACAGACACCCTGTATATATTTTTTAATTACGATCAATTTTAAAAAACTGGCTCCCATTAATCTAAATAATGACATTATCTAACCAATCCTGAAATTTTAAATTTCTACTTTTTTCTATTCAAGTGTAAAATTATTTGAAAAATCCATTTAAAAAGTAATTTCAAAAAAGGAAAAATTTTGAAATTTTAGGAATGGTTACATAATGTCATTATCTAGATTTATCGGAGCCAGTTTTTAAAAAAGGGCATAATTAAAAAATATATATTTTTATCTTGGCAGATCAGCTTAAATTAAAAAAAAAAAAAAAAATAAGAATAAAAATTAATATAGAATTTCGCATAAAATGTGTAAACAAAATACATTTATATCGCTTGAGAAATGAAAATCAAGTAAAGAATAGGAGAATAGATTCCTCTTAATAGAAAAAGAGTAGTAATTTGGAATTTAAAGATAGTTAAGGTAATTTCATTATCTATTTTGTTTAAAATCCAATTTTTTAAAAAATGGTATAATTAAAAAAAAAAATCACGGAAAAAAATGTAAAAATAAAAGAGAATATAGAATTTCGTGTAAAATGTCTCTCCAAAATTTTATTTAAATTGCTTGACAAATAAATATAAATAAAATCAGCGGGGTATTACTTCCATTTAATAAAAATATTAAAAGTAAAATGATATAATAATAGCTGAATGATTGTATGTTTTATAATGTGCTCATACATGTATGACGTTGTTGCTTATAATGTTACTTGATCATGTGTTATTTATGTCGTCATCAACATCAATAAAGAATACATATCTGACAAGATCAAATATACGAGCCTGCTTTGCCTATGCTAGAACGAAACATTCAACAATCTCTCACTCCTCCTCCTTTCAACGCTCTCGACTCTAACAAGTACCACTCGTCGGAGGATCCACAAAAATGGCTTGTCGAATACATCTGACACTGACGAGAATCTCGAAAGGTTGTCGCGCCAACAACGAGCTTAGTTCGTTAGATTTATATGGGCACGACACTGCCTTGTTTTTGGCGCGGTTTAGGCGCGACTCGTTTTATTTACACGCACCTTTATGTTATATTGTTAATTTTTTTTTAATGTTTTATATTCACAGAATAAAAATAATAAACAATTTATTGAATAGTTTTTTTCCTGTTTCTATTATATCGCTTTCCATTTTTGAGAATTTATTTATGCCTAGTATTGTTTATTGTCACTCGTAATCAATCTTATTGCATAATTATAAATATTGGTAAGAAAACATTATTTTAACTCACTTTAAAAGTATCTGAAAAAAGTATCCGGATACTTGTATCCGAGTACTTTTTAGGTGAAAGTATCCTAAAAAGTATCCGGATACATTTGTAAGTATCCGTATCCGGTACTCGGATACTTTCATCACGTGGTGAATTTCCTATAAGAAATTAAATTTTTTTATAGTTTGTAATTATATAATTATAAAATAGTATATTATGCAACGATCATGTAATGATGGTTATTAATACACGAGCATTAACCGGGATACGAAACGAGCCAAAGGCGAGTTTCGTATGGTTTATGCGAGTGTTTTAATTACCATTACATGAGAGTTGCATACGCTATTTTTTCTACACCCGATAAATAATCAAGACCTATAAATATTATATTTATATTGGTATTGAACACAATAACAGTAATTACTCGTATTTCTATAAAAAATTCTACAAAATTGTAATTAATGGTATTACTTCAGGTATTGGTATTTCCCTAGATTTTTGCGGTAAAATATTTTGTACTGTATTTTCTCCGATATGTGTGGAGGAGTCTTCTATATCGCTAATATCAGACATTTTAATATTATAATTATCGAAGTTTAGCTACCTACGAAAATTTAATACGTTTTGACAACTAAAATAATTACATAGGAACCTAGGACAAACGTCAAACAGCATGCTTGATTGAAAAATTGTAGGTTTCTATTGATTAAAAATCTGTATCGTAATGAAAAATCTGTATCATAATGGGTATCATTATGAAACGGATTATGGGCATATAAGTGCATTATTATAATACGGGTGTAGAAAAAAGTGATTTTAGGACACCTGCAATTAATGAGAGATAAATAGTAGAATACCATATTTTTGATCACTTATAACTGAGGCCACCATGGGATCATCCAATCCTGTTTTATAATTATTTTTGTTTATTTCTGGCCATTTCTGTTGGAACTCATTGAATTTTGATACTTCGGGACCTGTAGTTACTGGCCAGTATAATTCAAAAACACAACGTAATACCAGTTCATAAACATGATGCCTACAGGCCAAATTCAACAAACTTTCCAATTTTCTTTTCCAAAAGTTTACAAACACCACTTTTGACACCTATCAGAATCAAAACGTTTTACATAAATGTATCGAAGTAAAAAATTGTCTCAAAAATAGTATACCAGTATTGACACTAGTAGTGTCAAAACATAAAGCTCCAACTTTATCAGTTAAATTCCATTCCTGCAGCAATTCAATTACTTCAGTCTCATGAAAACCAGTTGATTTATATAATTTAGGTACTCCTAATATCTGGTAACAATTCAGACCCGTAATAATTACTGGTAGTCTTTCAACTTTTGTGGAGCCAGTCATTTTTGGAGAAGCTTCCCGTCCCAATAAACAGTATCGCATCTGGTGCTTCGAAATTTTTCTTTAAATTTTCTCCAATGTCTTTACTATTTATAATTCTATGCCTACGAACTGTACTTGGACAAAGATTAACGGTTTCGAGAGGAATGCCGCAACTTTCCACTGTAGCTGCCATAATAATCACTGCATCTCTATCTGATACATTTGTTCGATCCAGTGCAGAGGTTTTTGAGGTGCCGAACTCGTAGGAAGTTCTTCGAAATTTGAAGGCATTTGTTGTAAAGAATGTGAACTGTGAGTGCGTGATTCGAATGAGATTGTAAGTTCGACAAAGATTTACTCAATTCTATTAAAAAATAGCGTAAAGTGTCAATAAAATACAAACAAATGAAGTCAAATTACCTTCCACTCATTCTTCAGTAAAAATACGGTCCTTCTAAGTCAAATGGTATAATTCCTCGGCGCTGATTTGTTCGTTAATTTAAAAATAATTTTTGGAATTAAAAACCCAAATCACATTACGACTCGACTGTAGCGTCCTAATGTTTATAATAAGTTATTATTAGATGTAAAAATATTAAATTTTAGTTTAAAGAAGATTTGATGTGAAATATAATTGATATTCATCTTTCTAGCTCTATAACTCAAAAACTGTTGGTCGGATGAGATTCACTCAGAAAAACTTTTTGTAGCGAATTTTATGCCCTACAAAAGCTATACACGGGTTTTTCCTAAAAAAACTGTGAGTGCGTGATTCGAATGAGATTGTAAGTTCGACAAAGATTTACTCAATTCTATTAAAAAATAGCGTAAAGTGTCAATAAAATACAAACAAATGAAGTCAAATTACCTTCCACTCATTCTTCAGTCAAAATACGGTCCTAAGTCAAATGGTATAATTCCTCGGCGCTGATTTGTTCGTTAATTTAAAAATAATTTTTGGAATTAAAAACCCAAATCACATTACGACTCGACTGTAGCGTCCTAATGTTTATAATAAGTTATTATTAGATGTAAAAATATTAAAGTTTAGTTTAAAGAAGATTTGATGTGAAATATAATTGATATTCATCTTTCTAGCTCTATAACTCAAAAACTGTTGGTCGGATGAGATTCACTCAGAAAAACTTTTTGTAGCGAATTTTATGCCCTACAAAAGCTATACACGGGTTTTTCCTAAAAAAACTGTGAGTGCGTGATTCGAATGAGATTGTAAGTTCGACAAAGATTTACTCAATTCTATTAAAAAATAGCGAAAAGTGTCAATAAAATACAAACAAATGAAGTCAAATTACCTTCCACTCATTCTTCAGTCAAAATACGGTCCTAAGTCAAATGGTATAATTCCTCGGCGCTGATTTGTTCGTTAATTTAAAAATAATTTTTGGAATTAAAAACCCAAATCACATTACGACTCGACTGTAGCGTCCTAATGTTTATAATAAGTTATTATTAGATGTAAAAATATTAAATTTTAGTTTAAAGAAGATTTGATGTGAAATATAATTGATATTCATCTTTCTAGCTCTATAACTCAAAAACTGTTGGTCGGATGAGATTCACTCAGAAAAACTTTTTGTAGCGAATTTTATGCCCTACAAAATCTATACACGGGTTTTTCCTAAAAAAAAATTTTGAATATCGGAAAATAAAATTGAAACAAAAAAATTTTTTTTCCTTTGTTATTTAAATGGGAAATCGCTATTGCATTTAGAACGTTTATTACATTAATTGAGAAAGACGTCCAACAAATACAATCCAAAATATTCTTGGTGTTTTTATATCTCCTAGATTTAAAATGTGAAACTCATATTTCTAAATTGCAAAAATGGCCAATGTAATGATATAGGTATTTCACTAGAATTGCGATCAAATACCATTCAAAACAAATTATTTCCAAACTATACAGAACCTATAGATATTAGGCAAAAAATAGAATTTGCAATGCTATAGTTTGGAACCCATATTTTGTTAAATCTATAGAAATGTTAGAAAACGTTCAAGAAAAGATAACTAGAATCAGATGTAGTTACATAGAAAGGGTTTTCATTCTACAACTACAAATGCATAAAAAACGTAGACTTAGAGGTGACTTGATAGAAACTTAAAAATGGACGAGTTAGAATTATTCATGTAAAAATATTTTTAATGTTTATCCGAATATAATACATAAAGGACGCTCCAAAAAATTGGAAAAAGAAAAATGCAATAAGGTCCGAAGAAAAAACTACATAGATAGATATTTATTGATGTAAAATAAAAATAAATATTTTACATGTGTCAATGTTAAAAGTATAAAAAAAGATATATAGGTATAGATACAGAAAATACAGTTACAATTTAGAAAAATATAGACAAAAAAAATATATAGATACACATAACATATTAAAACATACTTAAAAAAAAAATTAAGAAGGTATATTCACCAAAAAGGTTTACACATTACTCACATGCACACATGTGATAAGAATTCGTCAATGGAATAAAAGCAGTGACTTGATAAAAATTTGCGAATTCTTATTTTCAATAAATTAAAAGCTGAGTTTTTATAAGCTTGAGGTAGGGAATTGTACAGTTTAATGCTGATATATCTATAAGAATCATGAAGTTAATCTGTAATTAGGTAAAGATATATCATAATTTCCTCTGGTGCAATAAGAATGTTTAGAGCTCTGTCTTATAACATTATTATTACCAATTTGTTTTTTCATGTATAAAAGACACTCTAAAATAAAACAACATGATAGTGGTGAAATACCCAACTGTTTCAAAATAGGTTGGCAGTAACTATTGTAGCTACTCGATGTCATGATACGTACTACTTTTTTTGTGCAATAAATATCCTAAGTTGGTTGCTTGTATTTCCCCAAAGTAAAACCCTAAAATAAAACAACATGATGGTGGTGAAATACCCAACTGTTTCAAAATAGGTTGGCAGTGACTATTGTAGCTACTCGATGTCATGATACGTACTACTTTTTTTGTGCAATAAATTTCCTAAGTTGGTTGCTTGTATTTCCCCATAGTAAAACCCCATACGTCATAATGCTATGAAATAAAGAAAAGTAGACCATTTTTAAATGTACAATGTCTAATTGAAATTTTAGCTGTCTAATTGCATAAGTAGCTTTTGCTAAACGACTTATTAAACTTTGAATTTGATATTTAAAATCTAGTTTCGGGTCTAAATATTTTCCTACCAAACCAATTATTTGACATAACTTCTGCTCCATTTTAATAATAAAATGTCATGTAGTAACTAAACTAGGCTACAGCCCTGTAAGTGATGATTGGTATAAACATTTCTGTATACATCCATCGCAGTGTGTTCGGGTTACATCCCCATCTTTTACCCGCAATGTTTCTATATACCATTAGGTTTTTTGTGGCCTTATTTACTACTTCCTTCTCATGTATGATCCAGAGAAGTTTATTATCGAGGGTTAGGCCTAGATATTTGACTTCTTTTTTCCATTCTATATTATAATATATATCCCGTCTAAAATTGACGGTTTTGAGGTTTATTTTCTTTGAAAAGGCTACTAGTGTTGTTTTGCTGGGGTTTATACTAAGTCTCACTTTGCGCCAACATCTTTTGGTGTGTTCTAGTCCTTTTTGGACACAGAATAGTAATAGCAAATATGAATATGTCACCGGCATAATCTTGACAGGATATGCCTAGGTCCCATTTAAAATGATCCACCCTGAATAACTGTTGATCAACATACATATCTATTACCACCCTCTATTGGTACCTTATTCGCAGATTTAATTAATTAATTACTTTTAGCTCTACTCAACAAAATATTTATGATGAAACTGTTAGGCCTTTAGTAGCTTCTGTACTTGACGGTTACAATGGTTGTGTATTTGCGTATGGCCAAACAGGAACTGGAAAGACTTACACCATGGAGGGTATCGATATCGATGATGATAAGGGTATCGTACCAAGGGCATTTGAACAAATTTGGTCTCATATTGACAGAAAGACAGGCGTCGAGTTTTTGGTTAGCGTCAGATACTTGGAAATCTATATGGAGGAAATAAGGTTAGTAATTTGTACCTACTTGTCATTGTTTATTTTTCTTAAATAATTATATACGTGACAATTTTTGTTACCACAAATAAGTTCAATAATGAAGGTAATAATTGCCGCTACAATCAGTATTCCATATAAATAAAAAATTGGGCCGAACTTTTCTCGAGTTATTACTTTCAAACCATCACTTTCAGGAGAAGTTTGTGCATGAAGAGTCTTCCACTTACTAATAAACCCTGCACTTTGTAATCTACTAATTAATTGTTTAATACGGTTGGTTAAAGGAAATCCTTTCCTCATAACAAAATTAACTGAGTATGGAGTTGTATCTCTCTTAATGCAATATAGATTTACCCCGTTTTCCGTAGAAGCTATATAATTTCTAAATATATCATTTATACATAGCGATGCATCTTTATCTTCATTGACATAGTGTAAACATAATCTTAAATTTTTACAAGATCTATAGCGCTTTTCTATTTCAGCAAGAGCTTCACCGCTACCGTACGTTCTTAAAATAGTTCTATGTATATCAAAGAAATACGTTTTTAACTTGCTGTTGTAGATATCGTCAAACGAGTTATACTTTCTTTTATAGTTTTTGGTAGTTGAATAACTGACTAGAACGCTATTCATGATTGTAGTTAATAAATAGGAATATATTATGTAATTCATTAGCAAATATCTCACTTTACTTGTTTTTGGCAGAATTGATATGTTAGAGCTCCTTAAAACGTTTAATAGATTAAACGTAGTCCATTTAAACTTTTTGTAAGATACGTGTTCCTCTTGGTCTTTTGTACTTAGAATCGAAATTAAAGAAGAAACAGCCACATGTAATACTATAATCATTAGCAAACATTTGTAACTTATAAAGTGAATCATGTACTCAGCATAGCTGATAAAAGGAACGTCGGGCACACAAAATATGAGCGCATCTTGAGTGTAACCTTGGCTGGTATCGAAATATACTAGATTTAAATATTGCTTTGAGTAACCCCCAATAGCGATATCGGCCGATTTGTTGTTTAAATCATTAAACACCCCTTTAAATTGTCCATATTTCGAAACTTCGCCCATTTCGCTTAAAGCGCTCTTTTCGTATTCGAAATTCAAATTCAATTTTTCCCCGATTATTTTGAGCATATCTATCTCGAGTCCAGATATTTGATTGTTTTTTTCAATAATATAAGGGGGATTAACTACATATTTGACCTTAATGGGACAGTTTCCAAACTTTTGAGGAAGTCTGTTATTGAACCAATTCATGTTTCTGGTGGTTTTACCAAAAGAACACGTATTAAAACGATAGCTGGCTTTGTCCAAGGGATCACCACATTTTCCATTTTTGTATGCATTCCACGTAATTATTATAAAAGTTGTGATATTAAGCGAGCGTGGAAGTAATATGTAGAAATTTAAAACGTTTTCTTTCCATAAATAATTTGATAGATCAAAAGCTATTTCATGAGGTTTATCAAATACTGCAGTAGATACGAATAAGAATTGAGCATGGGGGTTTAGTATCATTAGTTCTTTAAATTTATCTACTTGTTTATTTAAATCTTCTTTAGTCGCAAAATGCACCAAATAGATTCTAGGATGATATATTAACATTGATTCTTCCGATTTTATTATTTTGGGATTATTAACGACTCCGACGCTAACTCCTAAACTGCTTAATTTTGGTAGGAGAAACGCATCCAAACTAATAGGGGATTTCTGCATTATTCCGATTGGGCGCGAATAAATAATTACGTCAAACTTTTGGTAATTAAATTTGTTGGTTGCTTGAAGTATGCATTCAGCCAAGGAAATTCTTAAATCGATAATTTCTTTGGAAAATCCTTCCAATTTTGATTGTGTTATCGTAAAGAAACAAAAAAGCAGGACGATAGAAATTAGATTCATTTTTTACTCGAATTAAATGTTTTGAATGATTGTCATGTTGCATGACTTCTACTTTGTACACTAGATGATAAATGATCTAACTGTTAATAATTGTGACATTAAATTTAAACGCAGACAGTTTCATCTGATAACTACTTATGTTTTTCAATTCAAAAATTAAATTCGTGCGTTATCTAGTAAAAATAAGTGGGATATAAACGAACGATATATTATTATATCGGGTACAAATTGTATTCTTATCTTTATTACATATTCATTACTTTTCTCAAATACTACACAGTAAAATAAATGAAATAAGGTTAAAAAATCCCGTGTTCCACACTACTTCTTACCATATTTTTTTTGTGTATTGTAACTTAAAACCCTACACAAAAAATTGATCAGGTTAGATCATTCATTTAAGAAGTGAAGTAGTTTCTTTTGTAAGGGTTATGCATGTAGAAAAATCCTCAAGTAAATTACTCAAATTTTAACATATGGGTTATTCCAGTGAAATGGTAAAAAATTATGTTTGAAAAATCTAATATATTAAATACGAAAATTATATAAATTATTGATGCCATTATGCTTAAGGGATGATAGATGTTTGATAACCACTTAAGGTTGAGATCGTTATTAGGTTTTATGGTTTTTATTCTAAAAAATAAATAATGCATGTCCATGGAGTTGATCAATTATTGAACATCTCCATGGACATGTGTTTTCCATTTTTCATGATGTTATCCGTGCTTTTTTTTAAATATTGGTGCATGAAAGAAGAGTTATTTGTTTACAAGAGTAATAAAACTAATTTATTATTTTATAATAACGTACATTATAAAATATCAAAGATACTTTTCATAATAATTATAATGAACAAATAACAAATAATGCTGAACACAACTTTCGACATTATTAACTTATAATTAAAAACAAAGATTGAATAGAATAAGAATATGCCAAGTGGTGATTTGTTTATTTAACATTAGTAAATCCATTGAAATGTTCATCTGTAAATCGAAACTTATTCCTTCTTAATGATATTGGCACAGGTAGTGGTTTCTTACGTTGTTGAAATCAACAACCTCTTTATCCTCTATCTCTGGCCATATAAAAAGATAGTTTACTTTCCTTGATGAGAAAATTCGTTCCATAAAATTAACTTCGATAGTTTTATCTTGTATACTTTTAACTTGGCCAACATAATATACTTTCGAATTCTTAGTATACTCAACCAATACAAATTTACCTGATACTTTTTTTTTGTGTGTGTGTCATCGGCTTCAACTGCTAAGGTTATTTCGCCTCGTGTTCTGTGTAGGCTTTGTTACTGTTTCCCATCGCCACTTTAGGAACAGCACTGTTAATTAGAACTCGATTTTTTTTCTGTTTGGTATGGAATTGGGCTCTGCGTATCATCGTTGGAACTATCAGAATAAATATCTGAGAATGAAGGCAATGATTTGGAGGTTTGCAAGTTAGACAGATCAATCGTCTTAAATTAATCATATTATTATATTTAAGAGACCAAACCAGTTGTCTTGCTTTTAAAAGGCTTGAAATCAAGGGGAATTACATTATTTAAAACTTGAATATCTTCTTCTGCTACTACTTTGAAGGTTATGCCCGGGCAGTTTTGTTTCAGTACTGAAGCTAAACTATCCAAATCTGGTATATCTGCTCCCTGAGCCACCAATCGATCAGCTGTTCTTTTAACACATCAGGAGCTCCTTTTCCATGACCACTCTCAGTAAAGTTCCAAGTCATATATTGCGCATCAAGTAATTTAAAAAATTCTATTCCAAATATGTAAAACATACTTTTATTTTTGCTAGGCCCATCGCTCACAAAATGAATATTTTCTAATTCGGGACAAGTATTTAAAATTGTTTCCAAGAGTGGCTTCAAATGTGCCAAAATACCAACTGGACCATGCCTTAAACTTTTGGAGAGATTGCAAAAGCAATGCGGATGTAAGATTCCATCCTCAGATTTAGTATACCACACCACAGTGTGAAGGGAAATCTGAGGTTTCGAGCCTCCAAAATGGACACTGTATTTCTTGAGAATATTTACAGGAGTAATTTTCTGAGAATTCCAATGTACTAAGATATCCTTTTTATCTAAATGGGATTTAATATAATCTATGGCTTTATACTGGTGTTCTATTTTAGCAAGTGTTCCATGTAATTGGGCAGATTTTTTTCCAGTTCGTTTACTAAATGGGACTTGGTGCAAAGGAAATTCTCTTTAACATTTTTTTGACAAACTTTTTCATGACCTTTTACGAGAAGCTTTTCACGTTTAAGAATCCACTTTTTGTATGAGGTATTTTCTTCTGCATTATAATCGTCATAGAGTATAGTTTTGGTTTTACAATTCTGGCATACTCTTTCCAAACAATGTTCTGTTGCTGGCTCACAACATATATTTTTTACCAAGTCGTCAGGATTAGCTTGCGTTACTATTCCTATCATTTTCATTTTTAATACTAAAAGTCTTATATTTTCATGAAAAACACAGAGACAGGTCTATCTTAATGAGGCTTTTGGTATTAAGACCCAAAATGGCCTATGTTGACAAAAAAGTGCATAGGAGACATTAAAGCGTTTTTCTTCACGGGAAAACTTATAATACAAGTTTTTCATGGTATCATTAAGAAACCTTTTTTGTTTCTTTATTTGATAAAAACCAGGAGCTACCCTGCTGTTTTCGTCTTTTTGGTAAAACTTTTAAATTGCATGCCTAATCTCTTTAGCAATGTCAACTCTTTTAGTGGATTTAAGATGTTTCAGAGAAAATAATTTATAAGATCCTATGTTTCTCATGTCATTAAAACATCTATATTTCTTTGTAATATTTCCTGTGACACATCTCACAAACTCTCGTTTTTCCTACTCTTGCATTGAAATTTATTTCTAGTTATTTTTAACACCTCAGCAGATAGCAGCTTTTTTCTATTTCTAGCGGTACATTTTTACCATTCAATTCTCTCTCCACTTTTGACTTCGGACTCATTTTTTCTTTCTGTTCTTTTAAATGCTTGTCTTTTAATCTGTAATACCGCGTTTTATATTTAAAACTTTTTCTCTTCATTTTTTCCAGTTCTTTTTTTAATTTTTCCAACTCTCTATTGGCTTTTGATCTATTTCTTAGTATTCTTTTTCTTCCACACTTTTTTCTCGACGAAGATAGCGTAGCAGTGTTCGTGTCTTCCAGTGAATAAAAATAATTGTTTTGACTGCCTCCTGTCGGTTGATTGGCAGCTTCTGGGCTTGAAGGGGGAGTATTGTTTTCAATTAATGTAAATAGTCTTTTACTTTGTTTTAATGTGTCTGTATATTTTGCAGAAGCATCTTTCCAGCGGCGTCTTATGGCTCTGGCAGTTCTACCGGACGCATATTTACACATCCTCCTATATGACGGCACCGGAGTGCTGAAACCTGTTTGCCTTTGTAGCCTACAAGTACGCTACAAAAGCTCATTGATTTAGACACCCATACAAATTTTTTGTTATGTGAGACTTTACTTTTCAATTTTAGCTGTGTCCAGGCCGTTGGCGTCTATGCCGGTTGGCGTCTATGCCGGTAGGCGTAGCCAGGTATGGGTTAAAATTTTTTGGTGGCGGCGAAGCCGCCACCCTACGAGAAGTCGTTGCTTCATTTTCTTCTTGTATATTTTCTTTTTTTTTAATCCTAAAACACTTCAAATGCGTCATTTGAATGACATCATGTCTATTAACGGCATTTTAGTACACGACCGTTTAACGGCAGTTTAAGTACAGCCATTTTTTCATAGAATGCAGATAAGCTTGCTTACTGATTCCAGCAATAAGAGAGGCCTCATGCATTGGTGCCTAAATCAATGAGCTTTTGTAGCGTACTTGTAGGTTACAAAGGCGAACAGATTTCAGCACTCCGGTGCCGTCATACAGGAGGATGTGTAAATATGCCTACCGGACACTGTAGCTATGGATTTTATTTTTCCTTCTTTTTTACATCTTTGATAACGCTGTCTTTCTACTATTTTGGCCTGTTCATAAAGTTCAGGGGTTTCCTTTATTTTTTCTCATCTTCTTCGTTCACAGTCTCGTTTTTGTTTGCGCCTTTTTTCTGTGGTTTGATAATTAGCCATTCTGTTCTACAAAATAACAAAATTGCGGTTTTTTAAAACGCTAACAATAATTTTAGTCATTCCCATGGATACCTATCATCACCATGAACAGTCATAGTCCATGGTAATGATGTCCATGGTGATGATAAAAAATAGTATTTTAGCAATTTTCAAGTTAATAAGATTCTTTAAAAATAAATCTAATAATAAAAAGTTTTTGTGGCAATAATGTTGTCCCAATATTACAATTGTTAGATATAATTACTAAAAAACTACTTGATGGTGAGATGCATGGTGTTGATATATTAAAAAAATACGTAGGCACGTTAATGATTCAACTAGCGGACGGTCCATGGCAATGAAGTTATTTATGGTAACAGAGAAGTAAACTGCTCTTAGTAGTTAAACTACTTACATATTATTAGTGTTTATTTTCTATGTCTAAAGATTAAAAACCGATTTGGTTCTAAAGATATAAAAAAAATTAAAAACAACAAGAAGCGCATTTTTAATAAACAAAAAAAAAATATAAAACAAATTTTACACAAAAAATTTAAAAAAACTTTCGCCTACCCTTTCAGAAATTATGACGATTAATAGTCCATAGAAAACAACCATTTGCAAATCTTATGTGTCGTATATGCCTCTTGACGTGTACCAATAAATCCAGAGAATTGAAAATTTGTTGCCATTTTTCGCATTAATCATATCTCTGTCTGTATTGTAGGAAGAGTGAAATATTTTATAACTTTACAGAGATTTGCTAAGAATAAAGAACAACAAAACCCATGAATTGCGCGAGGTGACAGGTCAGGGCGTCGTCGTTACCAATCTTCATTCTCAAACGTGTCAGAGTGCCAAAGATATGCTAAGAGCAATGAAAATTGGTAACCAAAATCGAACGACGGGCACTACAAACATGAACGAACACAGTTCCCGATCGCACGCCATCTTCCAAATTGTCATTGAAATGGCGGAGGAACGTTCAAAAACTATGAAAGTCGGTAAATTGAATTTGGTCGATTTAGCCGGCAGCGAAAGACAGTCCAAAACTGGCGCCACTGGTGATCGACTGAAGGAAGCTACGAAAATTAATAAGGCTCTATCTTCTTTAGGTGAGAAAATGGTTGGGCAATTGAAAATATATTTTTCATTGGACATTCTGTAATTTTAAACATATTTAAAAAAATGTCCATTCTACAATCAATCTTCCATTATTTTATTTTAGTAAATTTCATGCATGGATAATTAAGAATTACAATCTTATTATTTATTAGTTACACAAACAAAAATAGGTTAAAATCTCTTAGTTAGTTGACCAATAACTTAATTTTCAGGAAATGTAATATATGCATTGGCTGAAAACTCTGCTCACATACCATACAGAGATTCAAAATTAACGCGTCTTTTACAAGATTCTCTTGGAGGTAACAGTAAGACAATTATGATCGCCAATATTGGTCCAGCTGGTTTTAATTATGAAGAAACTATTATAACCCTTAGGTAAGTTGTTTGATAATGTACCATGTATTTATTTAACACGTTCGCTGCCGCTTTGTGACTAGTGCGCCGTCGCGGAGAGCCAAAGTTTTTGCATATAATTATGAGGCTACGCTAAAAAACACTTTCTTCAGTGTTATATGTTTTTTGGGAGCACAAAAAATTAACTTAACAAGAAAGAAAAAACGACTCCGATTGGAGTCGGTAGCATTGATGAGCAATTTTTGTAAATCATCGGTCCGTTACCAGCCGACTCAGATCGGAGTAATTACTGAAATAGATTATTGCAAACGTATTTATTAAAAAAAAGTTATTAGCATTTAACGTAGTAAACACCAATACTCCGAGTAGGCGGCAGTGAACGTGTTAAATAGTTTATTTAGTTTATTTTCACTAAGACATTTATAACTCAATTTATTTGTACCAAATACAACATTCATTTAAATATATTTTCGGATTACATAAATAATTTACATATTTATTTGAACAGAACGATATCTTAACTAAAACTGCAAACTTAGGATATTTATACATATTTGGCGCTCTCAAATGTTCCAGACGTCATTCGACTAAGCCGCCAGAACATGCTCCACTAGAATTTTAATTTTTAGATGTCATCATTCATCGACGGGTACAGTACATTCTGAAATTTGACGGTTCACGTCGACCAGCGTTGATCATGGGCGTATCATAGGAGTTTCGGAGGTTGACTTATTCTATAGAATATTCTTGGTAACGGGAAAAATGGAGGCTGTAAAAGTCTCACAATAGGCATAAAGGTTAATTAGAGCAGCACCGAACTGGTCGAAAGTGGCTCGTATGGCAATGAGTTAACCTCACTTAACGTCTTAGTTTGTAATGAACTTATCATTAGGTAACTATTAGTTCGTTTGAAAACTTCGGTCCCAAAAATGTTATAACCACAGGATAAATAATGTGAGCATCAGAGAGACATATTTATTCAATGTTGATTTGATGTTTTATACATATGCTCTAGTTTTAGCAGGCTATTTGTTTTGATTAAGAATTAGGTGCACAAGCGTAGGAAATAAATGAATGTGTTAAAAGTCTATTATTTATTTAAGAGAAGGCTAATCATATAATAATAAAGTGTTCAAAAGTCAAAGTTACTTTGATGTGGGTTCCAGGGAGACAGTGGTGTAGACGGGGCAATGAAGAAGCCGCTAAAAGAGGAACCGAATATGAGTTCATAGGACCAGAACAATTTCTGGGCATTTTGCAACGCACTGCCAAAATAATTAACTTAAATGGACAGAGGATATAACACTCATGAACTGGAGAGATACCCCAAGGCTAACTTATTTGAAGGCATTTATGCCCAACTATTCCATGAATGCCTCTGCTCAGATTCGGGAATGGAGTAGTAAAGATCTGCTCATTCACATGGTACTGATGACCGGACATTGTCGTTTACATGAGAAGGATAGGCCTGCATCAAACATCGGACTGTCGCGACGTGAAAGACAAATCCACGGGACACATACCTGCCCCGTTTTGGAAAGTACTAGGTTCCAGATCTTTGGATTCGCTCGACTAGTACCCACCGATTTTAGACAATTCAATCGTGGCCTTCATCAAAAGGTGTTGCTTGTGCGGTGAACTATAAGTTAGGCATGAGCCACAATAGATCCACCTGGGTCGCAGTGGAAGGCGATGAGATTATCACACTCATTTTCAACCTGACCTACAAATTATATTTATATAAAATTGGTGATCCGTTAGTACAGAGCTAGTATAAATAAGATAGATTTATTTATATAATTGAATATATTACAAAATACGTAAATTCATGGTTTACTGCTTTCGAGGGGATACTATATCACATTTGTCAGAACGTACTATTTCTTGTTCTTAAAGCGTATGTGTTCACATCTCAGCAGTTGGTTATCTGCGTTTGCAAAAATGTAATTGCATAGTGAAGAAGAACGCCGTGTTGTCACTTTGTGCTTGAAAAGATTACCAAAATGAAGAAAAAATAATGTTTCGCTTATTTTTTTGACAACGCAGCTTTGCTGTAAAAAGCGACTAAGTGCCGGGATGTATATGAAGTACTCCTTTACAATCAATAGCTGACTAAAAATGACTATTTATTAATATACATTATTTCTATTTTGTCTGGTTGAATAATAAAGACAATTATTATTAAAATAAAGCGTTCTGGAAATTTGTAAAAAACAAGAGAGAAAATAATTCTTTACCTGACTCGACATTAAACGATACAGTGGCTTCCTGCGGTAATGACATTGCCAATCTATTTGATAGTCACTTTTCTTCTGTATACACGAACCAAACGCTTAATTTAAATGGAAGTGAAATCCAATGTGCAATATGCGTATCTTCTTATTTTATCCAAATTTTCAAGATCTATGTTAAGCTGTCAACACTTGACACTAATAAAGGGTCATGTCCCGATGGAATTCCACCCATTTTCCTCAAAAAATTTAATTTTGCATTATCTATGCCACTTTTTCATATCCTTAACAAATCACTGAGCACAGGTGAATTTCCTGACTTTTGGAAACTCTCTTATGTTACTCCCATTTACAAATCGAGTAACAAATCTAAGCACAATCCCAAAAATCTTTGAAAGTATAATAACTGATTTTCTTACTCACGACTGCTCCAATATCTTAAATTCCCAACAATTTGGTTTTTCGCCAGGCAAATCTGCTGAACTAAGCTTATTAACATATGTTAACTTTTTGTCTGAAGCTTTGGAGAAGGGTCTACAGGTAGATTCTGTATATATAGACTTTTCCAAGGTCTTTGACAAGGTGAACCATGATCTTCTCGTTCATAAGCTAAATTTATATGGTATTGATGGGATTGTCTTACAGTGGCTCGGTAGTTATCTAACAAATAGGACTCAACATAGTTTAGGAGCCCACTGCAAAATGTTGGGTCGATCACTAGTATGGCTAAATTTTCATAAAAACGTCGGGTAATATATTGTACAATAGTAATCCGTCGGCAGCCGCCCCAATATCGTTTGCGTTTTACGTTATAAAAAATTATTAACAATTGAAAATATGTGCCACTCTCCACCCATCGCTTTTTTGCCAAATTTTCTACTTAATCGATAGATAGTAATTAAATATAATTTTCTATACCCGGCTGCCGACCATCATCCTTTGCGTTAAGGGTGGCTGATGGGGCTGAAAAGTACTATATCGATGTTGCTTTTATACACTCATCGCTTTTATAGTCAAACTAAATACCGTTGGAAAAGTCGCAAAATTTCCAACACGAAAATACCCGGCTGCCGCGCGAAAGCGTTTGCGTAACTTAGGCTGCCGCGATATTGTGCGCGCGCAAGATTCGATCACGTATGAAATCCGCGCTTTAGATAAGGAGTTTGGGAGTGTGCGCACAGCTGACGTTTATTTGACATCTGTTATTGTCTCTGATTGGAACACGCGAGTTTACGATTAAAGCTAGAGCGTCTCGCTTTCATGTATTCTTTGAATATTTGTTATTCTGTTGTTTTTATAAATATATAGTTTATGTGTTGTTTTTTTATTGTTTTTATTTTTAGTTATACTTAAAACTTCCCTATATATCTAAAGCAGAGAAAGTAATTAATGTGCAAGAGAGGCAAATAAATAGAGATGTCTTAATTTTGTTCTGTTTTTTGCAATTTATAAAATTATACATCGTTAAAGTTAACAAAATGTGAAAAAATAAGTTTAAGAATATACACTAAATTCCTCAGAATAATCGCTTTCTGAGTAATTGATATCGGAATGGACACCGCTGTCACCCAGATAGCACAGGACGTCCCATGGACGTCCTGATTTGGTCCCTTGTTGGTCCGGTTGGTCCCGGACCTAAATAGGACGTCCAGTGGACTTCCGATTACCGTGAACACTGGAACGTCCTTTGACGGACGTCCTATTTTGGTCCCATTTCATCAAAGCGTTTAGTTTTCGGTCCGAGTCCAGGACGTTAATGGGACGTCTATGGGACTTTCTATGTACTAACATCGTTGGTCTTTAAATCGATAACTTGAAATTCAACATTTTGTTTTTGCAAGAGTATGAGGACAGAAAACCTAACCTATCATTTATTTTCAAATGAACAACAACAGTTACAAATTTCGGAATTAAATAATTAACTTATATAAGTGAGTTAGATTAACGAAAAAAAAAAAAAAGAAGAAGGTAATATAGTGTTATTTGTTATTTTTTTTATGTTGGTGGTTAAGAGGTTATAAGTGAGTGTTTTTTGTTGAGGTGAGAATAAGTGATGTGTATTGGCGGTAGCCGGTGGTGAAAAGAAAAGACCTTAATGGCGGAAAGTTGGAACAAAATAAATTTTGACAAAATTATAAAACTTAGTTATATCGACACAAGCTATAAGTAGGACTCAAGGTTTCATCTTACCAGCCCTGTGTGTTAAATTTAATTCATTCCTGTTTTTTTTTTTTGTAAACTGAGAACGTTTTACTCTAGCTAGTTATTTCAGGATAAAAGTTGTTAAATAAAGCCCTTTTGATGTTAACATTTTTGTTATTATTACCCTTTATGGATTATGGTCAAACATCGTCCCTCGGTCGTCTGATTTACGTCCCTAGGATGTCCCTCAATGGTCCCTATGACGTCCTTTTGGGATGTCCCAGGGACGTCCCTAAGATGGACGGAAACGGGACATTAGGACGTCCATTGGTCGTCCGATTGACGTCCCGGTACCAAAATAGGACGTCCCTGTAGGACGTCTTTTAGACGTCCATAAGACGTCCGTGTGCTATGTGGGCATATTGCTCGATAATTTCGTTCGCTTTGATAAATAATTATTTCTTTCGAAATACAAATATTTTCTTACGGGCAATTCCACAACCACTTAATTTTTATTTGTTTCATTTTAATCTGCATTTAATGCAGTAGATAGATTTATAATCACATAAAAAGTCAATACGTACAGTTGTTTGCAAATTAATATTTTCAAGTTTAAGTTCATCTCGGTATTTTGGGTTCAAAGTTGTTATTTTCTTTAAACATTTCGAATGATATTCGTTTCATACGTGATCAAATGTTGCGCGCGCACAAAATCGAGGCAGCCTAAGTTATGCAAACGCTTTCGCGCGGCAGCCGGGTATTTTCTTGTTGGAAATTTTGCGACTTTTCCAACGGTATTTTGTTTGACTATAAAAGCGATGAGTGTATGAAAGCAACATCGATATAGTACTTTTCGGTCCCATCAGCCACCCTTAACGCAAAGGATGATGGTCGGCAGCCGGGTATAGAAAATTATATTTAATTACTATCTATCGATTAAGTAGAAAATTTGGCAAAAAAGCGATGGGTGGAGGGTGACACATATTTTCAATTGTTAATAATTTTTTATAACCTAAAACGCAAACGATATTGGGACGGCTGCCGACGGATTACTATTGTACAATATATTACCCGAAGTTTTCATAAAAATTTAGCCATACTAGTGATCGACCCAACATTTTGCAGTGGGCTCCTAAACTAACAGGTTCGAGTAAATCATCATTATTCCCAAATTTTCCCAGTTACTTCGGGTTTCCCTCAAGGGTCTCACTTAGGACCGCTACTATTCAACCTGTTTATTAATGACATCACAACTTGCTTTCCTAACACTAAAGCCCTATTGTTTGCAGATGACTTAAAATGCTTCAAGATCATTCATGATTATGCCGACACTTAGATTTTGCAGTCGGATTTAAATAAACTAGAAAGTTGGTGCTCTAGTAATGGCATGGATCTAAATACTAACAAATGTTACATTATCCGATTTTGTCGCAGCCATAATTTAATAACATATAATTATAGTTTATTTCAACATGTTTTGGACCCTGTTGATCAAATCAAGGATCTAGGGATCACCTGTGACTCTTCCACGAGCTTTAACGGCCATATCACTGCTACAGTTCAAAAATCAATGAAAATGCTGGGCTTTGTCAAGAGGACAACTCATGACTTCACTATATAAACTATATAAACACAATTAAAATGCTATACTTCTCTTTAGTTAGGACACAACTTGATTATTGCTCCTCAGTCTGGTTCCCACACTACTTAATTCATAAAAGTAAACTGGATGGAATTCAAAATAATTTTCTTAGATACATAGCATTTAAGTTTAAAATTTACTACAATTATGCGGAATTGCAACAATATTTAAGCATACCTTCTCTGGAAGTTTGTAGGAAACGAAAAGATCTTATCATACTGTCCAATATTATCAATGGCAGGTGTAATTGCCCCGACCTCCTTTCCAGAATTAATCTTTTTGTGCCGTCACATACTACTAGACAAATTCAAACATTCCATGTACCTTTTCACCGTTACAATTATGCGTTTAATACTTTTATTCCTAGAACACTTGACTAGCTAACTCTCTTCATGATATTCAACTTTTTGACAGTTCTGTTCAAGGATTTAAGAACCACTTACATACACTGAATATTTGAACGTCTCAAGCAATTCCATACTTTTCATTTATACACATTATAATTTAATTGCTGTTCTGTACATTAATGTCCACTGTTTTATCTAACCATTTTATTCTATATTTTACTTAATTTTTATGATATCACTATTCTATTTTACTGTATTTTTTATTTTATATTTTATTGTATGTAAACTGAATTGGGCTTTGTCCGTAAATAAATAAAGATCAAATGATGTCAGCGTTGAAACTGCTCTAAATGGGTATATCATCTAGGAACTAAGAAACAACATTAGGATATATCCGTGGATCCACCTATGAAAGTGTGGATTACATAGATACTTTCGTGATCAAAAGCGTTATTCATTAGAACTGGCGCACTGTCAGCCACATAGAAAAATACGCCGTCGGTTAGGTGGTCTCGCATTAGCAAGATCTTTAATTTAATTATTTCTTGCAGGTATGCCTATAGAGCAAAATCCATCAAAAATACACCAGTTAAGAACGAGGACATCAAAGACGGCCGACTTTTGGGCCTCCAAGACGAAATTGAGCGCCTCCGACAGCTCATTATGGAAAAGAGCAACGGCGATTTTAATACGAACGTCAGCGACGAGGAACGTACGGATACTGATACAGAAGATGAAAATGCTGTAGAAAAAGAGAAGAAATTAGAGCTCGGAAAAATGGAAGTCGACGAATTAGCGAAAAAATTAAAAACGTTAGAGAAACAAATGGTGCACGGAGGGAAAAATATTGTCGATAGTGTCAACGAAAACGAGGTTAAGCTTGAATTACAGAGAGCCGAGATTGCAGCTAGAAAAGTAAAAATCTTTTTATTAATGTATTATTTTAGTCTTATTTTCTATCACAAGTTTTCTTAATTTATGTTTTATATATAGAAACGAGAAATAGAAATGCAACAAAAATTAGAACTGGAAGAAGAAACCTGTACAGAATTAAAGCACGTATTTGCTAGTTTGCAGCAACAAGTAGATTTCAAAAGGGATAAATTGAAGAGATTGAACAATAAATTGCAATCTATCAGACAAGAGATCCGCGATAATCATGAAGTGTACATTAAAGATAGACAAGAAATCGAAGAAGCTAATGATGAAGCGGCAATGTAGGTTTTATAAACGTATGAATTACAACAGATGGATTATTTATATGGTATACTTTAATTTGCAGGAACTTAAGAAAATGGTTCCTAATAATTGATAACTTTGTTCCGAGCGAAGAGCGATCTAGATTAATTAACTTGGCTCAGTTCGACGAGAACTTAGATAATTGGATTTTAAGAAAAGAAAAAATACGAGTAAATCCAGCTGATAGGCCTCTAGCTCACAGTTACAGGAGACCCATTTCGGATACCGCTATCCAGATGAGTCAAACAACACCTAAATATAGAGTAAGTATTTTTATAATTTATATTAATCGTTTATTTAGTCAAAAAACTATTTTTTTACATGTCAATACATCTTCACATTTAAAATATAAAAAATTCATAAATATATAATCAATATACATTTAAAATGCAATAAAAAATACAGTACACTTACATATCAACTATACAAAACATAATAAAAGAACAAGAAAATAAAAAAGAAAAAAAAAGTACTCACGCAGTTTTCTTTTAAATATTGCTGCGTTTGAAGAACATTTAATATCTTCAGGCAAATTATTAAAAGTCTGTACACCTTTAAAAAACACTGAATTTTGTGTACATTTTTTCGTGGCCTTATAAACTCTAAAATTTTCTTATTTCGTGTATTGTGTTAATTATAACTTAAAATATTTTGTAAATATACTGGGGAGATTCCGGATTTAATCTTATATATAAATAGCAGGGAATAGAATGGCAAATATTTTCTAATAGGCAACGACTGAAGCACATTCAACATGGAATTGATTGGTTCCAATCTCGAACAGCTCAGTATTATCCTCATAACTCTATTCTGCAACTTTTGCAATCGTTGCAACTCATTCTGGTTGAGCAAATACAATATAGTGGCGCAATAGTGGAGAACAGCGCCTCAAATAGTTTATTTTAAATGATATGTTTTTGATGACGTTATTAGCGTGTTCCTTAAATTGTAAATGTGTATTAACCATAACCCCTAGATATTTAAATTTTTCAACTCTCTGAAACTTTATTCCATCAGCAGAAACACACTGCGATGCTACATTTAATTTTTTTAAATTTCCAGTACCCCCAATTAACATCCACTTTGTCTTTTCGTAATTTATTTTCAACGAGTTTCCGTTACAATAATCATATATTTTACTTATAGAACTATCAATTTCTTTAAAGCAAGTTTCAGTGTTTTCATGGGTAAAATATATCAGTGTGTCATCTGCAAATACACCAGTAATGTCATTAATATAAATTAAAAACAGTAGCGGACCTAGAACACTACCCTGTGGCACCCCCATATTATTCTCTATAGCAGTGGTTCTCAAACTTTTTTGGGGACGGAACCTTTTTGAAAAGCGAAAGATTTGACGGAGCCTTAAACACATTTCTAAAAAAAAAGTCTTCCGAAGCAAAATCCTCCTTGCTCTAGCCTCTTGCCAGGTCACTCCCTTTTCTTCGCGGAGTCTCTACAAAAAATCCTCAAAGTCATATCATCCTTCCTCTTTAAGAAAAAAAAAAAAAAAAACGAAAAAAAAAAAAAAAACAAAAAATAAAAAACAAAAAAAACAGTTGTTTACTACGGAATCCCTATTGCACATTACTTATCAAACTGTTCCCCTCTAAATAATCAATAATTTGAAGATATATTACTTTTTCTATTAGTTTTCCAACAGCACTGCTCAAATTTATCGGTCTTAAATGGATAGCCTTACTTGGATTCGAAATTTTTGGTATCGGAATTATTGTAGCAATTTTAATATCATCCGTAACTAAGCTTGTTTCAATGGAAAAATTTATAATATGTAATAGAGGTTGGGATAAACTCTCAAAACATTCTTTTATTAATTTCGTCTGGACTATTTTTATTTGACATTGAAAATAATATTTCTTTTAATTCATTATAATTAATTAGTTCAAAATTTACAAAAGTTTGAATTTCACTTAGATGAGGTATAACTGCTTAGATATTTGTTCAATACTCTTTACATAGTAATAATTTAAAGCATTTGGAAAAGTAAAATCCTGTCGATTGTCACAAATATTATCGAATTCAATATTAGTATTAGTAAAATTGTTTGCGATGTTAGCTGTTAGAATGAAAGATTTCAAAGTTTTCCACATCTCAGTAGGGTTACCCTTGTTTAAATCTATTTTAGTTTCCAAGTATTTGCTTTTTTCATGTTTAATTACATTCACTGCTTTATTCCTATTACATTTATATATTTGGCAGTTTTCCTCTGATTTGTTAGTAATAAATGTTTTATAACTTTTATCTCTCATAGTAGCAGCTCTAACCTGATCATTCCACCAGTTCTGATAATATGGTAAAATTTTAAGTTGTTTTTTTGGTGCCACTTCATTTACAACTTTCAAAATTTTATTTAAAAATTCTCTGTATTTTTCATTAATATCATGTAACCAATAATTTCATGTAATATCTTTTAGATTATTATTAATTATTGTATAATCAATAAACCTACCTCTACTTTCAATAACTTATCGTTTCCCTTTTCTGTTTTTTTTTATTTGTTTAGTTTTGCAATAATATTTATGTGACTACTGATTTTTGGTGTGTCTATCACTTCAGTTGTAATGTCTGAGTTTTTAATTATTAAATCGATTAATAATCCTCCATGAGTATTTGCATGTGTAAATTATTTTACCACATTCTTAAAACCTGTATCAGTAACAATATTTTCTAATATTTTTATCGGAAATCAGAAACAAATTCATTCTAGTACTAGGAGATTTATAAAAGCATACTATCATAAACTTTTTGTTATGTAAGAGTTTTACTGAAATTAACCAATAAGTCTTATCTAAAATTACTTTCTTAATATCTAAAATTTGTAATATCTGATTCACATAGATGATAACTCCCCCAGTATGTCGACTGTTGCTATCAGCTCTACATCTACATATTATATAACTGATAATATTTATTTCATTATTATATATATCTGACGAAAGAAATTCCGCTATTTTATACTTTTCTTTTTAGGGAGAAAATATACTAGACCTGAAACTTGATATGCCTCTAAGAACGACCCAAGAATATTCGCCTCCTGCAGTTTGTCCTCAAATTAAATCAATAGTGACTGATGTCGTTAGAAAAGAATCGGAAAGTAGTCATATTATCGTTAAAATGCCGTCACATTCCATGGGAAGGACGTTGTCTTCAAAATTAGAACAAGAAGGAAAATACAAACAAGCCACCAAAGTGATGGTCGACATGCATAATTACAGGTGATTTTTATTTTGGATATGTAATAAAAAAATAGCTATCCTATATATGTCAGGCGGTAAGTTTTTTAAATAAGGGTCCAGTAATTTTTTGTTATAACAAAATTTCTCGACTCATTTCATTTGAATATTTGAGGTTATTGCATTTCTGGGAGTGGATGGCTTCTTTTTCTGTCATTTATTCAGCTTCAACATTGACGACGTAATAAATTTTCTTGGGACCCCTCCCAAGAAAAGTGGAGTATACTTTAAATCTGACACGCTGATCGGGTCTATCTTAGTCCCCCAGTCCTCCCCCCTTTCACCGCCAATGGCCCTAAGATACTTTGACTCCCTCCCAGCTGAAAAAAGTCGATCTGTTGAGTGACTACTCAAAGTAAGAATCAATCCTATATGGTATAACCGAATGCAGACCTTGCTACGCATCTTCAGAGTTTGATTTTGATAACTCGCTTCCATATCTGTTTGTCGTCATTTCCGTATTAACTGAAGGTTATCAGATTTTATGTGCGCATTACATCTGACAGTTTTTTCATTTATTTATGAAGGCAGTTCATTTAAGAAATTGATAGATGCAGAGCCAAACTTCTCGAGTTTTTCTTCCAATTTTACTTGATGTTCAGAGGTACAAACCTTTTTTTACCGCAGATTCTTGGTTTAATCGTGCCTGAAATAATGTATTTGATTACGTGCGACGTAATACCCAGGTACCTCAATAGTCTTTGGGGTTTAAGTAGTATTCCTTTTAGGGGAAAACGCGAATTCTGCTTATCTACCTTATTCTGAGGTTCTCTTAAGATTCCACCTCAGCTTCTCTGCAGTTAAGACGGACAACTGTATAGTATTTATGATAATGAAACGAAATAAAAAGTGGTTCTGGACTACCTACGACATTTGTGCATTCTTTTCTTGTCTTGTAAAATAATGTTTATTTAAATTTCAGTATACAAAAATTGTTTGTGTGGCTGATAAGTGTAGCAATCAAAGTACAGTTCTTCTTAAAAATTTTGGTAACATTCAGGTGTTTGGAGAGAGCTTTGAAGCCACAAGTAACTGAAATATGCAAGTGTCAAATTGTTCCTATTAAAGCATCTGATTGAATTTTTTTTTCCTTAGGAATCGACCTGGTGTTAAATCTGCGAAAGCTGCTTTCTAATTAATACCTTTGAAGGTATCAAGAAGAAGTCATTGGGATTTGTTTAATGCCATTTTGTGATATCATTCAGTTTTGGCACGTTTATGTATGCAGCTTCTTTAGATTTTATTTTTTTATATATTTGTTATTGTACTTTATAACTTATTTTTTATATAATTATACAAATGTTTTTCGTAACCAGTGATAAAATCGAAGTATTACTATTATTAATTTTTTAGGAACAAATGTTAAAAATATTATGTTTTGTTTTTAAGTTCGTTTTTTTTGTATGATATCGCCAAGTTAATCTGCAATTCAGAGAACATGGTGTTTAAATGAAAATTCATGTTTCTTTTATATGGCTCTTCTAAACTTAGCCGAGTTGTATAAGTTTTGGTGGTTACCTAAAAACTGATTTTAATTTGATTTGCTCATTTTTTTAAAAAATTCTATCCCAGAAATAAGTGCCAAAATTAAAATTGCATATTTATGGTTAACATTTTGGCACTTATTTGTGGATCGCTGTATAAAGGGTCTAATGATAAGTCCATCATACTCGAGTAGATAATTTTAGCAATTCATTATCTATCCAATATTTTTAATGACTCGTGTAGTAAATTGTAATCTCATTTCCCAGTTGTGATTTTTTTTTGTATTTTTTTTTTAATATTACAATAATATCCATAGATCGCTGTGATTTGTAGTAATTATTTTTGTACGCTCACTTTCTAGTCAAGTGCAACTACCTAATAATATAAATACAAATTTGTCTAATATGATTAGACATCAACAGAATGCTTATAGCCAAAAACCTAATAAATTCACTAATTTTCAATTTATCTTAAAATAATTTTGTTTTTTTTTATCCCCACCCCTAAATATATTAAAATGTAGACAACAAGAAAAAAAATAATTGCAACTTTTAAATATTAGTACGTTTTTGGAATGCTTTTTAATTTTAATATGTAACCGTAGAGAAATGTACATGAAAAAGGTATTACAGAAGAAACATCATCCTCGCCAAGGAGCCGTTACTAATAAAACTCCTTCGGCGGAAAAACAACAATTTCCTTCTTCTGGTTTGACTGCTTGTGGTAGTTGATAATTTCTTGCTAAAGACATATTCTTACTTCCGGCAGTGGAGGATTCGTGTCTTTGACCTATAATTAAAATTACCTGAATCGGTTTTAATTCGAAACTAGTTTACCTAACCTGTACAGTCTGGAGCCAACTAATTTACCGAATCGGCGAGAAAAGACAAAATACGTGAGTATTATAATACATAAAAATACATATTGAGTCAGGATTCAAACCCACAGTCCTCAGCTTAGGAGGCTGTTGTCCTATTCAGTAAACTACATTGGCTTGACGCTTGAGAAAATTGTTTACAACCCGAGTGAAAATCAAAAAAGGACCTGTATGTATTCTTCAACAAAATTATTGTCGGCATCGCCCTACACAATACAAAACAGTCACACATAGTACACCACCGGTTTACCATTTGGCCAATAATTTGTAGAGTATGTTTCTGATTATATACGGGGATGGGATGAAAAGTTACCGGCCTAACCTATAGTAGGCCCGATTTGCTTTCCTGTTCCAACGTGTCTGTGTAGCCTTCCTTGTCGTCAGTATACGCTCAAAGTTTAAAGTGAGTGCGTCAAGTAGTTTGTGTCCTGGGCATTTTAAAAGCTTATAAAGTGCGCCACTTATAAAAGATGGAAAAAAACGAGATAAGAGCGGTGATAAAATATTTCCATTTCAAAGGATTATCGCCGACGGAAATAAAGGCTGAACTAGATGCTACTCTAGGGGAATCTGCTCCTTCATTTATCACAGTTAAAGCCTGGGTAGCGGACTTTAAACGTGGTCGTACTAGCACTGATGATGCTCCGCATTTTGGCAGGCTTCTGAAGAAATGGTGCAAACCGTTCACAAACTAATTCTAAAAGATCGCAGATTAAAATTGGAAGAGGTAGCCGAGACTGTGGGCATATCAAAAGAGCGAGTTCACTATATTTTGTGTGAAGTTTTAGGTATGAAAAAGTTATCCGCCTGATGGGTGTCGCGTTTGCTCTCGTCAGATCAGAAGCTCACGCAGCTAACCATTTCAGAGGAGAATTTGGCACTGTTTAGACGTGATCCAGGGGACTTTTTGCGTAGATTTATTACGGTTGATGAAACATGGGTTTATCATTATACCCCTGAAACTAAACAACAGTCCAAACAGTATACGGCAAAGGACGAACCAGTTCCAAAGAAGGCAAAGGCAGTACCGTCTGCTGGAAAGGTCATGGCAATGGTCTTTTGGGATGCTAAAGGGATACTCCTAATAGATTATCTCGAAAAGGGAAGAACAATAAATTCCGAGTACTACAGCGACTTACTGGACCAGCTTAAGCAGAATATAAGCGAAAAACGTCCTGGTTTGGCAAAAAAGAAAATTCTATTTCATCAGGATAATGCACCTTGCCACAAGTCCGTTCTTGTAATGGCTAAAATTCATCAGCTAGGCTTTGAACTGTTAAACCATCCTCCGTATTCGCCAGGCCTAGCCCCGTCAGACTTTTATTTGTTTCCAAACCTAAAAAAAATTCTTGTCTGCAAAAAAATTTCCACGAATTTAGAAGTAATTGCAGCCACAAACGCCTATTTTGACGAGTTGGATAAATCAGACTACAGTGACGATATTAAATCGCTTGAACATCGTTGGGTCAAATGTATTATCCTACAAGGGGACTATGTAGAAAAATAAATTGTTATTCAGTCACTATTGTGTTGCGTTCTATGTTAGGCCGGAAACTTTTCATCCCATCCTCGTAAATTAGTGAAAAAAAATTAAGGACAACTTTTAAAAATGTTTATAAAATTTATATTATTAATATTTTTTTAATCTGACAAAATGATTTGCCTCAGAAATCATTAAGCTTTAAAATAAAGTTTTCGTTGTGAAAATAAAATAAAAAATAAAAAGTTCAGAATGAAAAACCAAAAATTTAATTTTTTAGAAAATATTTTCATTTTTTTTTTATAAAAAAAGAATTAAAAACAATAATGCATGTGTTCGCCTCTCACTTCTTGACAGCGTATGGACATAAAGAGTTTACCAGACTTTCAATACTTTACCTGGGATTATTGAACTAATTCCTCCTGGAGCATTTCTGCTCGGTCATCTAAATTTTCACCAGCCTGAAGAAAATCCCAAAAATGTTCTATGTCGGTTAAGAAGCCTATAAATTACCGAATGAATTCTTCTTAGTCTTCAGGCAATACTCCTAATAGAGTAACCTTCTTGAAACAAAGTAATTGCTGTCACCACTTCATCATGCCTCAAAGGTGTCCTTTGGATAATATCCCTTCCAAAGCATCACAATTATTAATCATATTGTGAAATCAAACAAGTAGAACATTGCTTGATTTGCAAACACTGCAAAATCGGAGACTATAATATTTTCTAAAATAACATGCATTTGGAACTTTTATAAAAACCTATGAACCGAAACATTCCTTTTTTTTACTCTCTTAATGATGAGGTACAAATAAAATTTTACGATGACTGCTTAAAAACTTAAATAAATGCAAGGATTTTAAAAAATAGTCCTTAATTCGTTTTGACTAGTTTACTAGGTACCTAAAACAAAACAGCTACTTTCAGAAATGTGGATTTTTTTACTGGAATAACTATAATTGAAATTCTAAAATATGGTACTGTTTTTATCGCCTATTCTAATACTATACATCTGCTTTCTTAGATGTTCTTGATAAGATTTGGCATACGGGCTTCAACTACAAAAACGTATTTCTATAACTTACTTTAAACTGTTGAGATCTTACATAGGTGAGAGAGAATCCCGAATAAAAATGAATAAAAGTATGTCCAGCAATTTCCCAATAAAGTCAGGAGTTCCACTAGACCAAGGGTACACAACATACGGCCAGTGTCGTTTTGGCGGCCCGCCGACCGTTGACTAGTTTGGTTCGCCTACGTCAAATTATACATTTTTCAGTAACATTTAGACTGACGACTTTTTTTTTTTTTTTTTCTTTAGAAAACTCGATCAGCAGGATGGGTTATACATTATAAACTGACGACCTTGTTTTTTTTTTGAAGCTCGATGTTTAGAAGCTCAACCAACAGGAGTTGGTTTATAAATAAAAGGTGTCGCCCTTTTTTTTTTTCTATTGTAGGCTCAGACCTCTCTTGGCGGCTCTCGTACAGTTACGGTTTTCCAAATCTGGCCCTTTGAAAATCTGAGTTGTGCAGGCCTGCACTTGACAGTGGTCTTGGACCTTTATTGTATATATTGTATACAGCGGATCTACCAACAAATAACAAAACAATCGTGGGGTCATTTGACGAAGACAGTCATACTTCCAAGCCATGAAAATTCAATTACTACGTCTACGATGTTACAAAGACGCTTGAATGATTTCCAAACATGGTTACTCAAATGAAGGATAATAATAAGTTATGCAGAGTCAAGTGAACATCACACTAAGAAAATATCAATGTCCACCAGTATTTCTAAACAATATTCCCACAAGTAGGTACGAAATATCTAGGTATCGATCACCTCTACGACTCCATGTCCTACACACCCAGACAACACACCAAATCCCAGAGATATCCACAGAATATCTTTTGTGGATATCCAATATATCCACAGGATATCAGAAATATTCTGTGGATCTAATGTGGATATCTAAAATGTCCGTCTATATCCAGAATATAGCAGATATCCTAATGGATATGCAGCAAAATATCTAATGCCTATCTTCCAGAAAATACAAGAAATCCCAGAGATATCCACAAAATATATTTTGTGGATATTCAATATATCCAATATGGATATCCAACCAAATGTCCGTCTATATCCCAGGACATAAAAGATATTCGGATATTCAGCAAAATATTTTATGGGTACCTTTCCTTTAGTAGAGGTTCATAAGTAACCAATGATTATTGAATAACGTCGAAAGAAAATAGCAGAGATAAAAAATATTTTCAACACTCAAAATAATTTCAACACTCTGCCTTTGATTTTGCCCACTAAGGAGAAAGTCATCCTTATTAGGACTCTTCAGCAATAAATGAAAATTCTCGACTCCAGTCTCTAATGGAGTGACTAGGACAAAAATTTCGATCGAACTCAATTACGGCGGCTCGAGCATGAGTAGATGCGACAGTGGTATCGCCATCTATACTTAGTAAGCAGAATCAAATAACATCTATAATAGTGGATATCCACGATGGTTTGCGTTCGCGCCTAGACTTTGATATATAATAATACTCTCTCCCTAATTCACCCCCTTACGAGTGAATTTCAACCCCTGAAGTCGACTGAACGACTTGTGTAGTGACTTATTTAGTGGATGTTCATGTGATATTGAATACACCTTAAAAAAAATTAATTTAAAATATCTGAACGGTACTATTAGCCACAATGGCGTAATTTTTTAATAATTTGCTATATAATTACTATTATTTATGGACATTTGCATGTCTATAAATTACATTTCATGGATATAAAATAGATATCTACCATGGACTGGACATTCAGTGGATATTGGGATGTTCAGTAGATGTCCAAAGGATTTGGTGTGCTGTCTGGGCATGCATTGGTGTGGCTAAGTCAATATCTTAACTTGGATTCAAGACTCGCATGAAAAGAACATATAGTTAAAAAACGCAACCAAATTAATTTACGAATATAATAATTACACTGGTTAATCAGCAAAACTATTGTAAAACCTATCTGGACGTATGGTATGTTGAGCTTTGGGGATGCGCGAGTAAATCAAATTTAGCTTTAATCCAAAAAAAGTAAAACCAAAATCCTCCGTATGATAATAGATTCATCTTGATATGTGTCCAACGTAACCCTCCATAAAAAAACTGACCAGCAATCAACAAAATGGTTGAAGAGGACTTGTCCTTAAAGAAGATATCATGCCAGCATATTAGCTTATAGAACTATGTTTGTTCCGATTGCTAATACATATGCTGCGTTTGAATATCCACATCGGATGCATCTGAGATGTTGTAAATCTTTGATCACGTGACTCAGTATACGTAAATGTAGTAGGACAGATGTGTCCGATGTGGATAAACAAACGCTCGAGATGTAAAAAATGCATCGGATGTGGATATTCAAACGTAGGAATAATTAAAACAAGTTCACATATTATTATATAAATATTTTCACAACAATATATACAAGATGTGTAAGACTTACCTATAATTTCTATCAAATTTGGGGTCATCTTACATTTAATATCTTCGGGTCTGAAGCCCCTAGCATCCACAAGAAGTTCGAATCTATCTTGGTGAAAGAACACCGCGTCCATTTTTTGATTGTGTTTATCGTCTCTTCTCATACAAATCGCTATGTCAGACCATTCTACTCCAAATTCTTTAAGAGAGCTTATGGCTTTATGAAAGCATTTATCTTCCATCAAAGATAAACATTGTTTAATTGGTACTTGCAATTTTGTAGATTTCAAAACCCAGCTCATATTTTTTTACATTATTGGATGATTTTTTCTTGGAAGTAACTGGGAATAACACTATTGACAATGGTCATGTCAAATTATATAAAAGTGACGAATTATTAATATACAGGGTGAGGTTAAAGATGTCAGTTAACACATTGGTGGATTAACAGTCCAGATCGAGATTTTACTGATAATAGTCCAGGAAGTAAGGTCGATCTTTACCCATCTGTTTAATGGATAAAAGTTTGTTTTAATAAAATGTTTTTAAATTTACTGCAAATTAGTTGCCTAAGAAAATACAGTCACAGCTATTTTTTACTTTCCTTTCTGTGTACAGATAAGGAAAGTATAGGAATCATGATAAAAGTTGCTTATGATGTCATTCTCTATTATTTTGTCCCTGTACATGATTTCCCTAAAATGGACCTAATTCAAGATATTTGAGGAAAAGTGCAAATTTCGAATATAACTCAAACACGGATGAAGAATAGTTTGGACCGTATTTTCTTAGGCAACCCATTTGCGGTATATTTATAAACATATTTTATTTAATATAAAGAAACTTTCATCTATTAAACAAATGGGTGAAGGTCAGCCTTACTTCGGATCTTAGACCATAACAAAAACGGCATTTTCTATATGGGGTCCCAACTATTTTATAGGGACATTATTGTTATTTCTTAAACGGTAAAAGATAGAAAGTTGGTTAAATTAGACAAAAGTTAAGCAGTTTTGTCCTCATTAAAATGGTGCCAAGAAACCTTTTATATATACAGGGAGATTCAAAATATCGGACAAAAAAATGAATGAATTTAAAGAAAGGACAATTTTCATTTGGGTACTATAAAAAGTCTAATAATAAAAATCGGGAATGTTATTAAACATTCATCTATTTTTAAACAATAACTTATACAAAATAATTTCCCTCCAAAAAACAACAACTACCTCTTTGGCTAATACTGAAACAAGCATTTAATTATAGGCATTTTCCTTTGACGTATTGTTCCGGCTATAGTTGATCAAATTAGAACCAATCATATTCCTTTTATAAACGATAACGTCAATTTGGTTAATATTTTCGAACCAGCCTAGTGAATTGGTTCAAATTTGCAATATATTCTATCATTATTTAATAGTTTTCGTCTTAACAATTTTTTTTAAATGTAGTTTTACTTCGAATCCATAATTTGAATGTGTTTTGGGATTGAGAGACAGTTCACACCTCGGAAGGAAATAGACAACTCATGAAAAATGACAAATGGCTGACCAAAATCGGGGACTAATTCATTCCATTGGCTTTATTTCATGATGTCACCAATCTGAACCACTGTCAAAAATAGTGTCATTTTAAGGTTAAGCATAACCAGAACCATACCCACAGTAGTAAAATACCTAATATAAAAAAAGCAGATATAAAATTATTTTCTCAACAGCTACTACTGAATATAGATCTTCCGAAACCACATATTTATAATAACAGAAGGACAACATCATCTCTCGAGATTGGAAGAAAATACTGAAACGCTTGCCTCTTGTAGTAGATAGCCATGAAATTCATGACTGACAGTTCTAATCAACATATTATTATATAATTTAAATTTGCCTAAATATAGATAAGCGGTGTTTGTTGAGTCAAACTTAAATTCAAAAATTGGTCTAAAAGATATTTACAAAAACATACCACATAATCCTTGGACCAAAATAAGTCGCTAGACATCTTTCTTATTTGTATTCATGTTTTAGTAAATACATTTTTCTCTAAAACCTACACTCAAACTTATTAAAATACAAATTTCGCGAAAACCATGAGAGTAATCCAGTCTTATTAAGAGTACCTTTTTTGTAATAAATGCATTAAGCAATCCAAATTTTATACTATACTCCCTTTTCTTTCATTGGCGTAGACATTTTAAATTTACGAGTAATAAAAAATCAAGTTCTACACCTATGGATTAATATTAGTGAATAATTTTGATACATTTTAAGTCACATAAAACTCTGTCAAGGCCACATACTTTGATTTTCTTTTACTATACGGAGAATGGTCGCACTTCGCAGCTTTCTGAGTGCCTTTTAAAAGGAGATAGAAAACTCCGACATTTTGATCCCTTATTACGTGTTGCCTACATCTTGGCGCAATATTTTTAATAGGTGCGTTTTAATCATCCGCTTCTGCTTCGGAATTGTCGGTTTTCTTGTTTTAATCTGACAGGTTAAAACGACTAAACCGACAATTCCGGAAGCAGAAGCGGATGATTAAAACGAACCTGATATTTTGCTTGCTAGGCGAGTTCGGATAGTCAGGGGCTGGAGCGGGACAAATTATAGGGTGCTTTTAAATGACATTTAAGCGTGTTAAAACTGTCACTAATCGGACTAAACCGAACGCTAAAAGGGTCGTTTGGAGTTAAAAGTGTTAAAGGAGTTAAATGAACTTGGCAGACCGAACGCAATGGCTGTTGTGTCAGTGAATATTATTTTTGGAGTCACAGTTTATTGCTAAAGAATCAGTTAGCTCACTCGGACCAGTTGAAAGTTCCAAAATAACATCCACTCCGGATACAAATTCAGGATACGCAGAAGACTGCCGTTTTATTATAGGCGGTTGTCATATATTGTATTATCCGAGTTGCGCAGTGTATAAACTGGAACATTGAGATTAAAAGTGCCGACGCAGAGTGTGCGATCTAATTCTTTAGCTATAAACTGTGGCATAGGAATCAAAATGGCCGCGCGCTATGTTGGGCGTGTCGGACCTCTCTCTTGCGCCGTATAGTAATCAAAGTAAATTTAAACAGAATCGCATAAGCTGTTTTATAATTATAAAGACCCTCTAGCGACCAAACTGAGCAACTTTGTTCTTAGGTAAGTTTACTTAAATTAACTTATTTTGGTCCAAGGAATATGTGGTATGTTTTTGTAAAGGCGTTTTACAGACATCCTGATTTTGAATATGGAATTTGATAATAAAAACTTGCCTAACAAGTTAGATTAAATATTTCATTTTGTTCAAAGTTTCATTTTACTATATTCGTTTCTGTGGCCATGGAAAAAGAACAGTCTGTTACTCTGTTGGGATGAAAATCCGATACTCGCAATTCTTCACGCTTAGTTTAGAATCTTCCACTTGTATCGGATTTTCATTCCAACCTTGTTATACAGGGTGTCCCAATGAAAAGTACCTAGCCCATTTCCAGAGCTTATAACTTTTAAACAAATCATAGAAACGTGCGGTTTTTGCTGATATGTGTTATTTTGCTAGAAGTTTCGCTTCAGTGACACAAAAATTATGTATTACCTATACAGGGTGTTTTTTAAAAATCTGCTCTTTTAAATTGACTGTAACCAAATTTGATCAAATGGAAACAAGCTACTTTTCATTGGGACACCCTGTATAATATACTATTCAACACTAACTTTGATTTGTGACACATGGATAGGAGTTTTTTCTGTTATTCTTTGTTTTACATGTTGGTCATATTTAAGTTTGGAATAATTGGAAATATTTTTCTTTTTAAAAACTTTTACACCTATTTAAGTATTAATCTATTGATTGGTTATTACTATTTCAGACTTATTATCCACTGAATTATGACTCTTTTTATGTTTTTTTAAACTACTTGAATCATAAAATTCCAAATAACAAATTGTACAGCTATAGGGTCTCTCGTTAGTATGGATTCTAGTATGTGCTCTTAAGTTTCCATTTTGTGCAAAAGCCTTATTGCAGAAAGTACATTTATATGGTTTTTCTCCAGTGTGAGTTTTTAGATGATTCTGAAGATGGCCTAATTGGATGAAGCTTTTTTGGCATATCTCACATTTGAAAGATCGTTTATTTTTATGGATTAATAAATGATTTCTATATACAGCTAGTTGTCTAAAATGCTTGTCACAATCTGCACATTTATAAGGTTTCTCACCTAAAAATGAATGATGTAAATATTTGGTTTTAATATATTAATATGTAGTCTTTTTAGTACCTGTATGTATTCTAGAATGCACTTCTAAGTGACTTTTTCTTACAAAGCTCTTTCCACATGCTGTACATAAAAATGATTTTTCTCCAGAATGTTTTTTCTTATGAACAAACAGTGCTTGTTTAGAAGAAAGTATTCTTTGGCATATTTGACATTGTAGCTGAGAGGGATCAGGAATTTTTTTGGGATACTTCTTAGCAATCATGTCACTTTTTGGAATCAAACCATTCTTGATCTTATGTCTTTTTTCATGCGTATAGTATGTAGAATACTTTTTGAAAGTTAAACCACACATATTGCAGACATAAGGTCGTTCTCCTGTATGAATTCTGATATGTTCTGTTTTTCTTATAAGTGTTGCAAATTCTAAAGATAAGTTAGATATAAAATAATAGTACTGACCGTCCCAAACTTCTGGTCTCTTAGAATTACTTGGTTATGATATAAAAATATCAAACTTGGATCCCATTTAAAAAATCCAAGCTTATCCTCCAAGACCAGAAGTTTGTTGTTTAGGACAGCTTGCACTATTACTTGTATAAGTAATTTGACAAAAAAATAATTACTCACTCTTTCCACAAGTTTCGCATTCAAAAGGTTTAGAACCCTTATGATTTACATTTTCATGTCTTTTTAAATTTTGGACATACCGAAATTTCTTAAGACAAATCTTACATTCATGTGGATTCTCTTTAGTGTGTGACCTTAAATGTAATTTTAAATTACATTGTTTAGTAAATTTTTTATCACACTCATTGCACTTTAACAATGGACCTTTGGTACTTGTTTGTTCCGATGACTTATCCTTTTTAGTATCACAAACATTTGTATTCAAATATCCAGGTATATCCAGTTGTGCATCTTCAGAATTATTCAATTTATCTGTTACCTCAATCAGGCAATCATCAGAATTGTCATTTTGGCAATATTCATTTAAATAATGAATGGGTGTGTTTTGATTAATATTGCTTTTATCTTTATTTTCTTTAAGAATTTCTTTGAGATATCTATCATTATTTTTTACAATCCTTATAAAAAGAGATATATCTTTTAGTTTAGCTATGCAGTCTCTGCATATTTGGCTTGGTAAATCATCATCTAAGTTAATCTAAAAAAAAATTTGAAGTAATATGGGTTTTTAAAAATAAATATCAATAATTAAAAAATATACAGGCCTACACAAAAAGAGGGACTTGCACAAAGTTGCAGGTTGAAGAAAATACAACTAAGGATCTGGGAGAATCCGAACAAAAGGATAGAAGATAAAGCAGAAAGCACTGTGTTTACATAGGGTATTGCATATGAAACTACAATTTTACAATACAACAAAAAATACCTCATAATCAGGAATTATCTTCAAAAGATCCAGAATGTCTTTCTCAATTCTAATAATTGTATTTGTCTTGCTCAAACAACTTCTACAAATATCTAAAAAGTCTTCTACATATATTTTTCTTTCATAAAGTATATTCTTTTCCATTTCAAAAAATTATAGCTTGTGTTTGGTAAACAAATTTTGTTTACAAACAAATTAACCTCTAAAAACTAAAGAGCTAATGTAAATCGGAAAACGTAAAAGACCAAAATTCCCTACGTGGAAGCCTTAGATAAAAGAGACCAGAGATATAACATACACCGGTGTTTAACCTGCGCAAATGTTGTCAATTTCTAAAGACAGGTTAACGGAGTGGGGGAACTGGGCAGGGACTCAAACTCTGTGACAGGGACCGGACTTTGTTTATTAGCATCATAAAGAACTATTAGATTTATTTAAAATATACGTTTAATGGAATTTTGTATTATGAAATAAATTTAACGTGATTTTTTAATATCAAACAGATGCCACGACATTTTATGTAAAGAGAAGACCTTTAATAGAATATTTCGTTAGCTATTATTTACTATGGACTTTTCTGTAAGAGACTACAGTAAAATGTTGAAATAGAATATTGTTAATCGAGTAAGAAATGGTACTCATTGTCTAAGAGTATTATAAAAAAGCATGTGCGCAGGCGAATACTGCAAATCAAACCTTGTGAGTTGAACATTATATTTTTTCTACGACTATCACATAATATTAAAATTTAGTCAAAATGAGAAAATGCTGTTTTGTATTATAACATCAGAAAAAGATATATTAAAGCTTGTTTCTTTAGGAATATTAATTAATATAGAGGATGCGTCACATAAAACTCTAGAAATGTATATGTCTGAAACCAGATAACATTTTAAAATTTAAACCTATTAAAAGTCATTTGGTCGCTAGGAGTGGGTGATTATCGAAATAAATTATTGATCATTAATAATAATCGATTATTTTCGATCAATTGATTATTTTCAAACAATCAAAAAAAAAAAAAGATTAATTAAAAAGCCAATTAACCGATAAATCACCCAGACAGCACACCAAATCCTTTGGATATCTACTGAACATCCCAATATCCACTGAATGTCCAGTCCATGGTGGATATCTATTTTATATCCATGAAATGTAATTTATAGACATGCAAATGTCCATAAATAATTGTAATTATATAGCAAATTATTAAAAAATTACGCCATTGTACTCGCCATTGTGGCTAATAGTACCGTTGAGATATTTAAAATTAATTTTTTTTAAGGTGTATTCAATATCCCATGGACATCCACTATAAATATAAATATATCAAAGTCTAAGCGCGGACGCAAACCATCGTGGATATCTACAGATGTAATTTTTGATTTTGCTTTCTAAGTATAGATGGCGATACCACTTTCGTATCTACTCATGCTTAACCCGCCGTAATTGAGTTTGATCGACATTGTTTCATAAACAGACTTCATTAGAGACTGAAGTCGAGAAGTTCCATTTATTACTGAAGATTCCTAATAACGATGATTTTCTCCTTAGTAGGCAAAATCAAAGGCAGATTGTTGGGAATATTTTTTACCTCTATTTTCTTTCGACGTTATTCAATAACCATTGGTTACTTATGAACCTCTACTAAAAATAATTATAAAATATTTATCTGAATTTCTATATCCTGGGATATCCACAAAATATATTCTATGGATATATCTGGAATTTCTTGTATTGTCTGGAGATACTCATTAGATATTTTGCTGAATATCCATAGGATATCTTCTATATTCTGGATATAGACGGACATTTGGATATCCATATTAGTTCCACGGAATATTTCTGATATCCTGTGGATATATTGGATATCCACAAAATATATTCTGTGGATATCTCTGGGATTTGGTGTGTTGTCTGGGCAGTGTTTACAAAAAATAATAAACGAATTATCGTTTATTTTAAATAATCGATTATTTTTAATTTCTATTTTTTTTTCGTATTTCCATCGATAATCTTTGAAAAATCTAAAATAATCGATTAATTAAAAAGTCGAATAATCGATAAATCGATTTTTCAAAAAAAAAAGAATTATTTCCTTTAAAATCAATTATTCGATCATTTTTAAAACATCGAAAATAATCGATTAACGGAAAATAACCAATTAATTAAGAAGATTCTACGATAAACCGATTTTCCAAAAAAAAAAAAACTGAATAATTAATGATTATTTACAAATAATCCTTTTCTTTTTTTATATTCCTTTTAAAACTGATTATTTAATTTTCTTTGAAAAATCGAAAATAATTGATTAATAAAAAGCTGATTTACCGATAAATCAATAATTCTAAAAAATAACCGAAATATCGATTATATAATATAACCGATTATATTCGATCAATCGATTATTTTTATATAATCTTTTTGTTGTATTTTAAAACAAATTATTTGAATACCTTTGAAAAATCTAATATAATCGATTAATCTAAAATAATCGATTAATCGAAAATAATCGATTAATCGAAAATAATCGATTAATTTAAAAAGTCTATTAAACAATAAATCGATTTTTCTAAAAAATCGATTATTTTCAATAAATCGAATATTTTGAATAAATCTACTCTCTTTTTGTAATTCCTTTATAATCGATTATTCCATTACCTAAAAAAACGAAAAAAATTTATTAAAAATGTTCGATTAATCAAAAATAATCTATTAAAGATAATCTATTAATTATAACGGATAAATCGATTTTCATGAAAACGATAAATCGATTATTTTTGTAACCCCTATCGGTCGCACGTTTTTATCAGAGCATTTAGCTCCAAAATTTAGAGATTCGGATTTATTGATCCTGTTATCTTTGAAACAGCATTCGATTGTATAATAAATATTGCTAGAATTTAGATTTTTTTAGTAAACGAAGATATTTTTCGAGTTGTTTAGGGGTTTATAATGTAACATTTTACTAATAATATGACTAATTTCCGTAACTTTAGTATTTTTTGCTTATACTAGATCATATTGCGCGTTTTACTTTGTTTTAAGATTCAAATGTCATTTCTGATTTAACCGAAAATAAAATAAACCTTGAAATTTTAAGTAGGTGAACCTGTATTTCATCTAACATTCTTGTAAAAATATCTAATAAAGGGCTAAAAACCACTTTTAGTAAATATTCTTATAAAACTACTTTTTAAAAACAAAATTTCGTTAGTAACAATGCCTATTTACTTCTTATTTAGATTAAATATTTATTGAAACCCCTTAATGCGGATCTGAAGTATTCAGCTCAAAGAATCATGGCGACTTTATGTCAAAACGTCAACAAATATTTACCGCTGAAAACGAATATATTTCTTATTTTTCATAACATTGACACATATTATTTGTATATACAATTTTTCACCATACATCGTGGCATTTTCAACTTGAAATTGAATAACTAAAACACTTTAAATTGCTAATAACACCAACAAATAATTCAAAAACGGCGGTCCATAAATGGTTTACTCACGCGGAGACAAGCAAAGAATAGAAATTTCGGAGCAATTCGGGTGGCGTCGTGAACACAATGATTTTTAATTGGTGGGTTACTTAGGTTTGGAATAGACAACATGCGCAATGTGCAATGTTACATCTCCGGTCTCTTTTATCTAAGGTGGAAGCAGAAATTTATAAAGCCCGGTTTACACTTTATTCGGCATTCCACCGCTAGTAGCTTAGATTAGGGTAGTGCATAGAAAAATAAGGGTGGTACGGCTAGTAGTTAAGAGATGTTAGGTGCTATAATTGAACGTTTACGTTATCCATAACGTACATGTTAGGCCGAGTATTAACATTAACGAGGCAAGTTCGTATGATGGAAAACTTTTTCCAACACATTACTGTTATTTCTGCTTATTATGTTCTAGTTTTCCATCACACAAACTTGCCTCGTTACTGTTAAAATTCGGCCTAACATGTACGTTACGGATAACGTAAATGTTCAATCATAGCACCCAATGGCAACACTGCACGTCGAGAAACGTCAAAGTCAAAAATAATAAAATATGTTGAGGTTGGAGTGGAATTGGAAAAGTAATAAACAATATAAGTGATTTTACTGTGGAGAAAATAATTTCCTTACAAAATGGATATAGCTTTATTACTGGCCTTAGCAGCAACATTGTTAGCTGTTATTATTGCTTTAACAATATTCATTAAGAAAGATAAAGAAAAGAAAGGTAAAATGAAACATCTGTTAATTGATTTTTGCATTGCTGTTGAAATATGAATTGATTGCTATGATGATAATTACGTTACTTGCCTCTACTTTGTTATAGCTTCCCAACGTCACTTTTATCTTACTCTTACTATTAGTGTGACTTCAATTATATAATAAATTGGAAAAGTACTCACATTTCCAGCTAAATTCTGCACCTTCCAGGTAAACTGCACTATGACATTCTAGTCAACTTTTCAATAGAGCAGATTGAATGTTGTTTGGACACTTTTGGGCTACATAATTACATATATTTCAACAAGAAATGCACTTATATAGATACCTAATGCTTGTCACAATATTTATGTATTGTTTACTAATCTAAAATGTAACTAATAAAACTTCCTATTAATTTAATTTGCATAAATTGTTGGTTTTTTACATTGAGATATAACAAAGTAGAGACAACATAAACACTATTTTGCGATATGACAAATGGACACACTTCAAGTGACGGAAAAGTGTAATGAAAGTGACGACTTGAGATGTACTTTGATTTATTTGAAGTCAATAATTTTATATTTGAAGACTGACGGAATGAAAATAATTTTATATCATTTATATGAAGCTATTTAAAAAAAATGGCATTTATTCTCACCAAAACTGACTAGCTACACTATCTCGAGTTTAACATTGATGTAAAACTGTAATGCAAAGGTGCGGCCAATTTAGCATCATCATAGCATCTCCTCTTTATTCTCTCAATGGTTTTTTATGACATTTCTATGTTCTGATAGCACATTTTTTGACATGGTGTCATTATTCCTCCAACATTTCTGTTCTCATAGAAATTTTAGAGAATTTAATGAGTTGAAAACTCTATGTGCACGTGCTGTTTACCTCCTAAGTTTATTAAACATGTTATATTTTTTTAGCTCACTTTTATTGTAACCTCAGTATAATATGTGGTGTAGTATATCCCTAAAAAGATCTCAATGAGCTGAATTTAAAAATATAACTTTATAAAACTGCACTATGTCTGAGGTACATAATTGGTTTAACAAAACGTTGGTAAATATCTAGTTTGACCTCTTTTTGAATATAAAAAATTAAAGTTTTGTACTTGTAAGGTATGGTTATTGCAAACAAAAAACCTAAGTTCTATATCTTGTACAAATTAATAATGATAAAATTAATTTTTTTAAATAAAAATTGCAATTTTTTTCAATGAATATTAACAATTTTATTTGAAAGGGAGTTAATGTGGGCAAAACAACCTCAATAGTTATATTAAAAAATATTGTTAGGACAAGGAAAACTGGAGAATAGAAGACTCCATCGCAGTTTGATACTTCTATATAAATTATGTAAACATCTAATTGATTCTTCTAATCTATTAAGTAAAATCAACTTTTATGTGGCTGATCATAGAACTCGTCCCAGGGCACAACTATTTTTCACCAAAACCAACAACAACACTTTAAATCAAATATACCAGTTATACAACACATACATCACAGATCTCTGTCCTGGATTATTTGGAATAAAACTGTCCTTGTTTAAAAAGTATATCACATCCAACGTATATATTACCTAATTATACAAAATATATCTGTCTTTGTACTAGCCTCCTATTTTAAACTAGATCTTAACTTGCTATGTCATTATAAAATAATTTTTAGAAATGAATTGCTAGGTAATATTTGACAATAAAAAATAGGATATTTTTTTGTGTGATTTGGTAACATTGTAACATGTAAAAGTAGTATATCTTGGCTGATTTGAGACATTTTGTGAAATATTTTTATTTAAAAAAATTGTGTAATTATTAATTTGCACTCTATGGAACTAATGTTTTCTTTTGGTAAATCTCGGGCAGTTTTAACGTAGGATTTGTGTTCCTTTGGTAACACTGTTTTTCATTTACCATTGGAAAACTGGTGTACTAAAACTTGCACCCAGGACAATTTTTTAGCATGATCTCAAGAGACTGTGTTATAAAGGCAGTGCAAGAATGTGATGTGTGAGAATCAAAGCTGTTTCTTTCTATTTTTAATTTTTATCATCGTTTTCGGACTCTTTTTATAAAAATAGAAACACAAAAATATGCTTTTTTTAAATCATAGCAGAGAATTATTATTTTGTTTTATGGTTCAGAAGGTATTTTAGATTCTCTAGACAGACTGTTAAGATAATTATAACTAAATTTAAAGAGAGTATTTCCTAAAAATTAAATTTATAAAGAAAATAAATATTTTATTATAATTTATTAATATCCTATGTTTGTGGCGCTAGTTTGCAGGAAATTTGAAGCAGTTGTGTTCCATTGACAATGCACAGGTTCAATATTTTTGTGTACCAGGATCAGGCACCATAAAACTTCAGTTCATATTCAGTGTATACCAATGGAAAACAATAAAAGATTTTTTGTTTACAATAGTGATACCTACAGTATGAATGCTTAGTTTTTTCATAAGAGAAAAGAGGTCAAACTAGATAATGACTTAAAACTTAACTACAAATAATTTTCTTTAGTTAGATTTTAATTATTTTTATAGCACCAGAAAGGCCCAGAGCTGCAGTTAATAGAAGAGACGGGGGTCCAAGAAGAGCACAGATAGTCAGAAATAGAGGGGTTCGCTTAAGAGCTAATGGTAAAAATATAAAATATTGACATTTCTATTAGCTAATTAATATTATTTATAGATCACCAAGAAATACAAGACGAAGATGATGAGGAGGGTGACAATGAAATAGAAAATGATATTGAGCTTCCAGATGGTAAGATAGGAGCTAAGAAAAGAGCAAAATTAGAGGCTAAAGCTGAGAAAAAAGCTGCCAGAAAATCGGAAGAACTTATCCGTGCTGACAAAAAGAAAAAAGCTGAACTAGCTGAGGAAGAAAGAAAGAAACAAGAAGAAAAAGAAAAATTAGAAGAAAAAAAACTTGAAGAGGAACAACGAAAAGCCAAGGAAGAACAAGAAAAACGAGAACAGGAAGAATATATGAAAATGAAAGAAGCATTTTCAGTTGAGGAAGAAGGATATGAAGAGGGAGAAGGAGATAGTCAAAATTTACTTCAAGAATTTGTTACTTATATTAAAAACAACAAAGTTGTAGTAATTGAAGATTTAGCAGCACAATTTAAGCTTAAAACTCAAGCAGCCATTGACAGAATTAAAGACTTGCAAGAGGACAACATTTTAACTGGGGTAATAGATGACAGGGGAAAATTCATTTATGTTTCTCAAGATGAAATGGAGGCTGTAGCAAAATTTATTAGGCAAAGAGGTCGAGTTTCTATTGCAGAACTAGCAGAAAATAGTAATATTCTAATAAATTTAACACCTGTGTCTAGTGTGATAACTAATTAATATTTATATATTTTTTAATATAGAACATCAAATTTGATTGTAAATACATTTTTATTGTTTATTAAAATGCTAATTTATTATTTTGTTTTGTTGCTAAATAAAATAGGCACTTGGAAATGGAAAATTATTTATTTCATAAAAAAATAATACAATTTTATGTATACCTATAATTTAAAACATAAAAACTGGTCACTTATTCCATAGAGGGTATTTATGATAAAAAATTAATGTAAAAATTAGCCAGTCATGAAATTATGATTCTTTAATGCACTTTAAATGAAAACTAAAGACATCTAACTAGTGCATGGATGGAAATGAGTGTTTCAAACCTTCATATACAATATTAAGTGCTTTCAAGTCTGTTTGAATGATTTTTATTAATTGTCCTATTCCATTTTGTTCACTCTTTAATACATTTTTAATTTCTTCTTCTGTTTCGCCATCTAATCTGTAACAGGGATTGGTTTGTTTGTAACTTCCTGCCATCATTTTAATATTTGATAGAAGTTCATTCACTTGGCCCTAGAAAAAATGAATAAAATTTAACAGAAATAAAACCTGGTAAAAGTAAAATTAATAACTTCGGCAGAAACCCCAAAACAATGCCACCGATATATTTGACAACTGATAAAATGTCATAAAAGTCACAAAAATCACTAGAGAGTTGAAGTGTTACGTCCAAGATAAATGCACAAAAATAACGTTTAAGTTGAAATGCGTATGTATTTTAATTGATTCGCAATTGTGTATGTTTTTTTTTTTAACATAATATGAGTTAAGAAAAATAAATTTGTTACATATTACAAAGATACTTTTAATCTTGAGTTCAGACAGCCTTAATTAACAATAAAACAAATAACAGTTGAAAGCACGAACCCAAATATTAAAAACTAAGAATAAAAAAGTAATAAATATATAAAAGTTAAAATCAATTTTTTTTTCAGTTTTAATAAAAGTTGCCATGTTTGTTATTTAAAACTTGCCAATGAATTGCAATCCTTCAATCCCCTGGGCAGTTCATTATATTCTTGGAAACCTTTATACAATAACGATGCTTGTGATTTCGAATAATTAACTTTTTTATGTACATATCATTAGTTGATCTTGTGCTGTAATCATGAATATCCCCATGATAACAAATACATTGATGAAAGTAGGATGGAACCAAAGAATAAATTATTTTATAAATAAATATAATTGGGACTATTGCGATTTTTTTCACCATTTATTTGTAAATTAACATCATTGATATCAAGTAAGCTTATATTTATGTTTAATTGTAAAAATAAGTGCTTTTGTTTTAGTTACATGCAATTTCAATTTGTTAAGTTGAAAATACTGGGCAACTTTTTCCAGTATTTTATTCATTTTCTCGGTCATTAAATTTATATCAGAGCATGCTAGCAGAGTGCCATCAGCAAAGATATTAATGAATTCACAATCAACAAACAGTCCAATATCATTCAAATATAGTATAAACAGCAGCGGCCCTAGGACACTTCCTTGCGGAACCCCTGTGTCAATGTTAATCTCGGGTGATATCTGAATCTAAAATGTACTTTTTATCTACGACCTTGCAGATAATCAGTCAGCCACTGGTATACATTTCCACCTACACCATAACTACCTCATTTCTACATTTTTTAAATTTATTCCACATATTCAGCTTTTGATGTTCTGCACATGACTTGAAAGACTTGTAAGCATTATATCGGATTTTAATTGTATTGTAAACCTCATTATCAAACCATGGTACATTAGAGTTATACTTACATGTCTGAATAGGGGCAACCTTATTAATAACTCTTTTACAATTTGAATATAACTCATGATAAATTACTTCAATATCAATAGTATTAAGATTCCAGTTGCACATAATCAGATCATTTTGTATATTAAAAATGTTAGTTTCATTATAATTCCTATACTTTTTTATAACTTTGTTTGAAGTATTTCTTGTATTGGAAAAAATTACAGAAATCACAGAATGATCACTGATTTTCGGAGTATCATGAACTTCAGCATCACAATTATCATCATTAGTTAATACAAAATCGACTAGAGACTTTCTACTCGCGTAGGTTTAGTAACTTTTTATTTGATACCTTAGCTTGAGAAAAGATTCTTAATTTTGTTAACATAAAAACTATCACCAAGCAAATTTAAATTAAAATCACCCACTAATACAAATCTATGCACAAGTGACAGACACAGACGAAATCATTGCATGGTGACATGATTAAGCATAAACAAGTAGGTATTTAATTTAGATGAAGCATGGGTTAATGCTGGACATACAGTAACAAAAATTAGGCAAAATACTTCCATCAAAACTAAAAAACAAGCCTTTATGGAAAACATTCAACAGGAAAAGGAAATCGTTTAATAATAACACACATTGGAAGCACCGATGAATTTTTGCCAGATGGTTTATTAATGTTCAAGTAAAAGAAAATAAAATACTACCATGAAGAAATGGATGGTACTATTTACTACTTGGATTGAGAGCGTTTTAATGAATAGGCAATTTTGTGTCAGAGTTAATGGTATTAAGAAATCATCCTGTTATCAGTGAAGTACCACCGGATTCTATGTTGGGACCATTGTTATTCCTCATATACACTAGTGTCTTGGCCAATGTTATAAATAACCCTGTAAAATTCTATACAGATAATACAAAAATGATACAGAGGGAGGGAAACAAACAGACAGAGACACACGCATCCACCTCACTCGAGGTCGAAAAAAATCATGATTCCTATATTTTCCCTATATGTATACAGACAGAAAAGTAAAAAACTAAAATACAAATGTAACTATTGTTCTTTAAAGTTTTTTTTGAAAATTCATCCTGGATGGAAAAACATTTAACTGTGTCTTCTATACTCAGGGGATATCAGGAAGCAGTTTATGGGAAAAACGTCAAGACTCAAAGAAAAAGGAAGCACTACATGACATGAACATGCCCGTCGAAAATGTCTAAAAATTACGTTTCCAAAAAAGGCCCATCACTATGCGTTAGTCTATGGATGCTTTAATGACATTGAATAGCATCCATACTGTTTCATTTATTTTTTTTATAATGTAAGTGATCGTGACAAATTTATAACACTGAAAAATCAAAATTGTCACCACCGTTGGAGTTGAAACAAAAACTATACCGATATCACATGGGTTATCAAGTTGCACTTTTTGCATTAGTTTGCGAATACTTCGCATATTCGCATTGACGTTGAATAGCATTTATTTTCTTTAAAACGTAAGTGATTTGTGACAAATTTTCAACACTGGAAAATTAAAATTGTCGCCATTTATCTTGTATATATTTACGTTAGTCTGGGGAGGCTTTGTAGTCGTTGAATAACAACTAGATTATTTTATGGGTTAATAATGACAGTTGCGATTCGTAAAATTTTCAGTACTGCGAATACACATTAAATTATTTTTTTAATATTTGAATTTTTAAGTTACCGTCAAATTTAGATTTCATCACCCTAGCGATCAATCATAATATTCTATTCACTAGTACAAACAATTCGAGAATCCTAAATAAAGTAATATGAGTCTAGAAATTAAATGTCGCCAGATGATTCTATAAGATCTAAAATTACACAAATTATCGTTACTGCCAAAATAAATGCAATTGTTACAATTTTTGATACATCGATTCCATCAGAAATAAATACCCAGACGGGCGATTGGTTGAAAAGAATCATTAAATTAATCGAAATATCACTACAAAATGAAAATAAGTTACCAAAAATGTTCACTGGCTTCGTTTTAACACATATCTAATTTGTAAAAGTTTGATATTTGATTTCAGAATTAAATTTATTAAAACACACAGTAATTTTAATCATGAATTTGTTTAAAACTGCTTAACAGTTTCAGAGAAAAATAATTAAATACTATTGTTGTAAACAAACTAATTTTTGTAGCTAATTAAATCATGAAATAGTGCACTTTATGCACAATTTAAATTACATATTTATAGATTTTAGCAAACATTGAATGTCACGTTTTCATCTTACCAAAGAATTGTTTTTTTGTTATACATGTATTTTTTTGTAAGAAGGTCAAGAAAATGGATACGGTAGCAGACTTTGTAAAACATATGTTTGGTTTTGATGCAGAAGAGGAGGAAGATTTTGATAAAAAACCTGAAGATCAAGTGAGTTCAATTATTAATTGCACCAGTTTTTATTATATTTTGAAATAATAATCACAAATTAACTTGAAACTATAGACCAATTATTACTTGTAAATAGTTATAAATCTAAGAGTTAGTCTAATTTTTGTAGACAATATAAATTCTGATTTAATCAATGTACAGCTATAAAAAATACGCACCTTAAACTGTTTAGGATTATTTAATTGTTGGTGCATCATTTCAAACCTTCCTCTTAACAATTCTTCTTCGGGCTGAATAGCTATGCCTACTTTTCTAGTACTCTCTTGTTTTACCAAAACCTACAAATTAAAAAATAAGTGAGAAATTATAGGACATTTATAAATTATAATCATTTCAAGTAGAAAAGACAATAAGTTTGTTTACCCTTAGTATTCTATGTTGCAACTCTAAAAATTTAGATTTTAATTCAGCAATTTGAGCCACAGAAGACGAATGTCTGGTTTTCAGTGCTGTAATGTCAGTATTAACCTTGTCCAAGAAGGCTTGGTGTAAACCAGTTTGGTGTTCTTGATGAAGCATTCTACATCTTAGGTTGGAAAAACCGTTTATCGGTACTGGAATGTACTTTTTAGGATTTGGATTATCCTGAACTGCTGCTTGCCACATTTGAGAATCAATGCCTGAAATATGTTTCAAAATGTATTCTATTTTCTACAAAAAACAGTGAAAACAATGAATTTATAGAAAATGGAATATTTACATATTATTATTTTGTTGATTATTTATATAAATACGTTATTTTGTGAGTGGTTTCAGAGTTTTAATAAAGTTATTAATGATACTTGTGTCTGCGGCAGTTTTTTACAAGTGAATTTCAACAAGAAAATCGTTCCTTATTAGAACTGCTTTTGGAATTGCTTGGCCAAGTTCACATAATGTTACCGGCGAAACATGCCTATAAAGCTAAACATTGACAAATCCAAGCATAATTCCACAATAACCGAAATTACGTGCATAAAATATTGTTGTTTTTGAAAATTGTATTTTCGTAACAGAAAAGAAATCAGTAGTTATTAACAAATCCATAAAAAGATAATAAACACGTTTCGAAAATAATGTTTTTTCACAAATTTAATGTAATCACGTATTATTTTATGATGATTAGTAAGTAACACTTTCTAATTTAGTATTTGTATATGTATTTTATTTTAAAGCAAACATTTTAACAGTAAAAAATTGTGATGGAGTACTATAAACGATGTCCAAAACATTGTACACCCATTTTTGAAGCAAGAAAACATCTTTATTTTAAAATTCTGAAACGTTTGATCTACATTAAATATTCAGAGGTAATATTAGATATTTCCTTGTTTTGATATAATTTAATTGCCATTGCCTATCAGAAAATTTATTAAAAAAAAAAAAGAAAAAAAAAATAGTTAAGGTAGGAAATTGAATGTAGTTTTACTTAATCTTTAATCGTTTTACCACGTTACTAAAGTGATTCAAATTTAAAATATAAAATATTAGTAACAGGAAAACTTTTAAAATGCATAATTGTTTTAAATAATATATTCTACTTATCCCTTCAAGTATATGTTTTAGAGAATTTGATGCTTATTTGGGATACGTTTTAAAAATTATAAAAAGTTATGAAGTTTTTGAGTTATAATAATGTGTGGACCAACAGTTAAATCAACTGATTTCTGAATATATAGTATTTGAAAATAAAATTTTTGGCAAAATTGATAAATTTATTTTTAATTAAGACCGCTTCATAGATGCAAGCGAATTTCTATGAATTTTTTCACCTCCTCGCGCAGGTGGCAAAGGCGGTGCCTACCTATAATACGCGTAAAATAATCCAGGACAACCCGAACTCAAATATCACCGGAAATTGCATCTGTTGTTAGAGAGTTATTGCAAGTTCACTTAAGGTCAGTCACTATTAGTGCCGCTCTTATTTTGACATCTCAGCATGCGCAGATCACTAACTTTAATAAAGATTGTGTATGTTCTTAATAAGAGAGTTATTGCAAGTTTACTTAAGGTCAGTCACTATTAGTGCCGCTCTTATTTTGACATCTAAGCATGCGCAGATGTTTACGTTCTAAAACTGACTTTATTAAGGATTGTGCCTGTCCTTAATTGTGGATGTTTAAGGGCAGCAGGTAGTGGCGACTTTATAGTTTTCGGATGCGCTCGCCGTTAGAAGTTTTTTAATATTAAATATTTAATATAATCGTCATTTAAACCTTCTAAAATTATAATTTCTGATGCCTCTTTAATATTATAGACAACAAAAAAGATGAACTATAATTTAAAGTTTAGTGCCTGGCTTTATAGAAATTTGCAATATCTCTCTATTAAGGACAGGCACAATCTTTATTAAATTTAGTGATCTGCGCATGCTCAGATGTCAAAATAAGAGCGGCACTAATAGTGACTGACCTTAAGTGAACTTGTAACTCTCTAATAACCAGTAAAGAACCCCGCACAAATCTTATGGAAATTGGCTCCCGGTCAAATTGGCTGAAATTTGGATATGTTGTTCGTTTCAGCATCCTGAGTAAAAGTTTCAATGGACACAAAGCTCAATTTTGCTTATTTTTGCTCCTACGGAGCTCCAAAGCTCCACAAATTGACCATTATGTACTACTTAAAAAGGCAATCTCCTCGAAAGTTTAGTATTTGCTGCGTTAAAAAAGAAGTACTTTCTTATGTTTTCGGGGTCGCTGCATTCAAATCCAATGCCAATATAATAATATTGACAGTTGACAGCTGTCAAGTAGCTGTCAAACAAGCAATAATCAAAATTGATAAAATCCACATATCTGTTTTTGAGGTTGGTAAGTTCAAAACTGATGTTAACAGCTCGACATTGACAGTTGACAGATGTAAACTAACTGTCAAACAGTATGTGCTAATCAAAATTTACAAAATTCAGGAGTAAATAGATGTCTTCGAGGTTGCCGAGTTCAAAACTGATGTCAAAAAGACGATATTGACAGTTAACAGCTGTCAACTAACTGTCAAACAGCATGTGACAATCAAAATTGATAAAATCCATATATAAATATGTCTTTGAGGTTGCCGAGTTTAAAATTGATGTCAAAAAGACGATATTGACAGTGATCAGCTGTCAACTAACTGTAAACAGCATGTGACAATCAAAACTAATAAAATCCACATTTAAATATATGTTTTTGAGGCAGCTGAGTTCAAAACTGATGTTAACAACTCGATATTAACAGTTGACAACTGTTAACTGTCAATATTATTATATTGGCATTGGATTTGAATGCAGCGACACCGAAAACATAAGAAGGTACTTCTTTTTTAACGCAGCAAATAGTAAACTTTCGAGGAGATTGCCTTTTTAAGTAGTAAATAATGGTCAATCCGTGGAACTTTGGAGCTCCGTAGGAGCCAAAATAAGCAAAATTAAGCTTTGAGTCCATTGAGACTTTTGCTCAGGATGCCGAAACGAACAACATATTCAAATTTCAGCCAATTTGACCGGGAGCCAAATTCCATAAGATTTGAGCGGGGTTCTTTAAGAACGTATGTCCTAAATACAAAATCGACCGCTGACCCTTCGAATCTTGTAATCTTCAGGTGCGGCGAGCATTTATGAGTATTTAACTGCTTTATGCATCTTGGTTTTTGCTCGCAAAATATGATGTTCGGTTTTGAAACAAGAAAACTAAATTTTAACACTGCCTAACAAAATTTTAACCAATAGAAATGATATTTCTTAGTTTCGATTTACTTTTAAATGTTGAATTTTACGAGATACTTGAAGTTTGAAATCAAGGTTCTTAAATTGAGATTTTTTTAATTACTCATGCAGTAAGCAATTTTAAGCGGGGTTGATAAAAAATATGCAACAAATGGAACTTCTTTGTGGTATTTGTATTTTTGAGGCCGCTTTAAAAAGTAAATTTTGGAAATTTCTGGTTTCAAAAGACATTTTTAAATTTCTTAATACGTCAGAGCTAGCAGTATAAAATATCTGCTTGTATTTTTGAGGTCTATAATTGGGGTTGTCTTAAGAAATAGATTTCAGAAATTTTTATTTTTGAAAAGGCACATTTTTACTTTCTAAAATGCTTTGTAAAATATGAGACGCCAGAGCTGGCAATATAAAATGTTATTTTTCAAAAATCGAAGTTTTATCCGAAATAAACATTTTTGAAAAATGAAAAAAGAATTTTCCCAGCGATTGCTGCTTTTTTACTGCCATGATTATAACTATCTATATATAGCCAGCCATTAATCATCTGATTAACCGAAGAAATATCGCTACGAAATTTTTTGATATATAGTAAATAAAATTAAACAGTATTAATATTATTTCTCGTTCTGAAGGTATGTTTTGGTAACATATGTCGTCATAGAAATAACCAATATATATATAAAGAAATGCTCTGGTAACATAAAATATGTTCTAATAACTTATGGTAAACTTATAAAGAAATGTTTTTTATGTGGTAAAAATAGAAATATCTTATTTTAATTTGGTATGGAAATGTCTCCTTTTTCGCATCGGATAGTTACTGACGCAGGAAAAGATTAAGAAGTAAATAAAACTCTTTTAACCGAGAAGAAAATAAAATGTTTTTACACCGATCTAATGGAAAAAAATGGTATTTGATTATCAGCAAACTATGCCACTTCCACATGTAGCAAGTGGCGATGCTTTTTTTAAGGGCCAGTTATGGGAGCATATCTTTTGTTTGTATGCGAGTAGAAAATGTAGAGCCTATTGCTAAAAAAAGGTCAAAATGATGTGAGCGGTCATGCTGGATTATTTTATTAAAAATGTTGTATCTGACCACATATATTTTCTCAGATAACTGAATCTCACAAAACAAAAATCGGACCTTAGTAGGATCACTTTGGAGTCATGCAGCAGGAGATTACTGTATTATGACTTAATAGTATACTTTAAATGAAAAACTTACCTGGTGGTGGATGTTTCAAGTATTCTTCGAGTTCTGCCTTGGTTGGTGTTACAAATGGAGTTATAGAAATCACCCCGACATTTGTTAACTGTTGTTTTTGGCCGGGTTGATTGAAAAATAATGCTAGATCGGAAGCGGGAATTTTTCTACTACTTCCGGTTACTCCTCTTTCCGAGACTGTAACTTTAACCTCGGTTTGACTGTCGGAAAGCGATTTTATTTGGACAATTTCAATTGTTAAATTAGGCTTATTTCCAAGAATACCAGCAATGCCGTTTTTGAGTACTTCTTGTTGATTTCTGAAAATAAAAAAAAACCTCTGAACTGAATTCAGTGCTCGGAGTCCAGTAGGGTCGTACAAGGGTTCATTCGAATGATAAAAAAGTAAAGAAAGGGAAGACAACTGAACTATATTTCCAATTTGTTCAATTTATTATTTAAAACCTGATAAATCAGTCATTTATATTCAAAGTAACATCAAGAAAGGGATAAATGTCTGGACCTTGACGTGGGAAATTGGGTAAAGATGTGATTTTGACTTTGCAGTAATCACGATCTCGATTTTTCGACAGATCTTTATATTTTGGGAACTTAATTTTTGATCATTTTCGCGATGAAATCTGTATCCACTACAACTCAAAAATGCATAAATAGAAAAATAATAAATTTTACACTTAAGTTTTAATCCATTCTGAGACCAGCTAAATTAGATTTTGGGCATAGTCGGAGCATCTGGGGGTACTTTATAGAGGGTCGTTTTTCTACTTTAAGGTATACTCGTATTTCTGTTATTTATAATCGAAGGAGAAAATTCTTTCCCTAAAATGGACCGTCATTCACTAAATTTACACCCATATCGGATTAAGAAACAGATGCACGACTGAGCCGGTCTACAGGATAATTTCGCATCATGTAGTCGAGTAAAATAAGCGTAGTCTTCCGGTGGGTAGAGGGGAATATATTTTAATTATTAAATACTTATATAGTATGTAATTATGTTTATTAAAATTAAATTACTAAAGTAATAAGTACACGAAAAAATTTAAATATTTATAATTTTGTTTTGGACATTGTTCATAGTAATACCATTTTCCCCGAATACAATAAACGCTTTATGGTCAGGAATTTCCGGAAGTCCCCTTCTTAGGTATAAAATTAAGATTAAATGTTCTATTTTTGTACTGATGTTATAGGACTAATTGCGCTAAATTATTTAGTTCAGTTTTGGATTTCGAAGAGAACGTATGTCGAAACTGAAAATGCCGAAGCGCGTGTTACGTGTAGATGACTTAGTTTGTAATTTACATAAGTATTTTACGGCGGAAAAAGATAACGGAGGACCTTTAAAGCCAGTAGTGAGTGTGCATGAACGCGTCTGAACAGCGCTCGGTATTAGTGATTCAAAATTAAAATATGTTTTGAAAAACGCCAAAAGCCGAGAGAGCAAAAAAAAAGAAAAAATACACATCTCGCAAAAAACTGAAAACGGATATATCTGGTGGGACAAAATTTCGTATTCGTTATATGGTGTATGAAATGCGTGCGAAAAAGGAACATGTCAACTTAGACACATTGTTAACTTAAGAGAAATACAAATTGGTGAAATTGGCAGAACAAGTCTTTGGAAGTTGCTTAAGGAAATAGGTTTCAAATTTAAGAAAGAAGATAATAGAAAAGCTTTATGTGAAAAAAATAATGTTCACAAAAGAATACATTTTTTAAGAGAATACACTCGTTTAAAAGAGAATGGAGCTTCGTTTATATATTTGGATGAAACCTGGATATTTTCCAAAGGTGGGACGAAAAGAATATGGCAAGATGAAAATATAAAATCAGTAAAACATACTAATGGTGAGGGAAAGCGACACATAATCTTGCACGCAGGTGGAAAGAAACGATTTGTGGATGGTGCAGGATTAATATTTTCCTCTAAATCAAAATCAGAAGACTACCACGATAACATGAACTCGGATATGTTTATCATGTTAAATGAAAAACTATTACCAATATATACCATACATATTTATGGACATGATGTGTTACGGCTTCCACTGTACTATTGTCAGTTTAACCCCATTGAACACATTTGGGGTATATGTAAAACGTATTAAGACAATCATATTGGAATTAATGGTTACAGCGACGAAGCAGTAAGGGAAATATGGAAACAAGCACTGGATACATCAACCCCAGAAATTTGGCAAGAAAGTATTCAAAAATGTGATAAATTAATTGACGACTGGTGGGCACGTGAAAACAGGATAAACGAAATTAACCCTATAATTATATCCCTTAATGATGACAGCGACGCTAGTGACACAAATTTTGAGAGTGATGCTGAAGATTTATAGGTATGTCAAAAGACAATTATTTATAATAATCACTGTTTAATATAGAATTTTAAAAGTTATGTTATTTTTAATCATCGTACTTACTTAATCGCAGGGTAAAACTGTGTATGTAAATTAAAATTTTTGTTCTGAATAAACTATTATTAAACAACAAAATCATGTAACTATCTCTTTTAATCTTTCTGAGGCAAAATTAAATACCTAAAATTTATATTTATTTTGTTTCTACAAGAACCCCTTGCAATATACAAAATAACGCCACCCATGAATAAATGTTTAAAATACAACTGACCAGTCAAATCTTTCATTTATTTCTTAATCCGATATGGGTGTAAATTCAGTGAATGACCTATAGGCCATAAAGATATAAAAAAAATCATTTTTGATTCATATTCACACTTTTTTATTATATGGACCCTTCGCAATATATTTGCTAACTTTACTGAAAAGTCATGTGCTAGATACAATCCATATTTCATAAGGTTGACACACTTCAGCCACATATCTGATGTTGCAACAGTGCAATTTATCAAGCGTGTTTGGAAATTATTGAACACTCAACATTTTGGCCCCTAGTAAGGACAAACTCATAGCAAAAAGAATATAACGGTATAGTCTCTGTTGAGTTGAGATATCGAGATGCGACAAAACAGGATGAAACTGTATTTAAAATAGGACATAAGGTCGAATGATACCTCATTTGAAGGCTCTTTAGATTATTTTAGTTTTTTAATCTGGAACAGTAATAACAATGTAATATTTGGGGTAGAGCAAATACATCAACCCTCGTGACAGAAAAAACATTTTTCTTACTTCATTTCGTCCATTTTTTTATTGAAAACAAGCTTGACGATCCCATCAGAATTATCATGTTCAGGTATGACATTGTAACCCATTGCTTTGAACCTGTAAAATGGATTTTGAGCATCGTATTCTATCGGTGGCTGGGAACTGTTAAAATATCCTTTTCCGGTACCCCAACAAGCCTGTAACATGTTCCATTTCTTGAGAATATCGTCCCTTTCGTCATTGAAAATATTGATAGCGTACACGGAAGCTATCACTTGCTGACTTTTTGAGGCTTGCGGCTGAGGAGCTGAAATAAAACAGTAAAAGTGACATATAGTAAACATCTAGGTAAGTCTAGAATCTCCCCATAAGTACGGTTTGTAATTACTTCCCTGAGGCATTCCCGAAGAGTCCCATAATTTTCGGATATAAAACTGTTTGATCACGTTTAATAAAAAATAATTAGAAAAGACTATTACATATTTTCTTTATTTTAAACGGTACCGTGTCATTCTAAGAATAATATTCTAATAATATGATTAATCATGCTTGTCATTATTATATAATTGTTTTAAAGAATAGCAGATAAATAAGTAACATCACCAATTTTTCCAAAAAATAATTGAATAATAAGTATGTAAATATTATCGTTATTACATTGCAATTTCATTTTGATGATATAAACATAATTACAATGCAATAAATAATAATTAAAAAATAATTTTAATTTAAAAAAAATTGCAACAACGCCTAAAATATGTTTCAAACTATTCCTATTATTAACTCAATATGTTTAGTGCCATTTAAACCATAAATCGGAAGAAAAATAGTAAAAAATGCAATTTTAATCTGTGAATATTAAGTTTTTCCATAAAAAAATAATCTGACTAGAGTCTAATTAACCTGCTATCTCACAAAAATGATTTCCTTTATAACTCACCTGTTTGTGGTAATACAGGTTTACCAAATAGGGAAGCTCCTGCTTGCTGGGTACCAAATCCTCCAAAACTAGTACCACCGCTGGTAGTTCCAAAACCTCCAAATCCACCTGTAGTACCCGATGAAGTACCAAAACCTGTTCCAAACAAAGAAGGAGCCGAAGTAGTGGCGGTACTACCAAACAAACCTGTTCCAAAACCTGTTGTAGCACCCCCACCACCGAATAAACTAGGAGCTGCAGCGGCAGTAGGTTGGGGAAATAAAGACTGCGTCTGGTTAGTACCAAAGAGACTTGGAGTGGTTGTAGTAGTACCTGCACCTGTAAAATATATGAAATGTATAAATGCACCTACAATTCTCCAATGAACTTTGGTGCTTACCACCGAATAAACCCGTAGTTTGTGTAGGGGCACCAAACAAACCTCCGCCAGTTGTACCACTTGAAAACAAGCTCGGAGCAGACGTAGTGGTTCCAAATAAGCTAGGAGCCGCTGCTACAGTCGTTGTAGCACCGAATAAACCTCCTTGTGCTGGTTGAGCACCAAACGCCGTTCCAAACGGTGTAGCAGCTGATGAAGCTGCTGTTCCAAATGAGGTACCAAAAGTTGTTTGTGCAGTCGAAGCTGGCGTTCCAAAGGTACTACCGAACGCCGGTGGCGCTGAGGACGGAGTACCAAAGGACGAGCCGAAACCGGTGGCTTGTTGGGAAGGTGCTACTGTTCCAAAGGAAGTACCAAATCCTCCGAATCCTGTAGATGCAGTCGTTGCAGGAGTTGAACCAAATGCAGTACCGAAACCAGCCACTGAACAAATAATAACAAAATTAAGTAATTTTAACAAAAATTGAAAGGATCACTTTTCATATTATATTATATGGAGTGGGTCAATTATTTCCGATAGGAGCATATCAGCTAAACTAGATTAGAAAAAAGTTCAAATTCAGTATTAAACAGCTACGTTTTTAAAATAAATGACACTACAGGGTGCTCCATAACTACAAAACATATACCACGGTATTTTTAAAATTATTTGATTCTATCTTTAATAGGCTTTACTATCGGGCTCTGAACATGTTACGTGTAGAGGGTGGGCTGCCCTCCCACATCACTTAGGCCTCACTAAGCCCACTGTGCACCGTCCTAAATTGATAGGCCACTCTTAGCTCGTCAACAAGTCTACAGATTTGATGTTGATAACGTCGTCATAAACGTATGTCGATATAGTGCAGTTTTATAAAAGTTATATTTTTAAACTCGGCTCATCCAGACATTTCCAGGGATATACTACACCAAGTATTAGTGAGGTCACAATAAAAGTTAGCCAAAAAATATAACATTATGTTTAACAAACCTACGAGGTAAATAACGCTATGTGCCCATATTATTTTTTTTATCCCATGTTATATTCTCTAAAATTTCTATGAAAACATAGAAATGTTGGAGGTATATGACACAGTCAGAAAATTTGCTATCAGAACATAGAAAAATGTCATAAAAACCAAAAATGTATGCAAATAAAAAGTTTTATTAGTTAGATTAGTAAACAATACATAAATATTATGGCAATAATTGCAATTTCTTGTCGAAAAACATACAATCTGCTCTATTGAAAAGTTTACCAGAATGACATAGTGCAGTTTACCTCCAAGCTACAGAGTTTATTTTTTACTTTTTAAAATGTCAACGTACTACCTTGGATAATTATCTAGTTCAATGTAAAGCCATTAATCAGAGAAATAACCTAATTGTTTGGATTATTTTAATACGTGTGTTTTTCTATTTGAATATTTAGTTAAAATAAGAGTAGTTTGTGCAACAAAAGTGGATATGATGGCCATATCGCACAAAGACGAAATTTGAGCACGACACCGTAGGCGGAGTGCTCAATCGTCTGAGTGCGATGTGGACAATCCACTCGAGTTGTATAGTATATTTTTTCTACGACCCACTAACGAAAATTTTCAAATAAAAAAATATTTTAGGTTATTAAGATAAAATAACTAATTTTAAAATAATTTATGACTCTTAATAATTTTTAAAATAAAATAAACGAAAAAAAAAAAGAAAAAAGTTCATTTCATTTTTCCCCATCCGAGAAACGAACTCGAGTCTTCCGGCGTGTGGAAGGCAAGAACGCTGACCACAGGACTACCTATTATTTTATTTTTGTTGCTTTAATACTCGTAATTAAATTGACTTCATATAATTTTATTTAAATTAACAAATTATTTATAATTATAGACGAAATAAAAACAGAAATGATATTACTTATCGATTCTACACAAGAATACTTAACCCATTTTAATGTATGTTTAATCTCAATAACTAAAAAATATACTGACAATTAGTTTCACAGAATTGTCACATTTAAAATTTACATAGAATGGATATGAAATACATTCGTTCAGTTAAAGGCAATAGCATACTTTTTCGTTTTGTAATCTGTGCGTAGATAAGCTAATATCCATGTGGGTGTAGAAAAATACTTTTTTAGAATTTTTGTGTAATATTCTTTATATTTTTATTAATAATGCCAATTATTACAATATTTATTTAGTCAGAATACAAAACGGGACGAACCCAGAAACAGTATTCACGTATAGCTAGTAATATATTATAAAGTAAACGTTTGCTGATAAAATACAGGTAGGTACAAACAAAATATCGCTGTTCCAGAAGAACAATGACGTAACTGCCAAAATGATAATTGTTCAGGAAACGCAAAAAAAACTGAAATTTATTTTTAATAACTCCATAATTCAAACGTTAATTAATGTATGGAATTGGGACTCGGGCCAATGGTTACAATATGGCTCACGATGAAGTTCAAATTTTTTTTTGTAAAATTTACACCGTACCCCCACCATCACTTTATTTTGCAAATTCGTCATTGTTCTGCTAAAATTATGACTCAAAGTAACAAATTCGGAAAAAAAGAAATCGAAAAAAAAAAAAATAGTTCTAGACAATTGCCTTCTAAGGTAGGTATCATTTTATTAGATAGTTTCTAGGTACTTAACTGAAAAGAAACAGTATAAAAAATTAAGCTAAACTAGATTGTAGATCAATTTATATGAAACTAAACAAAGTACATTTCCGTCGTTGTCGCACTGGAATTACAGTTAAAGTGGTTCAAATTACGCGCAATTTCATAATTGCGTCGTTATTCCACGGGACACTAACATAGACTCGATAACATCAGACAGAACTGAATCATTCGGCGATGTTCTTCTGAAATTATGTCACAAACAGCTGATATTTCGACAAGGACGCAACTTGCTCTAGAGGCCATTAAAGAAAGTGCAGTTACGTCGTTGTTCTCCCATATGTGTTACGTATTTTTGAGAACAGTGAAGTACTTAACTACAATTACCCTAATTGTGCAGTTAGGTCATTGTTATTCTGGAAGAGCGATATATTAATTAACAATGTGCAATATTTTAAACAGTTAATTATTATAAATGGTTTAAGTAAAAATTATTGAGTGTTTTAGAAAAAGGTTACTAGGGAAGAAAAAATATATCGATGTCAACTAGATTTGCGATTGTATTGAAAGATTTATAGTAACGGAAAAGTAAGATGTAATTACTAGTAATTAGTATTACTGTGATCAATATAAAGTAACAATTTACTCCTGGCGTTGTGAGTGGTGGGGATACCTAAAGCGAATAAATTTTACAATTTCAATAGTCAATTAAATTAATGAAAATTTTATGAAGAAATTTGATGTTGAACACCTGCCTTCTATCTTCTAATGATATACGCTGTTGCTAGGTACACGCTAAAGTGTACACAAATCAAAAAATTATATACACGCGAAACGTCATATTGCTGTGGTGGGAGGTGTTTGTGTGAAGGCGTCTTGTTTTCATTTACGCCGTAACTAGCACAGTAGTATTTTATAAAACTTAGAAGCAAATTTCACATGCATGAACAAATAATAAATAATGCCGTGACAACAAGAAAACGAAGGAACGACTGCTCGTAGGGTGGCGGCTTCGCCGCCACAAAAAAATTTCAATCCATGCCTAGCTACGACCGTTAATACAAATGGGAACCCTGCGAAGCACCTGACGAGATTTTCGTGAAAACAGAACTGTACAGGCCTATATTAACATATTGAGTTCTGTTATTGATATGTGAGAGGGGCAAGATCGAGTTGTCTCCCATCTTGAGCAGGTAGTTTCTTTATGAGTCGAATTGTCTCCCATCATAGGTCGAGTTGTCTCCCAAGCTAATGTACATTAAAAGGTATTAATCTTCACAAATTGTTGTCCGTTGTTGCCAAATCAATTTTTTTATTTTTAAAAGTACGTTGAACTATTGATACCTTTGTCTTTTTGTAATATAGGAACCATTTAACTACGTTGGTATTGCATTTAAATATAGTTTTAATCTTAAACGTTAAAAGTAATTTATATTTACATTAAAATCATATTAATTTAGTGTATGTAGTGTATATAGAGTGTATTTTGTTTTATATTATATAATAAAATAATTATAATTTCCTAATAACTATTTTAATTTAACAATCTAATCTAATCTTCAGTGTTAAGATTGTATAGTTTTTCATTCCATTTAACTAAATTAAATTATTATTATAATAATTTATAATTGACTATTGCATTTCAATTAAAATTAACAGGTCGATTTAAATTACACTTCATCTGAATAAATATTTGACACATTTTCGAAGAATACGATACATTATCCTCAAATCCAATACGCCAACAACCATCACGGGAAATTAAAAATGCATTTTGTGGAACATTTCAAGCAATAGCTGATAAGAAAACTACCACAATATTAAGCGGGAAACAATGAGATAAGGTGTTTTATATAAATAAATGTGGTGAGAAATAAAATAACAAAGTGTATCATACTGTATGACAAGCTTACCGTGTCAAATGTTAGAAGTGCATTTTTGGCACTCTAAATTCTCTGGATCCTATTACCTACCGATCAACGAGATATCGCGAAAAGTTACTATTAACGAAACAAATTGTTAACATTTTTTCGAATCTATTAAAAAAGCAGGTAAAATAGTCACATTGATAAGTTCTTGGTTCACTATCAGTTTGTGTATTGGGCAGGTTGGTGTTGTACGATGGACTTCCAAAATAAAGTGAGTTTTTATTTTTGCATACCTACTAGGTTATCATTTAATTTTGTTTACTTAATAATACAAAATACGAAAATTTGCGTTTATCATTTAAGTTCAAGAAACCTTTAATCAAACCCCCTGTGGGATTTATAACCTATTACTACTGATGGGAAGGTCTAAATGTTCAATAGAGCTTTAATTATTCGAGATTTAAAGTTTTTTATTGTATTAAATTACCCACTCGTTTTAATAACACATTTTTGTTTACCGTAAAATTAACAACAAAAGTTTTTATAAGTAAATAATATAAGTTTTTAGTCTACAATTTATAGTCTTAAATAAGGCTAAAATAAGTAAAGTTAAAAGTTGTATAAAAATAAAATTAGAGGTTAATTCACATTATATTTGTATTATTTTCAAGATTGTTTTTAAAAGTATACCACTGTAATAGTTACATCAAGTTATCTAAATTAGGTAAATTGTTTGCTGCAATATTTGTAACAAATTTAGTACCTACCCTAATGTTATTTTAATTTAAATCTGACCATTAGGGCAATTTTACCTAATTTCTTGGGAAGAGGCTTATTGGAACTGGTTATCAATGACTAATTTGCATAATTTTGTTAATCCGAAACCCGCGTAAGTATAGCGAACAGACTGTAATGATACGAGAGTAGATCCCTATGCTGCAACCCTGAGC